AATTCCAGCACTTGCAGACGTACTTGGCGAGTGTCGAAGATTCTGCGCTAATCTCATCCGTGGCTTCCAGGTAGATGACAACGCATGCTCCACGCGCTTCATCTTCCACAGAAAGTTGGATATCTTCTTGCACAGGTGCATTGCGGTGTTATTGATGACAGTATTAATGGGAGATTGCAGTTGGTAGACGAGCGTGAAGACATCCCATCCAATGTCTCCAGGTGAACTCTGCACGGATAACAGGTCATCCATGGCTCTTGTAACGATTACACTCGTGTGTATCAAATCCATACCTGCAACATCCGGACATCGAGCCGTGAGGTTATATCTGGGTCGTCATACTGAGCGTTCGACATTCGAATCCCTGTTTCGAGAGAGGATGCTAGATTGTGCCGGAAGAGGGTATTTGCTGGCTTTGTGAGAGCGACGCTGCATACCGACGCGTTAGTTTCGATGACTGCACAGCACTGAAAACATCCGTGTGAGCTCACCCGATCTCATCGACAACATATTGGATAAGGTCGCCTTGTCCCAGGAAGAGGTATTTCCTGATCGCCTCCAAGTGCTCCATAAGCTTATATTTTGTCAACAAGCTGTCGATGACTTTCTGCGTCGTCGCTGTGTAGGCTTTATTGATCATATCCCGGAGCGTGTGGTAATTGCCGTATTCAAATCCTTGATCGAAGATTTAGAAGGGTGAAGAGCGTGTGTTAAGCTACATAAGCGTACCTTGGGCATTTTGTCCCTGCTGGCTACTCATGATCACATACTCGCTATCCCCACATTGACTTCGCAAGAAATTCAGGTTCTTGCCTATCATGAATATCTACGTTACGGTAAGCCAGGATCGAAAAAAAAAGAAAATGGATAATGGAAATCATTGAGACGCACCTTCTTGGCGACCATTGGCTCAATGAAAGACGGTATCATGTTTTCTCTCATACTGTACGAGACCTCCCAAAAGTCTTCTTCTTTGCCAACGGGATGCCCAACAATAAAGAATTCGTCGAAAGGATCGTCAAGCTGTCCTTCATATATCCACAGTTTGAGCATATTGTAAAAAGGTTTGCAGACCTGTCGCATGGCACAGACTCAACCGTTAATGGAAACTAATAGGATAGTAGCTCTCTGCCCGCCTTACGTCAGACATCAAGTGATGAATAAATTGCTGAATGAAGGGATCGCCATGATGAACATAGTCATGAAGTGTCGCCAAAAGCTCTCCACCCCGATCATCTATTGTCAAATCGTGTGTTCAGCATACGTAGCCATATCGGAGAACAAGATACCCCAACTTACCGATACACAGATCCACCAAAACCCCCATGACCCGCAATCGTTGCAACGGATCCTGTGTCCATACGTATAACCGCTTTAAAGTCAAGGATGGACGGGAAGCAGATTTTTCATCATCTGATGGTGTTATTTGGGCTTGCAGGATTGCAATGAGTCGATAGTAGTCTGTCATTTCTCGCTGTATCGCTGAGCAGAAGCTCTGACAAATAGATAAGCAACCAATTGATAGTGTGCGAGGCGAGAAGCAAAAAATACCTGAGCCATTAGCCCTATACCAGCATGATTTGTTTGAAACTTCAAAAAAGAAGTTATTCTTCTGTAGAGCCATCCAAGTTCGGTCAAGCGGTGGAGAAGTTCACGAAGAGGTTGCGAGATTTGAACCTGTAAAACCGCCACACTTAGCACACTAGACAACGTGAATTGTTCACCAGCACCATCTTACTTTCTCGTCAATAACGTATGTTTCAGTAGAGTCATTGTATTTAATGTATCGCCCGTCTATACCCTGAAAAACGTAGACAATGTCTTGGAGCCATTCTGACTCCAAAACGGTGTTTGAATCTACCAAGGTACAGCGGTACAAATATGAGTCTGTGTCAATATATACAAGTGTGAGGCATTTGAGCACCCTCACCAGTCCTCCAAGTTTTGAGATATTGCGTATTCTCAGCAAGCCCGGGCGGAGGATGTCGTGATGAAGCATCGGATGGCCCATCGTAAGCAGTGGTCTTCCGACAACTATCAGATTTTTCCGATCCCGCATCGGGAATGCTTTCGAGACCAATGGAAAATAATGTGGAATCCTCATGCTTTGGCAGATTTGTTAACACTAATGTCATTGATCAGCATAAAATGGATCACCAACCTGGTCCGGACCTGGCAGCCGATTGGCTTGCTCGCTCACCGCTAGCAGAAAGTAGACGCATGCCCATTTGTTCTTCAGTGCGGACTACACAAAAGCTATTTATCAAGTTTGCTCAGATGCCAAAGACTATGACATTTGCATATACTTTTGTTGTGAGTTTTTGAAAGAGATTGGAAAATTGCATGGCTTTATCCATCGATTTATCGCGCCGTATTACTGCGAAAGAGTAGCGGAGTTGAATTCTGCAGTCCTCCAAAGTACATTCTATACTCAGAGCGTCAGTGACATACGTCTTCGTTTAATCGTGTCGGCAAGGGCAGTGTCATCCGGAAGCACCGCAGCCTCCATACGACTAAGGACAGGTAAGAGGCATCCATGAGTGGCAGTATAATCCACTTTTTACCTACCTACGCAAAATACGCATACTATATTGGAACGCTCTTTCCAGCTGAAGTTTTCGTCGTTGTGATCCTTGAAGCATGGAAGGATCGGTAAGTGATATGGCCCGTGGTAAGACAGAGAGACTCTCTACCCAGTCCCCACCTTCTCCTCCCCCAGGGGCTGCACCGGCTTGATTGAAAAAGCGTTCTACGAGAAGGTACATTGTGTGTGAAATGCTCGCTGGTGTGGTTGAGTCGTGTCGGGTAGGAGGTGAAATGGCATCCGAAGATTGCACAGGATGCATTGACTCAGAGGCCGTGCTGGCGGACGGTCCGCGAACGTAGAGCCCTTCGCCTAACATATCGTTCATGAGCGGCCCTGGCTCCTCAGGTCGGTCTAGATGTTTCGGAGAGATCTTGGGTTTTTGTTTGACAGAAACGATCCGCGCGTTCCGTCTGCTCACTCGGACTTTTTGTAATGATTCTTTAAATGGCTTTATTGCTTCCGTCCTGCATTTTTCCAAACCTATTTACTTTGGGCTTGCAAGCTCTTCATCAGTTGAAGGATGCAGCGTTATTATTGCCTTCTACATAAGAAGCGCATGTGGAATATTTCAGAATCATGTATTTACTTCTTCTACATATTTACACTGTCAACTGACAAATATAACCACGCCTGCAAGTGTGAGCCATCCTTCTTCTTCTAATCAAGGCAAAAGCCATCATAAAAGTATCTATATTGGGTTTTCAGCGGCGGGAAAGTCTTTAATTGTATCATCGTCACTCGTTACGGAATGTACACTGTTTCTTGACGCAGTCTCCCGCTGGTCATTGGATATCGATGGAATTTCTCCGAAAGCGCTGAATCCGCTACCTCTCTGAGCCATCTCTGGTTCTAACAGTATGACTGTTTGGGGCGTAGCAATGTCTATCTTTTCTGGTCTCTGCAACGTCGGAGGCGATGTAAAATCGATTGTGATCGTGCGCTCATTGGAAGTAGTACGTTCAGGAGGGATCGGCGAGGGAATTGTGGGAGACTCGCCCAAGTTGTTTTCTTCTTTGGCTTCCGTTGCTGAACTGATGGTTGGACTTGCTGGCAAGCGGAACAGCGATTTGCTCTTTCGAAGGAACGCCATTGGAGCAAAGGACCGTCCTGACGCTGCAGGTTCGGGCTTTTGAATTAATGGCGCTCCATCACTCTCCAATGCACCACTGCTACCACCCCTCGTATCTGAGCCACTATTCAAAGTTTCATCCGAATCATTATCCAAAACCGGAACAGGTCGAACCATATTTGCAGCGTCCGTGCCAGTAAAGTCTTTCACCAGTTGCTGTTTCGATAATCTTTTTCGCCGGTACATTAGTCCGGCAACGCCTAGTGCAGCACCTAGTATTGTGAATATAGGTACTACAATTTTCACAGTCCGCTCCTTTGATTCAGCTGCGGGACTTTTCGACATGATGGACATTTCTGACATGGTTGCATAGTCACCAGACGTTGATCTAGGTGGCGGTGGACGGGTGTTTATGGATGGAGCTGGTCTTGTGGTTGGCAAGCTTGCATCCGTCGAAATGGACGTTGGAGTCTCCTCATACGTCGTACTCATAGGTGATGGGATATTTATTGTATTTATTGTACTGATTGTGATATCAGGAGGCGGTGGTGGGAATGATTGAACTATCGGGGTAAACGTAGGTAACTCTGTTGTCGTCGATACTTCTGTGAATGTCTCCACAGTGAATATTGGGTCTGGTGTCGGCGGATTGGTGATGGAGCTCGGCACTTGTTGGCCTTTAGCCTTGCCCTTGGGTGCCTTTTCCGGTTTCGGCGGCTTTGGCTGTTTCGGCTCTTTTGGCGCTTTTGGAGGTTTGCCGGTATCTTCGGCACCGTTGCCAGTATCCTCGCCTTGGTCATCCTCGCCTCCGCCGCCCTCGTCCTGAGGTACTGGTGAGGATCTCACGACGATGAGGGATAAAAGGAGGAACAAGAGTATGTAGTAGGCCCTTCTCATCCTGGTGGTCAACTACAAAAGTTACTTGGGTAGAAAATTCCAGGAAGATGTTTGCCTGTTGTTTTCCCTTTAACCTTTTCATGTCTTGCCATCTTGTCATCTTTTTTCTTTCTGCACTGCAAGCGCCAATTGAAATGATAATCACCGTGTTCATTTCACCCCCCAGCCAAACTTCAAACAATTTCCAGATTTTAACAGGCGCGCTTCTTTACTCGAAACAAAACAAAAAGAATAAGACCTTGGGGAAATTGCTAAAGGCCTTTGAGTGGTTTTACCATTAGAGTGTGTGTTGCAAGTCAAACAGCGGTTTGCATTTCTTGCAGTGGAGTTTTCTTTTGCTTTTCAATAGCTGCACGTTTTACCAATAGCAAAGGTTACAAGTTGTGTGGAGGGGCATAACGCCAATTAATTATGTGCAAGGCTGCTAGCAATTGGAACGAGGCTTTATTGTATGGTGGAATGGCATTTCCATCGAAAAGTAGTTTACCTTGAACATTCCTTTGTTTCTTCTGGTCATTGCAACTGATGGCAATGCTTTGCGCATGCTACCGTGGTAGATACGGAACTCGTTGTTGCATAGTCTTTTGGTCAGAACTCAAAACTGTTTTGACGCAAGACCTAAAGGACTAATCTTTTCAATTGCAATCTATCCCGCCTTCCAAGAACTCTTGACTCTTCAATAACCCAATTCCCTTTCAGCACATTGTCCATATGAGAGCCTTATGTGCCTTTTCTCTCGTTGAGAACCCCTAGTTTTGCCAATGCTCTCCAGCTGCTCGTTCAAAAAACAAAAAAGAAAGGCTTCAAACGTCGTCGTCGTCGTCAGTCGTCGTGTCGTGTCGCGTCGCGTCTCACGGAAGAATGATCTGGCCTCATCCCCACCTTCCTTGCTGCTGTGGTCAGAGTTGACATGAAGTGTACGTGACAAACCTCACTTGAACGAGTCATTATCATGTACTTACCTCGCTTCATTATGGGAAATGCAGTACTAGTATCCTTCCAGTTTTGTCTTGCGCTAGGCATACTTGCCTGGGTTCTGCCAGTAGCCATCAGTGCCAATGGCGCTCAAATCGTTCTTGGCACGGAACCTATTGAACAAACGGCGAAACATGGCTCGGCCAAAAAGTTTCTCAAACGTGTCAACAAACGACTAGACGTCCTCTCTGCAGAGACTTCGGAAGCAGCCTGGGCCTACGAAACCAATATTACCGACCACAATTCGGATCTTGCCACAGAAGCTCAGCTGAAAATGAACAAGGTAGTGTCGCATCAGTGAACGATAAAATGTGGCGACAATTGATAGTGTTCAATACAGGCGTTGATGAAGATCATCGCAGATTCTTCAGGCTACAAAGGCAAATCAAAGTCGGAAAAGCGGCAACTTCATCTCATCAAGCTCTTGGGAGGAATGCCTGATAGCAAAGATGATCAAAAGGAATTGGCAGATTTGCAGGCAGAGATGACCAAGATCTATAGTACAGCAAAATACCTAGGCGCTCCACTTGATCCGAACCTCACTGATACGTTGGCCACCTCTCGTGACTATGATGTTCTATTGAGCACTTATATTGGTAATGATGAGATATTGTTATATTTGACTGCAATGGTGCTGATGATAGCCCGTTCTTTAAAAACATCCAGGCTGGAGAAACGTCACCGGCCCGTTCATCAAACCCTTGTACGAGAAGTTTGTGACTCTGTCCAACCAAGGCGCCCACGACAATGGATATGATGATGCAGGCGCTCTATGGTATGTTTTGGCATAGGTGAAAAGTAGTCGAGCTGAATACACCCCGTCTCTGATATCACCATTCAGGCGCGCAGGATATGATATGAGCTCAGAAGATTTCACCGAATTGATCGAAAAGGTGTGGAATCAGGTCCTCCCGCTTTACGAACAGCTTCACTGCTATGTCCGTGCAAAGTTGGCTGAAAAATATGGAAAAGATCGTGTGGAGCTTGAAGACGGATTCATGCCAGCACATTTGTTAGGTAGGAGGAGGGAAGCAACGAATGCTTGCCGTCCCAAAACTAACGTAACATCCGCCATGGTGACCATAGGAAACATGTGGAGCCAGGTCAGCATGAACTCTCTCGGAGACTTGTTGACTTTACTTATTGATGTATATCGTGCCACTTGCAGGACTGGAGCCACATTTACGACCTCTTGATTCCGTACACCGATGTTCTGCCAATAGGTATATTGCAAATGTATTAAGCGGAAACGGATGATTGTGTCCTCATTGACAAATTGTTGTCCAGACGTTACTCCTGAACTGGTCAAGCAGGGCTACGATGCTTACTCCATGCATCGGCTCTCTGAAAGCTTTTATAAATCCCTCGGATATGACCGTATGTTCCTTAATTCCTCGATTGTATGCCCTAATTAAAGTGTCTTTTGATAGCACTCCCACAAACATTTTGGACGAAAAGCATGTTAACACGTCCCGCTGACCGCGAGGTGGTGTGTCATGCAAGGTGAATGTCCGACATACTTGACGCTGGCTCTGCGATAGTGCTGATTCATCCCACTTAGTGCCTGGGATTTTGGCAACGACGATCTGCGAATCAAAATGTGCACGACGGTGACTCAGGAGGATCTCCTTACAATTCATCATGAACAAGGTAACAATGCAAGTCATGAGGTTTTTTTATTCTGTATGATAGAGTGACATAACCTCTATATTTTTCCAAAGGTCATCTCTACTACGACCATCATTATCGCAAACAACCCGCCCTTTATCGCGATGCGGCTGCCGACTTCTTTCACGAGGTTTGTTCTCCCACTATGTCTGATTTTAACAACATCGCTTGCATTTACTTTCAAACTATCAGGCCATTGGCGATACCATGGAGCTCTCGGTTGTGGTACCTCAACATCTGAAGGAAATTGGGTTAATCAAGGGCGACATCAAAGACTCTCCTGAGCAGACAATCAACGCTCAACTTGCAGTCGCTCTGACCAAGATTGCCGTTCTCCCTTGGGTTTACTTGGTCGATCAATGGTTTGTACACGTAGCTCTGTGGAACCATGTCATGATACAGCTTTAAATCCTTACATTGTGTTCAGGCGCTGGAAGGTCTTTAGCGGAGAAGTGAAACCAGAGGACTATCAAACGGCTTGGATCAAACTCGTCGAGAAATATCAAGGACTCAAACGCCCGTATCCTTCCACTCCCGATGACTTTGATCCCGGTGCAAAGTTCCACATTCCCGCCAACGTGCCATACATTAGATACTTTGGAGCAGCTCTTATCCAGTTTCAATTTCACGCCGCCCTCTGCAAGACCGCTGGGCATGAAGGCCCTCTGCACACATGCTCCATATATGGGAACAAAAAGGCTGGCAAGCAGTTTGCTAAAATGCTCAGCCTGGGTCGGTCCAAAACTTGGCAGGAGGCACTCAGGACTGCTTCTCGCGGGGAATTTGACACGCTTGACGGTGGGCCTATCCTAGAGTACTTTACGCCTCTAAGGGAGTGGTTGGAAAAGCAGAATGAAGGGAGAACATGTGGATGGAAAAAGGATTGAAGATTTTGTTCATTCATTTCAACTGTCAAACGTAGGCAGAAGAATACATTTGTCTGCAGTATTGAAATTGCCTGTACCCTATCATATTATATCTGTTTTGCGATATACAAGATTTTTTTATGCTGAGAAATGAATGTTAAGAATACTATTTACAGGTGGGCGCACCAAGTTAAATACCGTCACTTCTCTACCGCTTGCCACGCTCAAGCAACTCGTTCACCACGGGTTCCAAATCCGGCCACCTGGTTTTCACAGTAGTTTGCACTTTTGAAACCAAATGGGGAGCATTGGCTTTCATAAGCTTCTCCATGATCGTTCGTATCGTCTTTGGTGTTGGTCGTGCCGGGTACCCCTGCCTGTCCATGAGGGTAAACACTTTGACGCTACCGAATAAATCACCACAGCGCATCAAAGCTTCTATGTAGGAATTGCACATGTTTTCTGTAGGCCAATGCTTCCATCGCCAAGGTTGCAATGCTGACTTTTCGCTAGAGTTTTCTACAGGCGTGGACTCTAGTGTTGATGCTTCACCCTCCACTGCGTTCCGCTCCCCTTGGGTGTCCCGCATGCTCAAAACCTCCTTCCACACATTCCGAACATTAACTACACCCAACGCCCTATCTCCGCTCCATTTCCCTTTACCAGCGACATTGCCCGCGAGATCAATGAAGCAACATACAGTCGCTTCATTAACAAGTTCGTCTGCGCTCCTTGTCCGTGGTCGTCGTGTGAGAAAGCCCACTTTGGGCCCGACCCACTCTGTACCCTTTGTAGCCCAATCCCACAAGATACCCGCTTCCTCGACCCATTCCGCTTTTAGGCATATCTTCATTGCTGTGCCCACTGTCACATCATCCACTTTTGGGGCAGCGATTCGGGAGAGGAACGACATTGCCGCAAGATGGTTGCCTTTCATGCAGTGAGCGTTAGCCAGCATATGAAGGAGTTGCGTATCTGGAGAATTTGGCAAGCGAGCCATCAATGGCGAGATTGCTGTTGATGCCCGAGACATGGGCCGCTTCAAAGACTGTGATGGTCTGTTTTTTTTCACAGATAGCGTGGCTTCAATCATGGCCTTTTCGGCGCCACTTAGATCATCAGCGGTAATATAAGCGGCTACAAGATGTCGCCATGTCACTTGGTCTGGATCCATGCCGTCGACTGTCATACGGTCCATCCACTTTCGCGCCTGATCCACTTTTCCGCTTGACGCAAAAACTTTCATGACCGAGTGATGAAACAGCATAGAGGGTCTGAGATCGCTCGAACGCAAAGTTTCGTTCAACACTTGCATCAAGGCAGGTTCATCGTCTGCCTTTCCAAACGCCGCAATCAGGTTGATGAATGTTGCTTCTGTAGGCTTCAAGCCCACTGCTAACATGTTCTTCCATCGCTTCTGTGCCAGTTTGGCATCACCAGCCATGGCGGCATGTTCGATTAAGAGGTTATGGGTATGCGCGGTGGGGGTTAATTTGTGGGAAGAAAAACTGGCCATCCAACGATCGACCTCACGATCCGGAAATGGAACCTGTTGCGATTTCAGGGAAGATGATAATAGGGTATTGAAGGTCACCGCATCAGGCGTCGTTTTCCCTTCCACCTCCATCTCTTCATACTTTTGACAGCACCGCCAATATTCACCGACTTCTTTCCAACCGGCCAAAATGATATTCCAATCGAGTGTATCCATTGTCTGATTGCCTTTGCGAATTACGCCCTCGCATTTCTCAGGCTCGCCCAACTTTGCGTATGTGCGCGCTACCGTTCGTCGCCAGACAACGTCAGTATCGATACCCTCTTTCTCCATCTCCTGCTTCAGCTTTTCAACATCCCCAATACTTTCACAAGTAGCTAAAAGGGCGGTATATGTAACCAAATCTGGCTTCAGCCCCGCTTTTGCCATGGACGTCAGGGCTAGCTTGGCGCCCTTCACATCACCTTTCTTTCCTAATCCAGCAATAAGGTCATTGTATGCCCACGTATCGGGTTTGGTATTGGCTTCAAGAACGGATCCCAGCTGATCCAAGACCGACAAAGCATCCTGAGGTTTTCCTGCTTCAACGTATGCTTTCACGACCAAGTTTTGCACAATGACATCGGGTACGACCCCAGCCGCTACGATGCGGCACACCAGATCAAGGACAGACGCAAATTCGCCGCGTTTAGCCAGTTCAGTCATTAAATCGACGTAAAATGATTCCGATAATTCTATGCCCATCTTCATTGTTCTATCGAGCAACAAGAACCCAGTCTCCATATGGCCAAACTTGATAGCTTCAATAATTGCTCGCGACATTGCGGTGTAACAATTCGCACGTCCGAGCTCGATTATTCTGAAACATGCTGACTCTGCTTTTTCGGGCAATCCCTGGCGTGCATACAGAATGGCAAGGCTCTCGTACATGCCGGCATCTACTTTATCACCCGCATCCAAAAGAACCTGTTCAGCTTCCATCTGCATCCCCGCAGAACAAAGTGCGCTAATCACACGGCCGCGTTGGGCAATGGGTATACACGGATCCCTCTCCTTGAGGTGTGTGTACGCCTTCCAGACGCCCGCACCGTCCTGAGCGGATGTCATGCATTCGAGAGCAATTGCAAATACTTTCTGCAAAAGACGTTGAGTTTCATCGGTTTTGCCTGGAAAGCGAGCCACATCGTCTAAGCAGCGATTGAGAAAGCCCAAAGGCCACTTCATTTGATGCGAACCAAATATTGCTTGGTATACTGTGAGTGAGATTACGACGCCGTGTGCTGTTAGCACATCGTACCAACTAGAAAATGACACGGCATCCCTCCTTGCATAAGCATACATCAACAACTTTGCAGCTCCTTCGGCAGTCGGTAGACGCGGCGCTTGTCCAATAACCTTCCCAACTAATTTTGATCCCAGAGTGCCATCAAATTCTCTCAAGATGTTGAATACAAAGCGCCACGCGGCATGCTCTGGCGTTATCCTCTTCGACACGGCATCATCTAATACCCATTCAAAGTCCGCAATTTTGTCGCTGATTTGGTTCAGACCTTTTGCCATTTGTACTACTATATCCTCCTGGAATGACATACCCTCCAACACCGATGTCCTGTATATCTTGAGCGCTGACATCAAGTCTCCGCAACCGAGAAGACCTGCGACCAGCCCAGCCGTTGTCGGATATTTAATCAATCTTCGTGCTCCAAAAGATTCCTTCGCACGGAGGGAGACTTCATGGGCAGCTAGCCAGCAACGAGCTGCATCCGTGAAGCGCATATCCCGACAGAGGCCATCCACAGCAACGTCTATCGCTTTGAATGCGTCTGTTACTTCGTCCCGACATATCGCAGCGACAAGATCAACAACTTCATCAAATTGTTTACCGGCAAGCGCAACTTCCACTCTCAGGCGCAACGTGATAGCTGTTGGGCTTAAGCCGGCCGAGTCCATGATATGAAGTGTATCAATAGCTTCCGAGACGAGCCCAGCCCGCATATAGCCTTGTATCAGCGCATTGTAGCATGCCACATCCGGTTTAATGCCACTGCTACGCATTCTATCCCACACCTCCTGTAATCCATGAATATCGGCCATTCGTGCGTAAGCGCCGAGAATGGGACTATACGTAGCGGCAACCGGGGCTAAAGCAAGCGTCGGAAGGGAATTGAACAGGCGGAGTGCTTGAGGAAATGTGGTGGGTGACTTTGCAAGGGCCGATATACGCCGGTTGGCGATCAATATATCCGTCAACATTGTGGGGGCAGGACTCAGGGTCGTCACAACCACAGGGTCCTGCACGCTCTCTTTCAGTTTCTTCGGGGAAATATCATATGTATCCTGTGATTTTCCAGTTGGAATAAGTTCACCCACAAGGCCTCCACATGGTTGGCTCTCAAGAAGAGCTGGCCCGCTTGTTGCGCTTTCCCGGTTGCGGGTCATCTCCCGCCAGACGTGCTCCAGTGTGGAATCAACCATGCAATCATGCTCAATCATAAGCTGATGCATGGCGGGTACCGCAGTAAGAGCATCGCGATTCAGAAGCTCTGTTATGGCAACGCGATAGAAACTACCGGGGTCATCTTCAACGATTTTACGTTCTTGTGAGAGCTTTAACCATTTTTTTACTCTCCCTAGGTCCCTTTTCGAGCAAGCTAGTCGGATCATAGCTAGAAGCACCTTTGCTGTTGGTTGTCCACCATTGTGCAGAAGCTCATTGTACCATCTCTCCGCTAGTTCATTCTGACCTTGCTTGGCAGAAGCCTCGACAAATCGCTCATAAATCCAGAGAGGAGGTTTATGACCGGCATTTACCATCGCATGGTAGTGAGTTTCTGCTCGCTCCACATCCTCATTCCGCAAAAAACCTGCTATAATAGTCCGGTACGTGGTTTCATCAGGTGTGATCCCCTCCTCAGTCATTCTGCCAAGCATGCGCATCGATGCGTCTGTTTGCCCCGCCCGTATAAAGCATTTTACCAGTATGTTATAGGTCAAGGCATCCGGAACTATTCCATCTTCTTCCATCCTCTGCATTACCAGAGAGATCTCTTCAGTGGCACCGGATTCCAAGTTTGCGGCCAAACCAGCCAGAATAGTGTTGTACGTGACTTTGTCGGGATGAATACCTATTTCACGCATTCTCGCAATTCCGTTTCTCAATCCTTCAATGTTCCCCTTTCGAGCAAAATCAGAAAGCAGGAGATTATACGTGACAACGTTCGGTTGAATTCCCCGCAATTCCATTTCACCCAAAACTGAACGAACGGCCTCCTGGTGACTCAGCTCTACGTATGCTAGAATAAGATGATTATAGTCCTGCTGATCCATCGGTAAGGACAGTCGTCGCATGTCGGCTGTCAAACGAAGGGTGACCAGCGCAACACGGCGTCGAGATTCCGTTCTCCGCACACATGCGAGCAGTCTGCGAATCAGGTAAGGAGTAACTCTCGTAGAGCCCACGGGGCTTTCAATAATTCTCCTATAACTGGCCAAAGCCCCCCTAGTGTCGCCGTTTTGGATCTCATGGTTAAGTTTGCGAAGAAAGCGACGGGTGCCGGCTGCGTCCTGTAACGCAGGTGCTACCGGAGGGCTTGACGTAATGGAAGCAAGAGACGCTCTAGGCCTAGACGGAAGTCTTAATATGGATGCACGATAGCGCAATATGCAGGGTTTGAATAGACGGATGCAAAAAGTCATGAAGAACGGGCATCTTTGAAGAGATCTACAGCGACGAGCCACGGTTGAAGGAAGCATCCTTCGGTTCCATCCAAGTCAGAATCTAATATTAGTCATCGTCGGAGTTTTCGCTGTTAACCCTTGGTAACAGCTCCAGGCTTTCAGGATCTCCGGTCCTTCCCTGCGCCCTCAATCCTTTGTTGGGCAATTTCAAACATTTCACCTTGGTCTGGTACATATTTCATTGCCTTGGAAGGTACCAAGATGATCGTCAAGGCACGGTACCATCACTTTATATCTTGTCCATCGTCAAGTATAAGGCTAACCATCTTGTCGTTTTCATACAGGATAGAACTCTCTATGTCAAGCTTTTAGAAGCAAAGCACCTCTATCCTGAGAAATCTCGTAAGTCCCTTGCATGATTGCAGTTTCACAATGAAAATAAGTCGGCAACGCCTAATATAGCTTGAACTAGGTCACACGGGCACATACTGCACTGTCGTTGTTGAGGGAGGAGAAGACCGCCGGACACCTACTGTCTATCATGATCCCAGTCCATTCTTTGGAGAAGAGCTTACATTTGGAGATCAGCTCCCAGCGGAGATATGGAGAATCACACTCGGGGTCTGGCAGGACACTGGTCATCAACCTGGTGGTTCAGGAGCCAAGACAACAGATAAATTGTTGGGAAAGGTTATCTTTCCGCGGGAGCTTCTTGAGGATGGGCGATTTGAAGAAGAGCAGGTTAGATGGGATCTCAATGCTTTCTCATATCAAACGTGGTCTGAGCGCGAATGTAGTGGTATCGTCTTATGCCGCCTGATCTAGATAATACGATCTACGGAGAAGTCCTCATAGGAGTCCGATATGTTGCTGACGATGCTGATCGAAAGTCGAATCGGTTAATCGTCACTGTGCATGAAGCTAGGAATCTCAGCCCTGGACCTGGAGGTAACTGCCCGCTATCGTGGTGTCAAGTGCCGCCATCCGGGATTGTATATGTACCGATTGTTTTCTCTCGAATAGGAACCCGAGATAGTCATGTTATATGTCATCTTCTTCCGGATCCTGAAGCACAGACTACTGAAAAAACGCAATGCATCAAAGATTCCCTTAACCCCGTTTTCCACGAGGATCTCACCTTGTATGTATAGCTTCACCGGTGGGACCCCTCACAACTTCACAGATATAACCGCTAAGCTCTGTTTTGTTAGTCAAATGAAAAGTCTCCATCCCAACCAGGAGCTCCATGTATCCTTATGGGATACGAGATCCGTCGACTCCTTCCTGGGGCATCTGTCGATTCCGCTGGGTGATCTGGATGTAGGGGACCACATAGAGGCGCGATGGAGAGGCCTCCTGCCACGACCAGGTATGTGTTCCGTATAACCGGGAGAAAGGTGCTAGTCAAGGCTAATATCGGCGTCCGGACTAATCCTTAAGCCTACTATGCGAAGCACAATCCACAAAAAGAAAAAAGTACGCAACACAATGACGAAAAACTCTAGAAAGTACCTACTTGACATTTGAATTCCGTTTTCCATTGTAGGGAGATCAGAGTCCGAAATTGCCCTCAGCAGAGCAAAACACTTTTTGCAAAGCATGCAGTCAACTATCAAAGGTCTGAGGAATTCACTAAAGCCGCTCCTGCAGGTTGTCAATCTGATTTTAATTCGTACTGCAGAGTTCACCCGGCTCAAACGACCACACAAGCTCATTGAGACGAAATTTGGCTCAACCATCTCATTTTGTGGCCATTGTGGACTGGCTTTAATGTCACGTCGAACCCATTATCAGTGTTCCAACTGGTACGTGACAAAACTTCTATCCCAAAAGTATTGGATGCCGTTATCTCACGGTATCGTACAGCAAGTTCAGCTGCCATGGCCGGTGCTCCAGATTCACGGCTAACGATTGCGGGGAGGTCGGTGAGTTCAGGAACGTAATTATTGTGCTCACTTCCTGCATTTACTCATGCTTTCACTACTTTAGGCGCTGTGCGACTGAAAATCAAGTATTCTGTAAGTTCTATCTAGTCCGTTTGGTCTAATTGAGCTAACTATAGCTGATTGTTGGCACCAGGTCAGCACCATATTGCCGCTGGAGAAATACCGGCCATTCTTGGATCTTTTAGCAGAGGATCGATACCGGGTGGCCCACCTTTTCGGAAAAGTCAGTAAGGACAGGGAGGAAGCTGCGTGGCCTTTCATCAAGTTGATGGAGGCGGATCTGGCAACAAAGCCCTTTCTTTTTGCCATAATATCGGCTGAAATTGAAGACACTAGTACGTTATTGGGCAGATGAATGGCCCCACTGTCACAACTTTTACTAACCATCTGCAACTCTGCTTGAAGATGATCCGAATACTTTGTTCCGCGGCAACAGCATGGCTTCGAAGGTAAGCAAAGAAAGCTGACGCGAAGGAGTGGCAGCGGGACAGCACTTTCTATGGCTTGAAGCAGGCTCCAAGCCTTCCTGAAGTACATTGAATTAATTTCGCTTCCTTCTGATAGGCCGTGGACGTATATATGCGATATATCGGAAGAGCATATTTGAAGAATACTTTAGGAGATATCATAAAGAGCATCGTCAGCAAGAAGTTACATTGCGAGGTAGTTTCTGATCAGGATGTATTACAGCAAGATATGCGTCATTTATTAATTTTTTTCCTACGTAGCTCGACCCAATGAAGGCTGATAAGGCCGATGATTTGGAACGTAGTCGAAAGACGTTGATGGAATGGAATCAAAAGATCTTGAACGCGATTTACGATACTCGATTCGCACTCCCGGCGTGAGTACTCTGTCTCATGTTACCTGCTCGTAGCGAGCGCATAAATGATATTTGTACGGATCTGCCCATTTTTCGTCGTATGGAGTCCATTGCGGCCAATATTTGCGCACGTTCAGCAGCAAGTGAGATGGAAGTTTCCCAATGACCCAATCGTGCGCTACACTTCGGTCAGCGGTTTCATATTTCTTCGGTTCTTTGCTCCGGCAATTCTCGGTCCACGACTCTTCGAGCTGATCGATGGTGTGATACGTTCGCTTACCACTATTCCGCGACTGAGTGAGATATCTTACTATTATCCAAACTCTGCACAGAATACATCGACCCTAGGACGAGCAGAACTCTGACTCTTCTGGCTAAGACTTTGCAGAACTTGGCCAATCTAGTGCCATTCGGTGACAAAGAGCCGTATATGAAGGTACGAAAAAATCGGGATCCTGAGGCAGTCCTCAGAAGTTTTGTCATTTGGCTGGTGATTAATCACCGTTCCAGGATATGAATATTTTCATCGAGGAGAACATCGACAAGATGAAACGATACATTGATGGAATTGCGGTAAGCGCTGGTCTCTTTTGAGCTATGTTATGTTATTCAATTTAACATAATCCGGATATAGGCAAAAGAATCAGTGCAACCTAATACACTATCATTTCATCACGTTCGTTACGAGACTGCCCGTGAAGCTGGTAATGTTTTTCGTTGTTTGACTGGACAATGTGCTGTACTACCGGAATTTTCAGCGCTAATGTGAGAGTTTTCCATAGCACGTCTGTTCAACTTGTATGTAAGAGCAGCCCCCGCTATCCTCCAAGATATGAGGGTGAGTTATTCCACCTTCCCCTGCGATATCGACGCCTGTAACATTATCAATGTGCAAACGAATTTTACAGGAGAAGGATGCTTCTGTAGTTCGTAAGCTAGCAAAGGTTTTGACAATGCTGACAATTGAAACAACTGCGAGAGACGGAATCGATCGAAATCCTTTCTCCTTCCCAACGTAAGCAGCCTGAGAATTAGTTTTGTGACTGGAAAGAGTTAATCGAGAAGCCATTTTATACAAAGATTGAAAAGGTCATATGCCAAGCTTCTGAATATGCGGATAGATATGGAAGACAGCAAGGGGGTGCAGCGAGCGACTGAAATGCCCTTTCAAAGCTTCGACGCTTCTAAATGGACACTGCATCATCTTACATCCGAACCCAGTACACCCACGCTCACTCAAATCATAGGAAGCGTCGAGGATGAACAGCACTATTCGAGTACTGAAACGCTTGCGCCCCACAAGAAAGGCCAGCGGGCGGCGGTGGACATGAGACCACCTGGGACGGCATTACCAGCATTACCAAGGAATCGGGGCAGTACAGAAAAGTTAAGGTTGGGCGACGAAGAAAATGCGCGACAGAGACCCCCAGCTTTGGAACTTCATTCCGCTAACGCTCCCAGTACCACACGACCACCGCCCCGATCGACACCAACCACAATCACTCCTTCAAGCGCAACGTTTGCTTCTCACTTGGAGGATTTAGATCTCACATTGGAACGATTAACCCCGTTGGTGACGAATGCAAGTGAAAGCTGCGAACCTGAGACAACCGACGCGGGAGCCTTGGCGGTGCCTGTCACACCGTCATCAAATGCTCAGGCACCGATACCGGAAGCTATAGATCCTAATGCATCCAGAAAATCCAGTTTGGCCACTACTATTGAGACTACCCTGTCGAGTGCCTATTCCTCTGCCCATTCCTCCGTTGCTCGTCGTAACCCTCGATCCCGTTCCTCTGTCCCCACTCTGACAGGCATAACGGCGCCTGGGCAACCAAAAATTGACAGCTTGGCTATTATGGCACTGCTGTCAAACGCTCGAGATGTTGCCATCCAGCAATCTGAGCAGACCCTTGCAACACAGGGTGAGTGTGTTGCATGCAAGAAAAACGTGATCGGTAACGACTATAAGCGCGTGAATGGGCAACTTTGGCATACGGAGCACTTTACCTGTGCAAAATGCGGTGTGCTGATAGCTAACGAGAAGGACGCTAAAATGTTCAAAGGTGCCCCTTATTGTCCGGCGCATGAGGTAGGTGTTGGGTACCCTCTTGATCACTGAGAGTTACCTTTCTGACTTTTATCATTGACCCTGATTGCAGATTAAACCATGTGCAACATGTGGAGAGGGAATAGCGGATCTTACAACTCCAATGGTTTCCGTTCTTGGCAAAACTTATCATCCTGATTGTTTCGTTTGCGCTGCGTGTGGTTGTCCAGTCAAGGAAGGGTTTGTTGCATTTGCAGGACATCCATTCTGTCGAGAGGATTACTACCGACAAGCTGACCTCATGTGCGGTGTCTGCGGGGATACGATACCCAATGGTATGTAGTGTCCGTAGTATATTGTACAGTTAATTAGCCTCTTATTGAAGACGTCCATCTAGCATACGTTGAGATTGCAGGTCGCAAATACCATGTTGACTGCAAGCGATGTGATGTAGGTCGATTGTATTGGTTTTCTGACAATTTCTCCAGCTAATGCGGATCTATCCTAGCGGTGTGAGCTACCGCTCGCCAACAAGCCGTACTTTATCCTGGAAGATAACGTCTATTGCAACAGTCACATGCATGAAATGCTGAAATGCAAAGGATGCGGGGAGATTGCGACAGGGAATACAGGGCAGATAGTTCGTCTATCATCAAACCAGACTTATCACCCTGGCTGTTTCCGCTGTACAGATTGTGGACGGGCATTAGGATCTGGGTTTTATGAGTTCCGGGGGAACCCAAAATGTTATGTGTGCTATTTAGGATCATTTTAGTGCAATTAGAATATTATTATTGTATCATTGTAAACCTGGTCCTCAAGATCTGATAGTGTATTGGCATTTGGTTCTTTAACGTTTACTTGGGCTTATGAAAATACACCAGATAAATATCATCAACCCCTTGATTCACGTCGGGCCTATGGCCCAATGGATAAGGCGCCTGACTACGGATCAGGAGATTCCAGGTTCGAATCCTGGTAGGCTCGTTCTGTGGACAGACTGAATCCTTTTTTTCAGCAGAACAAACGATCACTAGAAACACAGTGGGCATCCGTTATAGTAGAATACAGCGTTTAAGAGGTTGTAGGATGAAATGCCTTATATTGTCCCAAAGCAAAGGATACACTCTGGATGGTTAGTTTTACAGCTTGCTGGCCTGCAATTGTCGTTGTTCAACAGCAGGCGATTGAAAAATAGCGAAAGGACATGGTCTGTGATAAAACTAACCTTGAATTGATTTTCAAAGTACCGCAGCCGACTACCTTCACTAACAAGATTCCGATAGATCCACAAACATTTACTACCATGCTGTGACGGGGATTATCTTTTGGTGGGTATTTCATTCGGATGCTGTTCTAGCACGGACGCAAAGTACAATAGCGGAAAAGTATTTGAGAGTAGATATCTATATAGATAACAACATGGTAATAGAGTCGAATAAATACTACTAGAATGGCCAGAGCGACCCAACCCATGACTTTGGTCTCTTGACTGGGCGCCCTTCAACGAGTTGGTCCTCCGCTGACAGATTTGCTTTCGGCTTTTGATGGTTCTCTTCCCATTCTTCGTCGTCTTGTCTCAATCTCTTTTGCCCGACGCTGGAAGCTTGTTTCTCCTGCTGGACAGATGCCGCCTGCCCTTCCAGCTTCAACACCCGTTCCTCCAGTTCTGCAATGCGTTTACTGGCACGCTCATTGACCTGTTCAATCATCTCGTTCAAGTCTTCAACTGCCATAATGACTGTTTTCACGTCCTCGCGTACGGCGGCAATGTCCTTGCTGTTGTTATTGACATTATTGTTGCTGTCTAGTTCAAGCACTTTGTCTGTCATCGTCGGGGTTACTGGGCTCATTGGTAGGTCAGTAGACGATAGCGTGGGAGTTGCTCGAACTTTGAGGTCCTGCACGCGTCTTCTTTCGGGCATTTTTCGATATGAAAAAAAAACGGATGATGGAAATGTTCGAATATGTTGGAAGATCCACTTGTTCTATTGCCCTTTTAAATGATAGCTTGGGATCGGTTAAAACTGCTTCTAGAATTGCATATAGACGATGAAGCTTCTAGATGTGCTTAATCCCCGCCCTGTGATGCAAAGAACCCTGAGGATAGCGTGCATTGCCACGGGTATGGGCGGCATATTAACATGTTATTTTCGATGCCCAAGACAGATGACTGATACTGCCGTTTTATGGCTGGCTTCACTCATAACTGACAAACTGAACTGCACCATTACTCATTTTTGCCTTTTCATCTATGCAACGCAATCCCTACAGGTCTGCTGCTAGCAGCTCTAGCATTGACGAGTTGGAAGAGTACGAAGAGACCAGCTTATATCCAGTCGACAAGACGCCGGCCGAAGCACCACTAATAAAAGTTACAACAAATCCCGAACGGGTCCGCAAGAGTAAAGAAAGCGAAAGCACAAGTTCTGCGTCCCCGCAAACAGCCAAGGCTCCGGCCGTTACCTCTGCCAATCACTTGGAAGAGGTCCAAGAGGCGATCAGCAAAACGCAGGCAATGTTAAAAAGTGAGACGGCCGCTATTCTCGCACAGGTGCTCAGGCTTCAAGCGCAACAGGCCATCTCCACATGCAAAAATCAGGAACCAACCATTGAGGATGAGAGGACAAGAGGCAAATCAAACGATAACCGTAGACTTGTCTCTACATCAAATATCGTTGACCAACCCAATGAGCCTTGGCTGGATGCCCGAACGGCATTTGAGCAGCTACAGAATATCATTGGACAAGAGGCAACGACTGTTCAAACTCGGCTGGCCCAGATGCAAATATCGCACCTAGAAGCTAATGCTGCTAGAAATGAGAGTGTTGTCAGGGAATTACAAAGAAGGGTAGACGCAACAAGGACTGAAGTAAAATGCTTAAAGCGTAAACTGGAAGGACTAAATGAAGAGGTTCATGACACCAAGCGGAGAAAATTGGATCGAATACGAAAGACGACGAATGTTCTTCTACATATCCCCGTCTATGCAACCTTCTTTTATACGATGTACAGAGCGCTAGGAGGAGATATGGACGTAGATGCTATACGGGCGCATGTGTCATCATATCTTTAACTGTTAATAGAAGGCAAAGTATGGGAACTATTCATATCACTTCATATTCTGGCCACGCACGCTTTATGCAGATTATATTCTAGACATACACACATATTCATGTTGATACAGTTTATATTCTGGACAAACACACTATTCACTTTGATATACAATAGGTGCATATTAATCGGCTGACGATGCCACACTATTGGAAATTGGAGACAGTTGTCCCTCTACCCCTACGGCCTGGACCTTGTAAAGGTAGCGTTCCCCGTTGGGCAATGTAGCATCGGTCCATAGTGTCCCTACTGTCACCAATCGGTTTATCGATTTACGATCTAAAACTCCCGTAGCGAGTGGTGCTGTTTCATTGAATTCTGTTCCGAAAGCCGTGCGGAAAATTCTGTACGAAGCAGCCCAAGCACTTCCTCGCCATATTAATCGACCACCATTCGCAGTAAACAAGACCGGTGCTTGGGGCGTTATATGAGGCATGCTCGATGGACAGCCCTGAATAGCCAATGCTCGGGAGCGAAGGGCTGGAATGACGCTCTGCTCCTCTGGTCCGAACTTATCTGTGGTGTCTGCGGGAAAGCCAGGGACATGATACGACACGATCTCGTAGGTATTGCTGGTGTCATTTTTTCCTTCTGAATGAACGTAAAAGCCGCCAAATGAAGTATGTCCCCTTTCAAAGTACAGAGGATCAGCACTATTATAGCAGTGCGGCGGAAGACGTTTCGATTACCTCAAGCTCCAAATGAGAGCGCCTGTAACATTCACGTTGCTGACAGTCTCATCCATTATTTCATTGTACGTCCCGGGATCGGTGAGACCAAATTCGCCCGAAATGAAAGCTTTGCCATATGATGCTGCCAATGCAGCCTCCTTGCGCATGTTCTGGCGATCGTTGATCCCGTAATAATGGTTACCGAGGATGTCAATGTTTTGATCTTGAAGCGCTAGCCAGCGACTGGAGCCTCCAATCGTGCCATCAAGCACTAGCGTGTTGGGCGCAAGAGTTTTGATATGACCAGCAATGTCAGAGCGCCAATCTGCTGGTGGTGGTGGATTTGTCCAGCCCCCGAGTTCGTTCCCGAATTCCCATGCAAGAATGGTGGGATCATCACCGTACCTGCGATTCCCCAGAACTCCTTAGCTGTTTACATGGTAGCAAAATTCAATTATCACCACATACCGAATGCCAGTAACTGTATTGATACGACTGAGCACGTCCGTTATAAAATCCTTGAAGTCCTGCCTGAGCGTAGCGTTTGTGAAAAAGGCTTCCTTTGGCTGATTTCTAAGCTCCGCAAAAGCGCCGTAGCTGCCGTAGAACCATTTTTCACCGGTATTGTATTCAGTTATCTAAATGACACAAGTTCGCAGTCAGAACAATTCCGAGTGTATTTAATCAAGCGGCCAAATACTCACGTCATTGTTAATGAAAGGTATTATCAATCTTACGCCGTTTCTCCGGGCTGCCGCTATCGCATTGTCAACGCCAACAAAAGCTTCTTCGTTGTATGTACGCAGACTTATAATGTGATAGCCAACGGAAAATGTGTATGTACGTGCGACGCGACCACCAAGGCCGGCAATGGACTGCATAAGATCATCTTGCTCAAAGGGATCCGGCACCTCCCGTCCCGAATTTGGCCTGTCTCCAGTCATGAGAAGGCTGGGTGTGTTGGCACTCACGAATCGGAACGGCTGGTCGCCATCGTACAGGTTATTGCCTCGTCGGGTGATGAAGTTGAATGTTGTTGAGGGTATACAAGTCGGCGTACTCGATGGGACACTAGATTGAAGTGTCGAAGTTGAAGCGATCGTTGCCGTGGCTGTAGGCTTAATATCGTCATCATCGCAAGGCTCATCTTCTGGAGTTTTGGTAGCAGAATAAGGTAGAGTGCTAGTCGTCCGACTGGAATGGGAAGAGCTCGAATGTTCATACTCATGGCATTCCCCTGCAGGTCAGAGAATTGGGATGAGAACGCAAAGGAATATCGAGGAAGAGCCAAAACCGCTTACCCCAGGTTCTACGACAGTGCTTATTGGCCCACCAGTGGGACCACTTATTCCAATGACGGTGCCATAGCGAGCCTTTACCTAGGATTTACGAGCATGTGGTTAATTATACAGACGGAATGAGACAAGGAACGGAACTTGGCACATACTCGGGAGAGGACTTGCATTGCTGCTTGAGTTGAAGAAAATAAGACATAGAGTCAACGTAATGAGGCAGAATACTCTGCGTGACATTTTCTTGCGAGTCTTGTATCTTGAAAAAGGCAGAGAAATCGTTCTGGCGCACTGGGGGGAAACAGGACAGCCCGACCCATTTTTAACACAGTGTAAATGGTGTCTGATGACATGGCGGTGAAGGAGAAGACCTTCCCAGCGTAAACTCACTTTTGTTCTGTTGCAAGTCTCCTGATGGAAGCTGCTTCGATAGATGACCGCGAGTGTGATATCGTAAGCATTCTGGGAAATTCCGACAAGGCGCGTTTCTCATGGTAAAAACCTTAAATGAAGCGTCAAAACGCAACGTGGAGTGCGATCCGATGCAGGCAGAACCAATTCCACTGCCCACCAAGGTTTGCATTGTATTGTGCGAGAGTGAAATTCAACTAAACATGCACACTCTTTGCGCTTCACGACGCTTGGCTTGGAGGCAGGGCTATGGTCAGTGACCCCTCAGCCCCCATTAGGAGCACCCTGCGGTCGATGACTTTGGACCGGCATTGCATCACACACGGAGCTCTTTCACTTGTCTGTCATCCTGCCAATGCCGTTCATGGCCATATTAAATACGTCTAAACATGTACTGCCTTCCCAAGGTTGGGATTTTACCACGCTCTCTATGTTGCGACGAATGTTACAGCCCATTTCTACAGCTTTGCTACAATTTGAATGCAATATTAAAGTAACTTCAAATGTCCAGTGACAGTGTCCACGGCCTGGATTGGAGCTATGGAATAGAGGGTTCTCAATGCATACCCCGATTACACCCATGGATTCAAATGGCTTGTTACCTGGTCCGATCGCCAGTACCGTACGGCTCCCTTCGGGAATTTGTGTCCGTCCTGCATCCTCGATATACTCGGCAACAAGGCCAGCCTTGCGTGCCAACGCATGGAGGTGCAGACTGGTTTTTCAGGTCAGGTGAGCATCCATCACCCATGAGAGGAAGGGAATTATATACGCTGAACTCACAGTTCTTTCTCAGACGAGCATTTCAGTGCCACCTTTGCCGCGCCGTACTTTTCCCACTTTCGTAATACATCGGGCGCTTTGTATTGCGCGGTCTGCACGGCCGCCACCGCCGCATGACAACACTTGTGGTGAACGCATGAAAGGATGCACATGTGGTCAAGAGTTTGACAGCCATTATCGGTATGACGTACACTGCTCACCTGGGCAGCGATTTTTCCTTTTCCCATTCCCAAGTCTGTTCTCACAACTAGCACCATCTTGTGTGCCCGCAACGAGTCGCTATCTTCATCGGTATCACTTTCACTATCATCTTGATATGATCTGGGACTTGCCAAAGAAGGTGAAAGAGGTGCAGGTGCCTGAACAGTTGAGGTTAGAGAAATGTTTTGGCGGATGTCGGCCAACATTTCACGCCAGACACCTTTTGTCGTCGCCCTTGCCACCAGCGTTGTACTGTTAAGCCAACGAAAACTCCAAAGGTCCCTGCAGAGAAAACATGGAGAACCGAATAGTGCCGTGTTGCCAAAGTATTGTAAATGTCCACGATGCTCTCCATGTTGCTTCGAAAAGCCTAATGCGAAGCGCTTCAAAGATGACCATTTCCTGAATGAGTCATTATGACTCATGTATCCGAAGGACTGAACTCGCTGAAGAGCTGAGTTTTGTCCAAACCATCCACACCGAGATCAGCAGCATCATGGAGGTCCAACCGCGCGTTAATTCGGTATGTCTACAGTTGGCGAAACTCAGGCCCATCTAACAGCTGATATCTCGGAATCACACAGGCTGTAATACCTAAATGCCAAGGAAGAGTTGTGAGACTGGTGGGCAAGATGCTGGCGGTATGTCGCAGACAAGTTTTCAATTGTCCAGCCTTGATGAGCCTTTGCACCTGCTGGTGGACCACTGTGATAACGATTAGCATATCTTTTTCCCATTAGATGAACCCGGCCACTGGAGAGGCTCTGATCGAAGCATGTGATCGAGGACAGGTTACGGTACTGGTATCACAGGTCTGTATGCGTGCAGCATAGATAGTTTGGCAAACCGCTATCATATGCCAATTGCTCACATCATCTGCGTGATTAAAAAGGGATCATCACTGGCCCAGAGTACCGGATCTGTAGTGGAAGTAATAGTAAGTTGGCAATTGTGATTGACCCATCCTATGCAACATTTTTAACTCTGTTGGATAGGGACGAGTTCAACCGAATTCGGTGATAGGGGAGATTAATTCGACGCAATTTGATGAGAAATGGGGTAAGGTTGTTTTCTGTCTGACTATGTCAGTTGGTTGTGACCCCAGGATTTCTCTTTGACAGATCCCGAAGCATACAATAAGATGGTCTTGGCCACTATGGAATTTGATCATATCTTTGGATGGTGGAACTAACGGATGTTCTCGGATCTTGTATATCTTGTAAAAAAATACACAATACAGCTTGCAGTATCTTAGTGTGCAGGTGGCAGAAAATGTCACTAGGGACAAATTCTCCCTCCAACCCACTACAGCCGGTTCTAATTTACAATTAGTCAGTCTGTCCAACCCTTCATAACCTATCCTGCAAACGAGTCCCACCCGTATCCTAACTCGCTACAGGTTCCAGCCTGGGTTGAACTGGGGTACGTGCAAAGTAGCACGATTCCACTAACTAACTACCACTAGGCCCAATTACACATGCAATATATTATGGTTGTTTCTAACCAGGTAACTAAGCCCACCACCACGAGAGAAAATCCTACTAGGCCTTTGATTCCGAAATTCTTGAGTCGGAGGATGTTCAGATACTAGTAAAATCAGAATAATTAGACTGGATAATCCGCATGGGAAAAGCCCATCAAGATGTACCTGCGATCGTAGCAATATAGTAGTAGCAGCGTTTGCAAGGGTTTGTGTTGTATTTGTCAGGAGGGCGAGGTCCTCGGCACCACCACATCTGTATTCTCATGATTCGACCGACAGTCGCGATGAGAAGAGTTGCACAGATGCTTGCGAGTCGAGGATGGGTAAGAGGAAAGAGGGAAGAGACAGCAAAAGGCCCCCCTTTTATAGACCTTTGACATGCACCTCACCGCAGTTTAAAAAAACATTACATGCCAATCTGAGCGATAGATGGGGGTTCTGATTATGCGATATGACTAACCGGATTAATCCGGATAATAATGAGTTCTAGTGCCATTTTCAATCACCTCCACACTAAAATCAGACGTAATCGCAGGAGCATACGATGCAGTTGTCATAGCAACAAGCATGACGGAGTGTCAATCTCAAGAGATCTTAACTTCTGGAATTTAAGTACAGTCGCATCATCCTTTGGGGTCGCCGGGGTATGGGACAATGGCAAAACCCGTGAAAGCGCAAGTTTCAAGCCTTAGTTTCCAAGGATTTCGAAGGGCGTGCTAATTATGTTGTACTTTTAGTCTGGTTATTGGAGCGTTGAACGGAAACTTCAAGCAAGCTTTGATAAAGATTAATGGAATTAACGCTAAGCACGGCCCCTTTGACCTGCTTCTTTGTGTGGGGGATTTCTTTGGTGCGGATGAGACGGACAACGCAGCGGTAAAAGAGCTGCTGGAAGGCGATATATCAGGTGAGGACAATCCCGGACTCGCCGACCCCGCAAAGCTTATCCCTAAGACTCGGAAAAGTGCCAGTGCCCACGTACATTATTGCTGGTCGCCATACCCTTCCAAAGCCTGTGCTCGAAGCCGTGGAGAACAATGGCGGGGAAATTTGTAACAACTTGGTTTTCTTGGGTAAAAGCGACTGGATTTGGAGGTTTTGAAGGAAAAGCACTAAAAGTTGGATACCGCTTTCAGGCAACAGTGGAGTGATGACCACGGTTCAGGGATTGAAGATAGCGTACTTGAGTGGTACATACGATGCAAAGTCTTACCCAAGCGGAGTAGATCAAGCACCAGATCAGACAGCGATGCACTATACAGAGACGACTGTCCGGTCATTGAGCAGCTCAGGGACTGGATCCGTGCATGGTTCTACTGGTGTCGATATTTTCATTACCACTGAATGGGCTGAGGGGATTACCCAAGGATCTGCGGCAGCCTCAAAACTTCCAGAAGGAACAGATCCAAGAAGCTCAAAACCTGTTGCCGACCTTGCCGTGGCATTGCAGCCACGATACCACTTTGCAGGATCAGCGGGGGTGTTCTTTGAGCGTGAACCATACAGTAACAGGGGTTCGGCTGGGCATGTGACTAGATTCATCGGGCTTGGCGAGTTTGGAGCCGCAAACAAACAGCGGGTACGTACACGAGCCGCAAATATCTTCGAAGCGCGAATGATCTTTCTTATGGTAATTTGTTGTAGTGGTTCTATGCAATGAACATCGTGCCGTTGTCCCAAATGGAAAGCTCGCAGTTGAATGTAAAACCCCCGAATACAACCACATGTCCGTTACCATTCGGCAATACATCTAAAAAGCGGGCGCTGGATGAGGTATGGTCCAATCCTGCTTACCTCGCAAATTATTTAATGTTTATGGTGTCGAACTATTGCAATGCCTTTTACAGGTTCCGGACAGTTTCTTTTTCAATAATGCGGGAGCGCGGGGAGGCCAGAAACGACAGGCCAATGGTCGACGTAAGTATGCGACCGAGCGCGACGCGAGAAACAAGTTTCTGGTCTTGCTCATCTATTTATATTTCAGCACCACCACGTAAATACGTATGCCATCGATGCCAGCAGCCAGGCCATTGGCTGGAGGATTGTCCTGTCAATCCTAAAGAACTCACTCGAACGCCGCCTGAAAAATATGTCTGTCGCTTGTGCAATGTTCCCGGGCATTATATTAACGACTGTCCCCATGCTGATCGAAACCTGCGAGGACCCAAAGCCACAGATACGATATTAAACCGCGATGGTATGTTAATACTTTAACATTTACAAAACAGGGCGCATTCTCACCCCCTGACTCTTTCAGCCGGGCAATGTTGGTTTTGCTTGTCAAATCCAGCATTGGAAAAGCAGTTGATTGTTTCGATTGGTTCCGAGGTGTACTTGACACTCGCAAAGGGGGGTTTGGTGGATTGGGGTGGACATATGCTGGTTGTGCCGATAGCACATTATACAAGCATGCGTCAAATGCAGACGCTGGACGGAGCGGAAGGTGCCACAGCGCAGGCGGCGTTGGCGGAAATGGAGAAATTCAAATCTGCATTGCGGGATATGTATACCGCTCGAGGAGATATAATGGTTTGCTTTGAAATTTTTGGTGGCGGTGGAAATGCGGATGTGATGCGCATGCAGCATATGCACTTGCAGGTACGCTCTCGCTTGTGTCCAGTTATTGGATCTTTCCCTTGACGTTATCATCATGATGAACAGCTCGTGCCATTACCGGCGGATTTGTTACCGGATCTGGAAAAGGTATTCCTTGAAGAGGCTGCTGCGGAGGGCTTGGAGGTTGTACAAGATGGACGTCTACCGGATGCAGTTACCGCACCCTACTGTCGCGTAGAAATTCCAGCAACTGAACAAACGCGCGTATTTGTATTTCGTCCATCTGCAGCAAAGGTGGAAGAAGTGAGGAAGCTGACTCTGGAAGCTGCGCAGGGTGGCAGACGTCCACCTCGTGTAATGAACTTGCAGTTTGGAAGGTAACGTTAAGAGTCGTGTCTCGGGCATCGTCTCTGTCGAAACATCCTTAATGAATCAAAATGTTGCGTGTTTTCAGAAAAGTGTTATCAACACTGCTTGGCAAGCCCGATCGTATTAATTGGAAGAACTGTATTTTACCGGAAACAGAAGAGCAAAGGCTAACAGAAGAGATGCGAAGACTAGTAAAATTAGGCTGATTCATAATTATCATCTTACAAGGCGGGTATAAAAACTAGCGTAACATGTACAAAGGCAACGTCTAAGAGTGTTTTGCCTGCCCATCTGCAAAACACCGCGGCTGATAATGGCTGAAGGAATAATGTATCGGAATAATAGGTGGAGGGAACAAGAGGTGATCCGCCTCAGAGCGATGGGCCACCTCCTCTGCGACAGACAAATAATGCTGCCTTTAAGGCTCGGGTACACCCATGTTTCCCTTTCGCAGATGCGTTTCCAGTCCGTCCTTGAACCCCTGCTCCACCGCCTTTGCTTCCTCAACCAGCTTTTCGACAATGGTTTCCAAACCTTGTCGTCCGCGAGCAGCGTTTTTATGGAATGAATTGACCGCGCTCTCTTCCACCAGTTTAGCTCCGTAGCTCAACACTCCCATTGCGCTCACGGCCGCCTGTTGCGTAAAAACTGTCTTCCCTTCTGGATGTTCTGGGTCCGCTTTGTACTCGCACTTCTCCTCCAAGTTTATGAACGATCGCATGCTTAGGTTTGTCGATATCGCTGTATATGTCTGCGATCGGGGGTCCAGATAGGAGATCTCTCTAAAGTAGGCCACTTCTGGGATGGGAAGGATACGACGTAGGAGGGCTGGTGCAGATTGTTTGCAACAGAGAAGACGTTCGGTTGTGAGAATGCCCGTTTCTGGATCTACAGACCGATCGAGCACGTCCACGGAGAGGACGTGTGAGGAGTATTGGTTTGGATACTTTTGCCAATTTGCTAGCGTGAGGGTGCACCAAGGATGGGCAAAGAGGTATTCGGTTTCAAAGAGCTTCATTTTCAGCGACGACGGCGGGAAACACGCTAGTAGGGGATGAGGACAATCGGTACTTGCAGGCACGTCTTACAATGGAGAACTAGCTCTACGCGGCAACGTCTTCAACGCACGGAAGTAACTTGCTTTTCGTTGGCAGCTCGTCGTCCTTTTGACAGTCTCCGTCGCCACCGCACAGAAAGTTGCTCTTTTTTTGGGAGCAAATCGTTTTTCCCGATTTTTTCCATGCAGCTTGTTGCTATAGCAATTCACGTGATTGTCGATCACACGCGACTTGGATTACGTTATGGCGCGAAAGTTGGAACGTCAGAATAATTCAACGCAGTTTTACGGAACGCACCTCACCTAGTTTTACCACCACGTTTTGAATAACCATGAGCCAAGCAGCGTTTTCCAACAAGGAGTTTCACGCCGCCCCCGAACGTAAAAAGTTTACTGAAAGGGTGGACTACGAGAAACCTTCTCGTGAAATCCTCGAAGAACTTCATCATGGCCCCATTTTGGCGAGCACTGTCGGTATTACGGCCGAAGTTGTTCAGAGCCCTAGGGACCAAGCAAACTCAAGGAGTGACTCCATGACTAGCCTGTTTGGCGATCACGGAGGTGAGTTCTGATAATAGCTCAGTATTACGGTCGGAACGTTGGCTGTCTCTCATAATTCGTACACGATCAGATGCGACTACTCGTGCCAAGAACAGTTGGTAGTTATTGGCTGAATTTGTTCAGATATTTTGAATTTCTTGTGCAATTTGTATAGTAGGAGCATCATTGGTACAAAATATCGTGCTCGTTATTGATCGAGCTATGCTCACCTCACTTGAGATACTTTTACTGGACGACTAACTACGACAATCTAGCTAGTAAAAGATAATTTCAAAGAACCAATTGCCAATGTCCTTGCGTCAAATTAATGGTGCCGCGCACCCATCACCTCTAGGATCCGATCCCCCAGCCCACATTTTATTCAATCTTCGTTCTATAATCTGCCCTCGTCCAAACATGGCCCTCTCACGGCCAGAAAGCACCTTTACATTATGTCCCATGTGTTTCAGTTGCTCTACAACGTCATCATCGATGCCTTCCTCAATGAAAACAAACCCATTTTCTGGTGCGATACAGATCCTTCGCGCATCCAATGCACTCTGAGGGCTCATTTTGTGATGAAGAAGGTTCAAGAGAACTTGCACGTGTCCTTGGGGTTGCATAAAGCCACCTGTAATAAGCTGTGTGAGAAAGTGTTCCAAGCATTAGTCTTCATGGACGACTCTAACCCATAACCCCATAGCAGTAGAGAAGTTCCTGCGTCCCTGGCATGGTAACCATCGCTGGACTGTAATTGCAAATCATTATTACTCAACCAATCCTTATGACGCTGATTTCGTGGCTCTCACATGATGGTATGATATGGCCTTTTACCAGGTGCCACGACATTTGCGGATGCCGGATCCAGGGAAAATCCACAGCCGCGACTTTGGAGAGCCACCCCAGTCCCTTTACCAACAATTCCCTGCAAATAGGTGATTTGACAGCGTTAGAGCGGACACCTCCTGAGATAGAGTTCCCTTCATGCCTCTCACCGTTCCGCAGGAGTAATATAGTGAGTTCTAGTATGAGAGTGTATCAATGATCACAGCACCGGGCCATTTCCAGTACGGAAGACTTCACTTACAATGAAACTGCAGGCATTTCCCTCCTCATCGACAACGGAGAAGCTGAAAATAGAAATTTAGACAACTAGAGAAGAGAAGTTATCATGAGCTATACTGACTACACAGTATCTGAAGAATGTTTTGGTGATCCGTGCTTCACATCTACAGCTGCCTTGGTAGGATCAAAGATGAGAGAACGCTCTTCCAGATATTCCTATCAGTCGACAGTTCAATTTGTCAGCTCTGCGGCCCTTCTTGGCAGTACAAATGCACTAAACACCTTTCTCAGAAGCCCTTCGACAGGAACCGACGTAACATCTGAAGAATAACAGAGCATATATCATAAGTCCAGGTCCTCTTTCAGTTACACACTAACACAGTAATCACCTGGATCCGCCACATGGAATTGCCCATCAGCGAAGCCCATTCGTAAAGCTTCAATGACAATGTGGAGATATTCAGCAGAGTTGTGGCGCAAATGAGAAAGGTTCTTGATCCGCCCTTTCCTTTCCAAGGCGTCGATGATACCCAAAGCCAAAAGGGCAACAATCCTACGGCCAAAAACAAGATGTTTGCCGTGTCATGTCATGGCAGCGTCAAAGAAATGCGACATACCCTTGCCCGTTGGGCGGATGCTCATGAACTGTCACGCCTTGGTAGTCTATCGAAATAGGGTCTGTTGGAGTACTTGTGTGTTGCTCAAGGTCCTCAAGGGTTAGCACACCACCTGCCAATCCAGCTTAGAATTGGCAAAAAGGAACATGAATGGGTTTGATGACCCTACCGGCCGCTTGTACCGCTTCCACAAGAGACTCTGCAATGCGACCCGAATAGAAACCGCTTTTACCAACCGTGGCCAACTGTCGAAAAGTTCTAGTACTAAACTTTAGTAACAGACGCTCTGCCACTTGCGACATCTAGTAACTTACTCGGCCAACTCTGGTAGTCTCATAAGGTCTCCTTCTCGAGGAGCTTTTCCATTCAGCAATAGCTCCCCACCATTTGGAGACGCGGTTTTAAGCTTCTTTTCTGATGTGCTCCACAGATGAGCCGCCACATCCGACACCGGAAACCCATTGTCGGCTAGCGATATTGCTGGTTCGAGAATATCCGACATTGTGAGTTTCCCGGAACCAAAGAGATCTATTGTATCTATCCACCCAGCTGCCGCGCCTGGAACAGTGACCTATAACAAATTGAGTCGGTCTTCTCGACGAAATCCCCGAGCTGTGATCAGCAGTAAACAGTCTCTTACGGCGAAAGGATGGGTAGGAGGGATAACATCCTTAATGCCTTTGTTTTTAACTAGCTCGAGTGTTAGACCCACCGGGGCACGACCCGAACCATTCAGCTGCGCAGTATGTTAATTTTTAAAAGATCTTGGGAATGCCTGGATCTGACATACCCCTTTTACGGCTTTTGTTTTCGCGTCATAATATAAGCAGAAGCAATCACCGCCAATGCCCGTAGAAGTTGGCTCTGAATGGGGCGTCTACTTAAGCATATGATAAAGAAGCAGCGTCAATATTTTTGCCCACCTGTTACATTCATGCATGCCGCTACCTAAAAATGCGCATAACATGGTCAGTGGAAAGTAAGTGGACTCCATCAGAAATTGAGTCCATGAACGGACCGCAACAGCTGCATCTGCAGCGTTTCCTCCTGATAAATAATAGTCAAAAAAGGCTCGGTTGCAGCTATTGCCAAACGTGTAAACATACCTCTCGCCAAAATGCCGAGTCCGGCTTGTACAGCTAGAGGCTGGGTGGCAGCCACCATAGCCTTCCGACTATACACTACCGACCTGCGAGAGTTGAACTCCCAAGGCTCGTGCGTAATAACCTCTGTGGCAATCTGCGGAGCAGCCATCGTTCAAATCGTACTTGAGCTCATCGTTGGAACCTTCTGCCCGATCAGCGATGGGCTGGCGGAATCTGCGCCACATTGCTGTGCCACTTACGAGAAGTGCTGATTCAATCGCAATGTTGCTTCCGTTTTGTGTCTACCTGATTTTCTTCACCAGCAAGACAATAACGATGAAGTCCGCGAAATGGATAGATATCAAGGACGATGACGGATATGATTTGGAGGTATGCAAAACTGGTGGAATTTCTTTTATGTATCAGTGTTGCTCATTGCGTGTAAATAGCACTTTGTGCTTCCAACCCACTATGAAAAAGATCTGCAGAGGGTGCTTGTACCTTACGGACTCATTCGAGACAGGGTCTCGAAATTAGCTCAAATGATTGCTGCAGAGTGTGAAAATCCCTTGGTAGCTTGTTGCGTCCTCAAGGTACATATGTCTGTGTCTGGTCCCATCCCATTCTTTGGTTTCTCAAGGCCGATCACTCTATTTCAGGGAGCGCACGGATTTTTTGCTCACTTGATGGAAGATCTCAAAAAGCAAAAGAATAGACGAGGGGAATCCAGTACGTCATTCTTTCCCTTTCTTGCTACCATATGCATTATAGTGATGAAATTTTAGTCCCCCTTCGACTGGAATTTATCAAGGTGAAAAGCTACGAGAATGATCAATCTACCGGCAACGTCACCATATCCCTATCTGAGGAGGACATGCAGGCCTTTAAGGGGAAGGATCTATTGATAGTTGAAGACATTGTGGATACAGGTACGAAATAGAGGTGACAGCTCTCTGCGGCTGACATTAACCAGTCGCTTTCTTGGCTTAACAGGGAAAACGATGGTCGCACTCATAGAACGATTGAAGCAGTATAACCCTGCCAGCATTCGAGTTGTGAGCCTCCTGCTAAAGAAGACCGATCGAAGTAACAAATATGTGTACGTTAATGACCAAATTTCTCGATTGACATGTGTGCAGAAGGAAACTGAATTTAAGAATCTTCTGTGTCCACTAGTCCGGACTATGTTGGATTTGCCATACCAGATCTCTTTGTTGTTGGGTAAGTGTGAATTAGCAGGTAAAATTGTTTTAGTGAATATACCAACACCACCCTCCTGTCAATCTTGCATGGATATAGTTACTGCGTAAGTTTGAAGGTTTGTTTCTTCGAAAGGTAAAATATGCTCAGATTGCCTCCCATATGCAGCTGGATTATAATGAACATTTCCGAGATCTTGATCATATTGCCGTAATATCTGATCATGGGAAGACAGCCTACGCGGAATAGAAGCGGATGCATGTATTAAGGATAATCAAATGAATCATCACTTTTTAAATAGATAAATAGTCTTGTTTACGGTGCCATGTCAATGTGCAAAGGCGAAAAACAGTGTTCGATGATTTCTGTTCGCGTCAAAGCAGGAGTTAAAAATAACAATGACTGTCATCACACTGCCCCAAATATCAGGGCATTCCTTATTAGTGGCGTATACCCTATTTTGACAGATCGCTTTTCGATAAATCCGCCCTCCTCGTGCGTGTTCCTGTTGAGAAACAGGTCGTGCTGATAGAAATCTCAAAGTGCATTCATACCCGTTAAGCTACTGCAACGATGAGTGGTCTAAGTGAACGTGAAAAGAAAAAGCGTGACGAGCAGAATGTTAAAATCTTGCAAGAACTTTTGGCTTTGCCCGAGAATCAGGCGTGTGCTGACTGTGGAGAAAGAGGTGAGGTTGGGGGGGAGGATGGATGAACGCGACATGAGCGTGTCGTACTGGAGCAAACGTTTTGAGATGGCAATGAAGCGACTAACGGAAGGTTTCGATGTAATGCAGGACCCCGCTGGGCGTCGTCCAACCTGGGAGTCTTTCTATGTACGTATGGCCAATCTTTGAGAACTGTGTAATGTCACAACTTTCTGCTCACCGTACAACTGGTCGTTTTGTGCAGGCATCCGCTGTGGAGGATTGCATCGAAAACTGGGTACTCACATCTCCAAAATCAAATCGGTTACCCTCGATTCATGGACTCCTGAGCAGATTCAGGTGGGTGCTGCATAATGTACCAGGAATGGCCCAAGTATCTGACACGGCTGCGTATTCAGGTCATGAGAGACTGGGGAAATAAGAAAGCCAATGAAAGGTTTCTTGCTGGTGGAGGCCCGGTTGTACCATCCCACAGTGATTACGACATGGAAATGTACATTCGCAACAAGTACGAGAAAAGGACGTTTGAGAGTCCTGGCGGAGCGGTACGTAGCAAACAGTCAAGAGAAAGAACATAAAAACCGTCTCTCAAACTTCTACAACCTTTTCGTTACCAGGCTCGTATCCAAGATGCCAACCTCGCCAGAGATGCCACTGTCTATGCCGCCCAATTGCGTACCCTAGCTGGCATGGGATTCCACGACCAAGCCCGCAACATTGTGGCATTGAAGCGTTCGAATGGCAACATTGACTCTGCCGTCGAATTGATAGTGTCTCTGCAGAGAGGAGACGGGGGACAGAGCAGTGCAGCTGGCGGATCTAAGAATGCAAGCAGGTCGGGTACGCCGGGACCGTCGTCAGTACGTGACACCGTTCACAACCAGGCGAGAAACGCCGTTCAAGCCGCTCTTATATCTCTTCAAGCCATGGGCTTCAACAATGAGGAAGAGAACCTTCAAGCCCTCAGAGCTACCAATGGACAGTTGGATGCTGCCGCCAACATGCTACTAGATGCAAGGAACAGGAGAATGTCACAACAGATAAGTGCAAGCGCTCAGCCGCCGGCCCTTCCACCCAGAAACGAATCTATAGCCGCCAATCCCAACTTTGTGCTTGAACCGCCCACATCTGCGAACCGAGGAAACAGGGTACAAAGACAACAGGTAGCTGGGCAACAACAACAGCAACAACCTTCACAGCCATCCCAATCTCAAAATGATCCATTCGGAGGGTTTGGAGGCGATTTGTTCAGTGCTCCCCAACAGCAAGTCGCTCCACAGCAACAACAGCAACTGCAGCAACCTTCCAACCCTCTAACCGACCTCTTTGGCGCCCCAGAACCCTTTCAACAGCCACAAGCTCCCCAAGCCCAAGCCCAAGCACCATCCCGAGCTGCTCCTGCAAAAGAATCGATCATGTCCCTCTTTAATACTCCCAACCCTCATCAACCTGCTCTGGGCTTCCAAAACCCAAATATGGGAATGCAATACTTCAACCAGGCGGGTGGTGGCGGTTTCCCCCAACATCAACAACAAATGTTCCCTCAGCACCAGCAGCAAATGTTTGGCCACCAACAGTTCCAGCCTCAAATGATGGGCATGCAAAATTTGGGAATGGGAGGCATGCAAAGGCCGGGAATGAATGGGATGCCGCAGCAGGCATATTCCAATGTGAACAACCCGTTTTCTGCATCTCAGCAGCAGCTGCCACAACAGCAACAGCAGCCGACATATGTGTACGGATCCAGGCCGAGTAATGTAAGTCTATATCTGCTTCGTTATGTACTTCTTCTGAGGCTATTATTAACGTATGCATATTCATATAGCCTTTCGGAGCTACTCAACCGGGTATGTTCACCACCTCGGCTGCCACCGTGCCACGGGCGCTCGACGTAGGTCTAGGTTCGGGAGGATTTGGTGGCTTCCAGCAGGCTCCGGACCAACAAGCTCAGGTTGCATCTAAACCGGATCCGTTCGCGGATTTGGGTCCCTCCTTTGGTGGGGCTGCGAGACCTCAGCAGCAGCAACAGCAGCAGCGACAGGTTTCTCAGCAGAACATGCTCTTTTAAAGAAAGGATATAAACAAGGTTGGGTTGGTGTGTGGGTCAATTGTTTTTCATGGAATTATACAGTTCGGGTTGATACAGGAATAATGTGCGACTCCGTAGCCCGTTTGTAAGCGTCCGATAAAACATATATTTGTCATTGTGAATGCGTATAAACGTGCCCTGGCCATGTTAAGTTGCAGCCAAGCAACCATTGTATATCGAATGTCCCCAACCCACCAATCCCATTCCAGCAACCTGCCAAAGCGAAAGGACTACTTCCTAGCTACTTGCACATCGATTAGTATAATAAAATGCACCCAACCCTCTAAAAAATTGTCCCAAAATACATATGACAGTTTCACTTCTTTCGTGTCAAAACTGCTTCCGTTAGTTGTATCAAGGCCGTCTGAGCGTTGCTAGGTGGTAGCGCTGAGATTGCCTCAATCGCTTGTTGACAGTACGACTCGGCCAATGCTCGTGTTCGGGAAAGGCCATCGCTTTGCAACACCAAAGATAATGCCTGTGCAACAGCGCACAACAAATTAGCTCAGGTTCAGGACGATCTGACAGAAACGGACTCTCATACCTTTTCAACGTCCCCCTCGTTTCCAAAATTACGCTCAATCAAGGGATGAAGGTCTTCAAACTGTTCTGCAGCGTACAAGACTGGTGCTGTTGCTAGGCCCAATTTGAGATCCGCATTGACTGGCTTGCCAAATTCGTCCGCTGATACCGTAAAATCGAGCATGTCATCGACCAATTGAAACGCAAGTCCCAGATTCTTTCCATAACTGTATGCTGCATCGACGATCTCCGGTCGGCAGCCCCCTAATACCGCCGCAGCTTGACAACTTTTTGCAATCAAACTCGCCGTCTTCAAGTAAGTCTTTTCGATATAGTATTGAAACTTTCCGTTAAGTGTATCATTGTCGGACGCCTTCAACATGCCTTTTGCGTGATACAACCAGCCCTTCTCCTCATTCAAAGCAGAGTTCCGCAATTGCATGAATTCGCCCTCAACCAAATTTGAAATCACAGTTGCCAAGAGCTCCACCACCTCGACATTTCGTAAACGTGCCAATGCTACAGATGCTCGTGCTAGTAAAAAGTCCCCAGCTAAAATAGCCATTTTATTTCCGAATTCCGCATTCGCAGAGGATTGTGCTCTTCGTGTCATGGCCAGATCAATGACGTCGTCATGTAGGAGGGACGCGGTATGTATCATCTCAGTGATCTCTGCAAGGCGCCTTTGTGTGGGAAGAATGCTCAAGTCCGCGGCGGGGGCAGTGTATGTATTTCTACTCTCTACATGTGCCCCAAATGTTATTTCCCTCGATGGAATTGTCGGTTGGTCCACTGGTAGGTTATTGACATTTTCTTGGCCTGCCCCTCCCAGCTTTGGTGCGATGCTTGTAGCTTGGGCTATCAGTAGAACGATCAGCGGTCGAACATGTTTTCCTCCAGCGTGGAAGTAGTAATTGCTAATGGTAGTCAATACGGGATGTCCGGATCCAAGGAGACGACGTATATTATCTGTGAGTAACTTCAAGTCCTGGCCAAGAAGTTCGCGTGGATTTATGACGGAGCCGCCTTTTGGATGAACTAGAGTCTCGGCGCTGGCTATTGCGTTCGTCCATGTGGGTGATGTCGCACTCAATGAACCTTTCTTTGCACCTATGCCTCGGACCATCTGGCTCTTGATTGCAGTTACTCCCTTCGAAAGCCACCCTTGCTCGCCTTCATTCTGTGCGGTCGCGGTATTCGTTGATGCCAAGCGGACGTGGTGGAAGACAGGCGAATAAAAGACCTAAACTCAAAGGCGTGGAGTTAATAATTCCGATAACCTTGTCTTGATCCATTATCTCAGTGTGCAAACCAGCAGGCCCTTACCAATCGTCGCCTACATTCCAGCGAGGCACCTCCCACCCTACTTTTTCTCACAGCCAGACTAAGCATGGCACAATGTGCACACCAAACAACTTTCCAGCTTTCAAAAACTGTGGCGGTGGTGCTCGTTTGAGCCGCGAGCCGTCCGCCAAACCTCTTCCTTTCAGCAGAGTCAAGGCCGAAATGACGACGACGACGAAACAGAGGATCCGGCGTGGCCCATGTTGCCGTGACGATCCGGATGAGTGAGTCATTTAAAGAATGTGGTTAAGTATTCCAGCCTGGTTGTAACCTCATTTCTGGCTGAATCCACTTCTTGATTCTTTTTGGGTGTTGACAGCCCAAGGCATTTTCCCACATTCCTTCTCCCCAACCATGACTTTAGCAAAAATGAGTCGTCCGTCTGTGTCCGCAAATTGGAAAAAGCTATGCTCAGTACGTACTGCCTCTATGCATTTCTCGATGATTGCCTTCTCAATTCTCTGGTTTTGCAGAAAATAAACAAACCTAGTAAATCCTCTAAACCGAATGCGACCCGACCCACTACCAAGTCGAAAGTCTCGAGCAGAAAGGCAAATACCGGTGCTTCTAAAACAGTTTCTGCTGACAGCACTGTTTCCTTGGTTGCGGGAAGGAAGCGGAAAGATACTGTGGACGGCAAGCCGGTTATCAAGGCGGCAAAGCGAAGCAAAGTCGATGACACTCAGTCTCAACTGAGAACCAAGAATGGCATACCAAAGAAGAAACTAAGCAGAGCCGCTCCGGTGCCCTCTCCTCCTCCACAAGACGATGATACGGAAGATTCAGATTTTGAAATTGGCGGCGCTCTCCACTCCTCTGTGGTCCTACGGAAGGCATCAACCAATATGTGCTGCAATGCCCCGCCTGTAGAAGATGGTCCGAAACGATCTATTGAGGAATGGTATGAGGAGTTTGATCGCGAAGGGAGTGGTCTTGGTGAAGAGGAGGCAACTTTCAAATCAATAAGAGACAGAGATCGTAAAATATTAGAGCTTGTTTTGACTGCTGGAACGGGATCCGCGCTTTCGGATGGTGAGGAGGTGGAGCAGGTTCAGGTTCAAAGATCCAGAGTGACTGCCACCAAAGATGGTCGAAATACCCAGGCGGTCACTACAGAGTATGTCACAACCACCGCTACGGTGAAGAAACCACTTGATTTGCTGGATGGAATGGATGTTTCGGAGCGAGCGAAAACCAAGGTTGGCAAATACATTGCTATGGATTGTGAAATGGTGGGAGTTGGCGAAGACGGAACACAGTCTGTTTTGGCTAGAGTTAGTTTGGTTAATTTCCATGGGCATACGTTACTGGATAAATATGTGCTGCCGCAGGAGGAGGTGACCGATTACAGAACGTGGGTTAGCGGCATTACACCCGAATTGTTAAAAAACGGTAATTCTCCAGTTGTTTCATGATTTGATTATGTCGAACTCTAACTCGGATATGCGCAGCCATTTCTTTTAAACAAGTGCAAAAGGAAGTGGCGGATTTGATAAAGGACCGCATTGTCGTTGGACATGCTCTAAAGAATGATTTTCAGGCACTGCTTCTGGATCACCCACATCGACTCGTACGAGATACGTCATTATACAAGCCCTTTCGTGCAATGGCCAAGAACAGGGCACCTGCGCTGAGAAGATTAGCCAAAGACTTGCTGGGTTTGCAGATTCAGAGTGGCGAACATTCTTCTGTCGAGGATGCGAGGGTCGCCATGTTATTGTATAGAAAAGTCAAGGTCGAATGGGAGAAAACACTGTTGCGGAGGATAGAAAAGGGACTTGACAAGACGTAATTTTACGTAGAAGCATATACTTGTACTGTGTATTGCGCAAAACGATGCAGGCAAACCAAAACAAGGACAGCTTGGAAAAATGTCACAATTTAAAGTTGGGCAAACGACCGCAACTTGAAGGAGATAAAAAAAAAGGGATCATGGCGTTTGCGCTGGCGGTTTGCCCGTGCTAAAAGACCAGAGCGCGTGTCGCGTGTGTGTTGTCAACTGGGGGTAATAATCCAAGGGGGTTATGTCCAAATTACGATGGTTGGGAAGGGCTTTTAACAGGAAATTACGTCCTTTTTTTTGCAGAAGTTGTCATGTCCGACAACAAAAGTTCTTTGAAAAGAATTCGCCACATGGAGAGTATCCCATCCCATCCAAAGCGTTATTTAAAAAGGGCCAACCCGCTCCACACTTCCCTCCTCCATCCATCAACGAAGATCATCAACGGCTGCGCAGCCTGTATTTGAGTATTTTTAAACGCTGCATCATCCCAATCATTATTCACCATGTCTAGCAAGTCGTTTATTGCCATCAATGTGGTGCTTGTCTGCATCGCTTTGGGTGTTGCAGCCGCACCTGTTCCTGTAGACGTTGTTTCTCCTGCTCATTTGCGTAAGTTGCGCGTAGTCGCGAAATGTTCAAGAAAACCCTGTTCATGTCCTTTCAGTCCTTAGGCGTCAAGACGTGCTGACGACGCCGCCTCCGCCTCCGACTCCTCCGGTTGTGCCCGTTCAAACCACGAACGGAAACGATAATATTCCCGCCGAACAGGCTAATGAGGTGATCGTGGGTGACGCAACTCCTCCCTCTCTCGCTCCTCCCGGATCCGCCGTCGTCAGCGCTGAAGTCACGGCCGGAAATGACAATATTGCATCGTTTTCTTTGGGAACTGGGATTTAATGCAGGAAACAATAATGAACCGTAGGCAGTGTGAAATAGGACCATTTGGAATTTATATATTGCGCAGTTTGTCATTTCACTAGAGTAGACGTCGCGGAAGGCATTTATCCTCCTTTTGAAATTGTGCACAGTTTTTTCTTCATTTGTTTGTTGAGTGAAATATACCTTTGTAGAGTCATGTCCGTTGATATCTTTTGGACAATATGGTTTTCATTGTTGAATGTCACCAGGGAAGGATACGGTTGGTTGTCACAGACTTAAGATGGGTTTGATATGCACACTGGAAACGGACACAGCAAATCATATTCCTCTTGCCATCTTACGTTTGCTCTTAAAAATGTGGTAAGAAACGTGCGACATTGGGTATGATGACTCCCGCACCGTTTAAACCTTCACAGAAACGACTGCTATAATCACCAGACAACACGCATGATACTGTGCAGCATGGCATCGTCAACCTCGCATCGTCTGCATGACTCTTTGTTCGCAAGGACCGGAGCTTAATGTCCGTCTGTTTTCATTGCAAAACAACAAATAGCTAGACTAACGACGACTTGAGCAATTCACTCCTTGTAGCTGACTGCGCAAAACTATTCTACTGCAGGGGGCAGGTCCCCATGTCCCTCTGCCTTACGCGCCGATCCGTCTCGATGCCTTCCCAATAAACTCCACCGGTGCTTAGCATGGTGATCCTTGTCCAGCTGTGCAGGTGCTGTAGTTTTGTGTCGTACAATGACAACCGGCATTGCGGCATGACGCATGCAATATGCAGAAGTGCTACCCAGCAAAAGACTTTTTGCAGAGATGACAATCAAATGATATGCCAATATGCATGCCTACTTTTGAAAGCGAACGTACTGCTTGAGAGGAGATACACCATGCGACCCCAGAACGAGAGTGTCCACAGCGAGTTCCGATGCCTAAGGTAATTAGAATGTCTGCCGTGAATGTAGTACCTCTTTTCCTATGACAGATGTTACGACTACCAGCTCGCAGATGGTTGTCTTTGGCGAATCCGACAGTTTGACGTGAACAGAGAGGCGGATGTTCTACGTTCAAAGTCCAAGTGATTACAAGTCTTCCAACAATACGATACAGCGTTAGGTTTACAAAGATTTACCTTGACTGGAAACGCCTCCAGTCTGCGACGGAACGTCTTGCGCATCTCTGTTCCCTACATTTTGAGCACTGACGAATTGGTATACATATAGCTTGGAATGCCAGAAACGCCAGCTGCAGACCATTTGTTCTAACATATTCTCCAAGTTGTGTGTCCCCTTTTCATAATCCTCTGCATCAGCGTGTAAGGAGGATATACTTCCAATATGTTTTGCACGATGAAGTAACTCTGTGCCCTGATCGCTTACCACTCAGCATTTTCACATATCCATCGTCTTTCACCACATTGACCAAAACTATTTCATCCCCGTCTTTGGCTAATGTCCTGCAAGCCCAATCGAATGCCTCGTCTGATAGAGGAGAATTGTCGATGGCAACCATATGGACACCGGAACGTGTAGATCTTTCAGGGAGGGATATGGAGCTTTGCGAAGAAATGGTTTGGAGGTTCGGACTGGCAGAGTCATAGTCCAGTAAATGGTCTGTCGGTGGTGGTGTCCCAGGAGGAGGTGGTTCAAAGATATCAGAGGCATCGGCTATTTCTTCAACGTCCTCTTCGCCAGGTTTGGCAAGAAGGTGAGGCTTGGCGTTGGTCATTTTGACCTCGCTGTAAAAACAACAAATGGCCAACGGATGGCTTTGGTAGTTTGACTCTAACGCCAAACAGTTAGCTGGCAAATGGAGGTCATCCAGCATGCAAGTCATTGGGCTTCCTTCCGCCCGTTAGTCACCTGCTTACGTATGGGGCTGAGCCTCAAGGAAAATGGCGTGGCCTCTGCAACGATCATCTGGCGAGCTCATTTACATTCCCACCCATCTCCCAAATGTCCGTCCGCAACCGCAAGAATCAAGGAAAGGACCCCATCGCACCTTTCGAGGAGGAGCTGCTGACTTATATCAATGCGAGACACGACGATTTAGTCGTTTGCGCTCAATACTTTGCCAACTCAAAGAATGCGCTTCAAACCAAAGTGTCAGACATTGATTCTGCGGGTTTTACATTGAAATATGTCGACAAAAACATGGAAGGCGAGCTTGCGCAAAAGGAGGTGCGGGTAGCGTTTGATAAACCGGTTGCAACAAAGGAGGCCGTCAAGGATAAGTTTTTGACATTGGCGAAGGAGGCGCGAACGGGTTTGGGATTGGTAAGAGATGTAAAGTCATTACAAAAGTTTACACATATTGATGGTTTGTCTCCTGGAATCAACAGGTTGTTGACAAGAAATACGTTGCACCGGGAAGCACGCCTCGACTTGACTTTTACCCTCCTGCTCAAATTCTCACAGGTGCGGCCGCACTTTGGACGGTGGGTCTGGGCGGTGCCTTTGCGCCCCTTCCACCAGTTGCAGAGTTTTATCGAAACGAACTAGGAGGGAAACAAATATTTGAGAACGTCATAATGGGTGTGCTAGTGCTACACGGCCTGGAAGCGTTGGTGGTACTCGGATTTGGAGTGTATGGACGATTTTCTTTCCTAGACTTGGTGAAATCAGCGGTATTAACCATACTGTTTGGGATGGCGTGCGTGGGGCCAATAATCAAGACTGCGGTGAAGAGGAAGTTGTTCTTGGATGGCCAAAAGGAGAGCATCAAGATCGGCTGATCAAAAATAGATGAAATTGAAACTATTCTATCGCACGGCGTATTTGCTACCGTTGGCTTTACATAATACCTCGCCGAATGTAGTCGATGCCTTACACCTTTTAAAAATTGCGTAGCCTAACCGGACAGAATCCAACTGTTGAATTACAATAGTGCATACATTCACCGACCACCCGCCGCCCCATCTCGGACGCGGTCGGTATTATATAGATACAAGCTTGGAGCAGTCAATGCCATTGTCTTTTCTTTTGTTTATCGCATAATAGCCATCTGATGTTTCGTCATATCGAATTCGTCGAGATTCGCTTCTTGCATGAGGTTGAAAATAGTCCCTTCGAGGACAGTTTCAACCATGTTTTGGAATTCTGACGTACTGTTCAAGTGAAGGGTTTTGAGCTTGAACTCCCGAAATTATGGTAATTGACAAAGTATACACAAAACTATACCTCAATATCGTCTCACCCAACTCCTTGTTCAATTCGTTAGTGGGGTCGTTTTGTTCCATGCCGATGACACCGTCTACTGAGTCGAACTGAACGTGTTCATGCACTCTATTGTCAGCAGCATGGGACTCATCCAGTACAATGCCGTTCATGGGCCGCGATGTTGCGATCTGCACATAATATGGCAGAGGCTCATGTCGCATTTTCTCGGGAAGGATCTGTATGTCCTGATCTTGGAACACATCGTCCAAGAGGGAAGTGAGGATTCCAGTCAAGAGTACTCGCGCGGATGGGGAACTGAAGGTCTGTTTAGGTAATATAAGCGATGTTTAGCTGATATTGTCTGCACTGCAATAGGCAGGTCTTTTTGATCAGTTACCTGACTCTCGATGGGCGCTGTTTCGTGATCGGGTTTCCTCTCGTGGAAGAAATTATCATAGCCCGTGTAGAGGCGGCGACATTCTTCTACCGGATGTGATCGACCAATAATAGCAAGGAAAAGATGGAACGGTTCCGGGGCTGGTGCTAAACCGGGGAATAGGCTAATGTCGCTGGTATCTGGAGTAGGGACGGGTAAGCATCAAGAGTATGGCAAAAAAAGTCGTCAACTTACTGGAGAGCGCCGAAATGGGTCGTCCCTCCTTCGTTGGGGCCTCCGTCTCCGAGACTCGACCACTGAGAGTTCCGGATGGAGTTTTCGGCGGTGTAATGGGCGGCAGAGTCCTATACTTCATCTTGGTTAAATCATGCTGGCTTCCACCTGCCGCGACCGACATCCTAGTCGAGTCTCTTCGGAGTGCTGGTGCAGCCGTCTGAATAGCGATACTCAAGGGTCTGCCTTCCCGTCTGGCCGTATCGATCACATCTTTGGCCTCATTGTAAGCAGCTAGCTCTGTATCATTCATGATTTCACAGATAACGTCCGTTTCGTACACACGTGGTTCGTTCGTCGGCGTAAAGGAGAGCCTGCATACCCTCGATTCGCCAGGCGCAAGTAATCCCGACGGCGGACTGATTTTAAGGACTAACACGAAAGAAAGAATGAATAGGTTGCTTCATGACAAATCCATCCGTTGCAAGTCCACTCACTTTCAGCCAGAGAGCTTGGTATGATCCAATTGAAAGATACATCTGCCTCTTTCTCAGTGTTGCTGATAATGACAAGCTCTCGGACAGTGGCGTTCAAAGGAATATGGCCAAAATTGATACGTTCCTGCAGAGACATATCAGGCTATGGTGGTCTTCTACCAAAAGTGCACCATCACCTACTCGTGATAGAAGTGCCATTTGTCTTGGCATGTCAAGCTCCTGCACCGATGGAATGGGATCGGAATATGCCTTTGAATCTTGTCGTTCATCTGCCTCCAGATCAACCTATCAAGAATTAAGATATTTGTGAAGGGCTCCAGAAATGATTACTGATGAGAAACACCTACCATCTCCTGCACGCCTTGACCACGGAAGGTGATGCTTCGACTTTTGCCATCGGCAACAGTGATGGGTATCTCGACCTGCAGATGTGATAAGCCCAATGCTTGGAAACAGACAAGTCAGAATCACTATCATGCTGCCTCACCTCATATTCTTTGATCTCTAGCGGCCGGAACACCCAGTCGATATGTTCTATATGACCTGGAGCGATGGTGCCCCTTCGTTTTCTACATTGAAGGATTTCCACATTGAAGTTTTCTTCTTTCAACTGTTGAATATATGCGGAATTTGTAACTTTCGTCAACGAAAGAATAGCCATGGGTAACATACATGTTCGAGTGGTGAGAGATCTAGCGTATATTCGAGCGACACGGCACCGCGGTTCATCAATTGGTAGGTCTGAAAATGGATGAGACAAAGCAGTTAGCATTACTGTGCAGCTATAACCAACAGCAAAACTAACATACTTGTACAGGAGGTTCCAGTGTTCCAATCGATACAGGCTGGAACGTATGTTCCGATGAATGAAAATGCAAACACTTTTTTGCCGGCGGTACAGAATATCCCACAAAGTTGATCATGACTTCCTTGCTCGATTGAGTTGTTCCATTCTTCAGCTTGAACATTACGGGCAACTTGTGCAATCCGGCAAATTCATGGCTGTAGGTCATGGTTACGTGCACCGCCTCGTTAGGATCTAGCCAACCGGCTTTAGGACTGATCGTAAACAATTCATTGTCGATGATCAAGTTGTGATGCAATTGCTCGTCGGTGTAATCTCCGGGATCTGCCCAGTGTTCAATCTCAATCTCCAGGTCATTTGGGAAGTAAAAAACCCATTCAACGGGCACAACGCCTGAATTCCGCAGGTTGAGGTGGTAAACTGTAGGCTGGCAGCCAACGGGAGTTGCGCCGAAATCAAAGTCTGTCGAAAGAATGTCAGACTCGGTCTTTTGGTCTGGCGTGGAGTACTCTGATTTTGAGTCAGTTGGGAAGGAGTTATCTTCTTGTACTAGAGACGATATTTGAGGCGGGTCAACGGCACTGAGGAGATTGTTGAAGCGGTGGAGGGAAAAAAGTTGCCACAAGAGGGATTTAGAAAACCCTTCGCAGCGGATATCCGTGACTTGGATCAAAGGATGGACACCAACAGCTAGTACGTCACACAAGTGCTGTCTCTGCGACTCGGTCGCAAGCGAAAGGAGACTTGGTGAGGAGTGTAATGACTGTGGCTCCAAAGTATAGTAAACTCTGTAGCGATAAGGGACTTGTTCGGAAAGCCGAACCCTCACTCGCAGCGCCTGATGTGAGCGCGCAGGCAAGATCTTTGACTTTTGGACAATTTCAAGCCCAGAATCATTTACGTTATTAGGAACTGGCTCCCCTTCTTCCTCGTTACCCATCTCATCACCTTCCTTTCCGTCGTCGGTATCGGTTTTAGACTCCCTTTGTCTCGTGAGCTCCAGATGGTAAACCACGTCACATTCCGTCGGATTGTGCAGAATCATCTCCCGTTCGACGAGAGAATGCACTAGGACGGCGCTCAAGTCTAATACCTCTGGTTGGGCCACAATCTTTCCGTATGTACCCTGACCGACTACTGAAAACGTGGTGCGACGTTGACTAAAGTCTGGCGACCATTGATGATCATACGCAACGCCAGGCTCTGAGAGCAGGTCAATGAGATTGTAAGCGATCCGGGTTAGAGAAACACTCGCTTACCTCTCAACTCATGGTGATAGTAGCAAGGTAGTTTAATTACCCAGTTTCTTGCTACGTTTGGTGCAAAAGTGCAGACGAGGTCCATTGCACTGTTGGAGGCCAGTTTGCCACTCGTCGGCTCTATTGAGATAATGGAAGAATACTGCCGAGGGATTCTCCACTGTGTACGTCCCGCAGGGCGGCATTGTGAGATAGGTGATTTAGGTACGCCAAAACTGCTCAAGTACCTCAAAATTCACAGTAATTCGTGATGTATTTCTGGCGGGGAAGGTGCGCTTGGCAACCGCACCGATACAGGTGGGCTTGAAACAGAGCGTGTTTTGCGTCCCCAAGGTGAGATGAGGAAAATATCCAACACCTCGCATTTGAAGGTCCTAAATAACAACAAAAGAGAGCTTGGTATATGTGCGTGGTAGTCGGCCAGTGAGCATTGCATCCCCAGCCTACCTACATAGCTATTAGCCGCTGAGCTGTTGAATGAGCATTTGAGTGCTTGCTCGTAAACTCTCTGCTCACTCGGAGAAAATCTAAAGACAAGCAACCGAGATTCATTCTTTTTGAGGAGTCCCAAGCGTGGTTTGACCGTAAATGCCGCACCACCCAAGCTTGCGAGTGCCGTTCCACCGCCAATGCCCGTCAATCCGCCATCAAGAATAGCAAAATGCACGGGAGTGTCTCCGGTATTGGAAACCCGAACCGTGCGATAAACGGATTTGTCAACGTGACAGGAGGGGAAGTCCAGACGGGTCGCCCCAAAGTCGATTTTGGGGATAAAGGTGTCCTGCTCTGGAGAAAAGGTGTTGCTATCCGTATGATGTTATTCCACGTTCCGCATCTCCTGTACATCAAGATTGGATGAAAGCATCCGTTACCTACCCTGTAACCATTGGCGTAAGGCACCAGGGAGGAGTGAATGTATCTTGGTTCACCAGCCGAAAGTTCCTCATGCTCTTGAAGTAAACAAAGCACTCCAGCTGGGCTCCATAGATGGAATTATCAATTGTAGGCCGAAAGTTTACACGAAAGTCAGTAGTGCTTTTAGGAAGGATATCTGCTACTACTGGCGTAACGGTGAACACCGGCTCCTCCCTACAAAAAATCACGAATTAATGACAACCCTGCAAGAACGACGATGGTGACGTTTGAATATCATTACCCACTATTCTCCCCTGGGACAATCCAAACGCAAGACATCTTTCCCTTTGTATTATTGGCAATGCGGATGTATTGGCAGTCAATTACTCGGTACCGAGAGCATGACCCAAAGTCAATATGGGTGTCCACTAGGGTAACCGCTTCCGAGTCGCCCGTGTTTTCGTAAAAGTATTCGCTAGCTACTTTACAGTCTTCGTACGTGGAATCGACAGTGTTTTTGGTTACTGCAACCGTAATTTTAAGATTAGACGTTTGCTATGCTTGATGCATAGAAGGTTATGCGTACTATGCATATTGGCCTGCCCAGGGTCTACCCAGGAGAGAACTCCTTGATTGCACGTTATTGTTCCATTTTTGAGCATCTACACCAGAAGGAGGGTTAAGGTTGCTGACTTTCCCAATCCCTACAGCCTCTTTTGATGAGAATATACCTCTTCAAGCTGCTCTGGACCAAAACTCCACAAGCCATTTTTCTTCCGTATCTGGTAATTCTCAATGTGCTTTTGATGAAATGTTGCGGGTCTTCGTTTATCGTTGTAGCATGTTCCCAGAATATCCAAAATCTGTCAAAGCACGCTCTCATTAGCCTTCATTTGTTACGTCTTGTACTCTCTCTATTGGTCTCACCAGCCCATCATGATGCTCCACCAGACAGTACACTCGTCGATAATAGTTGATAGGTTCAAAGGGTGTGAACTTTACAGTGAGTGCGACTGAAGAGTGAGGTCCAATGCTGCCCCAAGGTTTGTCGATTCGAAAAATACCGTTGGCTTCGGTGAGGAACTATCATTCGCGCTCAATTTAACATGACGCTTATCGGTGTTTTTGACTAAAAAGCAACAGGATGCATGAACTCACCTGGTAGAATGCAGTAATGGGGGAGTGGTTTTGCAGAAAGAGTGCTCTGGTAGCAGTTGTTGCTGCCGGAACATCGTTAAAGTTCACTACGTTGGTATTAAGGGTGACTTTTGGGCCTGAAAAATATAGAGAATCAATATCAAGCATCCCCGTCCTTGACTTTTTGCGTAGCCATACCTATCCCTCGACCAGAGCAGGTGATACGAATGGTGTTACCAGACAGAGTAGTGATGTCGTAGTAATCAGTGGACTGCATCCCAGCAGCGACAGGGGTATAGATGATCTAAAAAAAATATTTCAATGTATAAGGTCCTCATAAAGCAGGATTGAACTCTGCTCGTCTGGACGCACCGTAATATCCATACTTTGACCGCTGGGAACAGTTCCACTCAGAGTAGAGAACTCAAAGTAGGGATCGGTATCGCTTTCTGGCTGTTTAATTCTGAAATTTGCGTGCACCTGCGTCGGGTAAAGCATCAAATGTTGAGCTGCAAATCACCGCATTTGTGAACTGGCATGTTGAGCGCACCGCTGAGAGATTTTGCAAAACAAACTTCTTCTCCACACTTCGTCCAACGAATACGTCCCCAAAGTCAAATATCTTTTGATTACCCTCAATGGCAAGAAAAGAGAACTTGCCGAGACCGTAAACGGTCATTGATTGTTGAACTTTTGATTTTTCCCAATGCTGACGGTCCCCGAATGTGCAGACGGCCGTGGCACCAAAGACTGATGCATCCTAAAGGTTTGGGTGGGGCATGGACGATCATCTTATTCAGCGTTCATATAATAAGATATCTACAAGGGTCAATACCTCTGGTTTAAAGTCCATGGTAACAGTCAAACTCGAACCGGGTGTTAACGAGCCAGTTCGCGGCGAAATCGCAAAGGGTTTCTGTATTGCCCACTCAAAATGGCTTGCCAGCTCCCCCACGTTTTTCAAAGAAAACGTCTTTTTGGCTGTCTCGCGCACTGGGCACAATGTAAAATCCACCGTTTCGGGAAATTCTAGGACATGCTCCGGCAGGGTTGCTTTGACAGGGACGTAAAACTTGCCGAATGAGGTCGTGAATTCAATTACGTCGTGGTAGTTTTCCTGATTCAAACGTTAGCTAAATGCCACGGGCTACGCTAAGCGCTGATTCAAAGGTGAATTCACCTTGGCTACAGGTCTAAATGTAATCGGCACTGTCCAATTCATTCCCGCACTCAAGGTCACTGTTTCCGGAAACTCCATAGAAAAGTATCGCGTTTGTGGGAGCTTGTACTTTATTTTCTGCGTTTTCATGACCACATTTTTGACTACGAGATGCTTGACATGCTCGCCTCCCGGTTCCCTAGCATCATAGCATCTCGATGAGCATGGTTTTCCTGGACAATACATGCATGGTCTGTGCTTGTAGTGAGTGCCTCACCAATGAGTGAAATGTACCAGCTCAGCACAGTCAATCCCAAATTGTAACCTCCTGTCATGCCTGCTGGGAGTGGGGATGTACTCTCTTTGTTTTCCTGGCAATGAAGGTGGATGTGGGTTTTGGGTAGGATTGACTGCATCTTCGACTGATTTGTCCGAACCAAACGTGACGATGGCGGGATGAATTGTTGTGTTGCCGGCAGCACCGGATTGGGATATTCGTCCTGCTGTTATCATGTTGTCATTCGGTGTGCTCGAGAACACACTTCCAGGACACTTGGAGAACGCGTCTGCTAGATCGTCGCGTACAAGCCACCTCAGCGGAGTTTGCTTACGATTTTGGCAACTTCCACAAAATGGTGGAATTGGATACAAATTTCGAAAGCTGCATCAAAGGTGGTCATACTGAAGGAATAGCGCAAACTTTATGGGGAATTTTAAAATCAAGTCGAGACTTGGTTGGATATCTTATGTATTCATGATGCATAGAAGTGACAGCAGCGACGCTACTTGACTCGGCGATCAAACACTTAAGCCTTTGCCTGGGGGCATTTTTTCCATTGGAACTGGTACTTTTGAACGATCTTGCCGTCTCTACATGATAGATGGCAATGTAAGAGATGGAGAAGAAGACTAAATATGAAGCTGCCGGATGAGGATACGTACACAGAGTCAGTGGTGAGGACACCTCCAGCTTTGGGGTTCTTGGTGTTCGATACGAAGATGCTGGTGTTGATGTTTACCGGACGATCTTCGCCGCAAGGGGACCAAGACTGGGATGTAAAGTCAATCTCATCACGAATGGCGTAGTTTTTAGCGATGGGACCGTTCACACTCATTTCCGTCGTAGTCTAAGGGAACAAAGGATTGAGCTTGATGTGGGAATATTATGAATCGATATGCTACATACGGTGCGGCCATCTCCCTGGAAGTAGTAGATGGATTGCTGACGACCGGTGACATCCTTGTCAAGCTCGGCCCAACCACGGAAGTCCGCAGAGGCAATCGAATATTGCCATCCACCAGGAATATGAAGTTGGACGGTCAACTGGCAGTTCTTGCGGTTCTCAGTTCTGGGGATGCCCGGGCCAGCGGACGCGATGAATTTATCAAAGAGAACAGTGAAGGACTTTTTGTCATCTAAAGAAAGATAGGAAATTTGTTATTAGCTTGAACTGCAGATATGACCATTTTTCGACTCCGCTTGCTCCTTACCGGCCAAGACGACTTGAGCGGAAGGAGGAGATATGGGACATCCAGAGCCATTGTAGCTGACGCCCTTAACGTAGACCTGGTTGGGGTCAGGTGTAGGTTCAGTAGGAGCAGCACTGGCGGCAGTGGCAGCAAGGGCGACGAGAGGAAGAATGGTTGTAAGCTTCATGTTGAGTTCTGAGTATGAGGTGCGTCGCGGAGTGAATGAGACTAGACCCAATGCGATGTGGGATGCGACAGAGGATGGGCTTGCAACCACTGCGTTTTTATCCCTTTTCCTTGGACAGTATCTTTTCGCGCCTTTTAATTCAAGCCTTCATGTTGAAAAGTGTGTAAAGTTTTCTGTGTACTTGTTTGGTGGATCACGAATCATGCGTGTTGTCCCGTGTAAGCGAGTGATAAACAAATGCACGAAAAATGGCTACGGGCGAAGCATGCACCTTGTGGTTACATTTGTGAAGGCACGACCAATGTACCCCAGGATCTCCCAAATTCTTGCTTCTTTCTACATGCATTTGGTTGTCAGGTAGCAAATGCTCCGCTACACAAATTTACCCAAACGCTTTGAGTCTTCAATCCTATGTGAAAGACAAGAGAAAAGGCCCCCAAAAGATGGCTTTTGAGTGCTTTTGTGGCTTTTTACAGTGATCTCTGTTGCGCACATTTTTTGTATTTTGGAGGGTTGATGCCCAAACGTAGGCAAATCGATGAAAGTGCTGCACAAGCTGCACAGCCAAAAGGTTGAAAGGCTCCACCACGAGGATCCGCGCGACTAAGCCTCGCGTGCGCGCACTCAAAAAGCTAAAATTGCCTTGATCGGCGCAAGCACAAGCTATTTTCCTGCAGCCAACACATTTCCTTCAATGGGAAGGTTTAAAGGCCGCTCTCTCGTGATGCAAGGCAACTTGGAGGTTGCGTCTTTCCTTTGATCGTACGGCCTGAATGCTGGGTTGAAAACACTGCCGACAAGTGCGCATACTGATCATGCAACTTGTAGCGGTTGGCAAACATACCCTTTTCTTGTTCCCGCAAGGAATTACACCGAGCTGCTTGGGTTGTAGTAAACAATTGGGCTGTTTTCAGAAAATGGCGTAGCCTGTTTGTTTATTCCTTTCTTCCACCAATTCTATCGCCTCAAAGTTCATTAGTTCGCCAACTTTTGGAGGGGGAGTGGGGCATGGTCGTCAATAGGGAGGGGCCTTCGAATCAATATCCGTAGCACGCTTTTCAATTTATTGTATAGGCAGTCCGTCAGTCCTACCGACATCCAACCAGTAACAAGACAGCCACGGCGACCAAAGAAACGGCGATCATAGTAACAATCTCAATCCAAACGCCTAAAATCCAACAAGGGTATATTTGCCCCATCATGCTAAAATCTTCACCGACACAACAGCTCGTACTCGATCCCAATTCCCATACCCATCTCGTCCATTTCCACACAAGGAAGTTGCGCCCACACAAGGTTCTTCGTGCCTATCAATAATACTGAGATAAGGACGATGTACGGTTTGAAAAATCCCCATTCAAATCAAGAACTAACCCGAAAGGTCCATCCGATCCGTGCTAGTAACCCCTTCTGAAAGGAACATCCAGAAATGACCATTGTTGCATGAATCCAAGCACTTATCGCAGGGTTGAGTTACGTGGTATCCAATTACATTGCCACTGTTGGGTAAATGGAGAGCGTTATAACGGTCTGCTGTATAATGAGGAAACGTGGATATGATCACCGTACCATCCCAAACAGGCCACATCTCGGATTCGGCAGCGGCAGTTCCGAGTCATGTAATCGTGGTCTACTAGTTGGACTCGGCTACAGGACAGAAACCATTGTGAGTATAGTGATTCGAAATTTTGTTACATAAAAGGATGAGGGAGTGCGTCGACATACTTTGATGGTGGAGTATCCGTTGAATACAGCTCAACCTTTTCCAATGACAAGAATTGACGGTCATCCAAAGTCCGGCAGAACGACCAAGGGAGCATGACAGACAGAACTCACCCTCAAATCCCCCAATAAAATAGCTTTCATCCCCCTAGAACAGACTACACTGTCACAATGTCGGCAGCTCAAAGTGCACACCGTTTTTGATCGAAAATGCGGGTGACTAGATGTGCCAGGTCGGGGTGGTCGAACGACATCTCCTCGATCTTGCGCTCGGGGATCTCGGTCAGGAGTTTGTGCTTGGTGGGCTGGATGCGGGTGGGGGTGAGGGTGAGGTGGATGTTGTCGCGGACGGTGAAGGGAACGACGTTGGTTCGGAGGTTGGAGAACAGTGAACGACGTACTGGAGGTTCGGGGAAGCAGGGAGGAGCGAGGACGGGGCAGGTATGATGACGACATTGCCTTTTTGTCGTTTCTAACAGGTAGGCAGATGTTCGTAGACGGCGGAGAGAATGTTGAAGATACCGGCTGGTAGCGAATATTATCCCTTCTCGTCACGCCAAAAACCTCCGCACACCACCACCGCCAGCAAAACAACCTCAGAAATGCAAAATCCAAATCACTCCACACCTAAATATCCGCAGAAAAATAGCTTATGGACCAATCGGATATTTTTGAATGTTGGTAAACTGGAAGTTTGGTCATCTGCGACGGAAATAGAGATTCAGGATTTGCTTTGGACGACGCTGGAGTGATATCCATTCCTTTCTGTCGGAGATTTTTTGCAACAATACAGCTAGCCTGTGCACTACGGTAAAAGCATGAATTTTCAGAGTAGGACATTTTGCCCCGGCCATATACCATTTGCAAGAAGGGGTTTGACGACAAAGATATGACCCATTTCGCAGGGCGACGATCTCTCGTCACGTCATTTGCAGAATACAAAGGTATCGAGAGAGTCCCATCTGTCGTATTCTCCATACCTTTATATTCCCTGACACATGAAGCCTCACTGGTAAAGAAGACACCAGCTGTGCTAGGGGCAAGTATGATTGGTGAATGCAAGCAGCAGCAGCTGCTCCGTCTTCAAGAAATAAATACAATTCGTGTGAACAGGTCTTTGCCAATGTGTGCCAAAGAAACCATGTTTCTCAAAGGTGACATGGCATTCAATGCCTTTCAAAATAACACTATAGTAACCTTTGGGCATGAAATGAAAGGTGCAATCTTTCATAACTGCAAACCGCGGAAACCAATTGCAAGCTAATGTCAGTAGGATTCGTCATAGACAACCAACGCTGAATCGACAGAGGGGTGTCATGCAATTTATATATATATCTATGAAAGTTGAATGCGCAACGCCGTCCAGATTGGCTCTATCCTAACAACAGAGCTGCTCCACCAAAACCATTTCCTTACAGTCTTCTCCTTTTTGGTGGTCGACAGCCCGCATGCCGCACCTTTGTAACATCAGTCACACGGGTAATCCTCCATCCTGCCGCCAAAATCGCCCGAAACGCCTGATCCCGTCCAGGCCCAAACCCCTGCAACTTCAGATGGATCCCTTTCTCCATAACCTCAGTCTGAATGTTCACACCATGATAGACTTTCGGTTTGTCACTAGCCTTCTTTTCTGCAGGTAAGTTAGAGGCAAGTTCGGTAAGGTGTATGACTGACTGATAACCAGCGTCGGGGGTACCGCGTGCTGCTTTGCGAAGTTTGAGACGCCCAGCAGAGCTCCAAGTCAATACGTTGCCCTCGGGGTTTGTAAGGACACAGACGGTGTTGTTACGATTGGCTGTGACGTGAACGATATAGTGATTGTCGAAATTGGGCCTTATGTACATGTCGCTGGCGGTGGAGATCAGCGACGCACGCCCAAAATTCTCTCTGCGTCCTTTGGGGAAATCTTTCCATTCAGCGTCAACTTCCATTGCCTTCTTCGATTTCGGTGTACTAGTGCGAAGCAAATCAAAAAGTTGCGACCCTAGTGGAGTCATGCTCTCCCCGCCGTTACTGTCACCCAGAGGACTCGCTTTGGTATCCCAAAACCCGCCCTTCGTTCCAAACGTTCTTGAACAAGCGCCGCTCTTCCAGGCAACCGTGGTGCCGTTGGGCACGGACCTCCCCAGTGCTGGCGGTCGTTGTTTAGCCGCTAGACATAGCCGTCGAAGGGAGGACATGGCGTTGAGAGAATCAGCAGCGAAAGTTGTCGCCTGCAAAACGCTCCTACTGCAGTGCGACATCTCAGTTGCCATGGCGACACATTATATTGTATCTATCCATACTGGTTCGAAGCAATGGTTTGATGAGTCAGAAAGCAACACCCAGCTGGGCAAAGCTTTTGAGCAGATCTTGGCTTGAGGGTAGAGCATCAATCACAGCATGATAGACAGAAGAACTCAGAAATATGATAGGCAGCTACGGTATGCGCTTTTACCTTGTGAATAGTTGGGAGTTCTGGTCGCTTTTTCGCTCTCTTCGAAGTGGCTAATGAATGACTCGGGTTTGGCCTTTGTCATTTCACAGCCTGTGGCATGCACACGGCCAATCTGCACTGGAAAACGCGAACGTATGTCTTCTGAACGGGTCGGCAGTCGGTACTGAAATCTTGAAGAATCTGATCCTTCCAGGTGAGTGCACGGTTTGCCTTTGCTGTGGACCATTTCGTGTGACTGGTCTCTTCACCTAGCGATCGGTTCCTTTACGGTCGTCGACGGCAAAGCAGTGGAAGTGGCTGACTTGGGAAACAACTTCTTTCTAACACAAGAATGCTTGGGCCAATCAAGGGCAAAGTGCGTGACCCAACTGTTGAATGAATTGAATGAAGAGGTAGAGGGCAAGTTCTTGGAAGAGGTATGTGTCATATGCGCTTTGCATTGGAATATCTACCATTCAGTATCTCAAGGTTTGGTTGGTATGCAGGATCCTACGGTGCTGATAGAAGCGAATCCATCGTATTTTCAACAATATTCTCTTATCATTGCGAGTCAATTACCTACATCCAGTTTATTGAGGTTGGCTGATATATGCTGGGAAACGAATATCCCGTTGGTGATTGTGCGGACGTACGGCTTGTTTGGATACGCCAGGATAGCTGTGAGAGAGCATCACAGTACGTCACGTCGCTGGATCCAGGTTACAGTTCCATTCTAACTTCTTCTCTCATTGCAGTTGTTGAGACACATCCCGATCAGATTGTTGACCTTCGCCTTGACTGTCCCTTTCCTGTCTTGCGTGACATGGTGCAAGGATACGATATCAGCCAGCTGGACTCAATGGCCTATGGTCATATACCGTATATTATCCTGCTACTTATGTGCCTCGAAGAGTGGAAGAGCGTGGTAGGGTTTGTGCCAGTGGCCTGACATTTTTGCAGATGCTGATGACGCTGACCGCTAGTTTGCAGCATGATGGGAAACTACCGCTGACAAGCACAGAGCGATCGCAATTTAAAGATCTCATTCGTAGCAAGCAACGGGAAGATGTGGGTGAGAATCAGAACTTCGAGGAGGCTTTGGCTGCTGCCTACCGAGCATGGACGCCGACAAAGGTATATTGCCTTACCATATCTTTCATATCTTTATCTGCTAAGAATTTCGTATTTTCAGATACCTTCTCATATTCAAGACATCCTTCAAGATTCAGCGGCCGACAACATCACGGAGCATGTAAGTTATTCTCACCATGTCTTTTAGTTACGGCCCAATTACCTAATCCAGTTTTCGTAGACGCCCACCTTTTGGGTGATTGCAAGGGCGGTTCGCGACTTTGTTACGAATGAGGGAGGAGGATATCTTCCCCTCGCGGGTACAGTCCCTGATATGCATGCGGACACTGAGTCCTACGTGAAACTGCAAACCATGTAAGTTTCAACAGTTTGCTCAATCCTGCGGTTAGTCCGTAAATAACTTGATAATTGTTAGCTACCGTACAAAAGCCCGAGAAGATTGCGCTGCTGTAAAGGAAAGGGTGAAAAGTATCCTCGTGTCGTCAGGAAGGTCGCAAGATGCTGTGTCAGAAGAAGAGATTGAAAGATTCTGCAAGAACGCGGCCTATCTGAAGGTTATACGATATCGTTCGCTCAAGGAGGAATACGAACAGTGCACATTGACGGGGAAGAAGATTGGTAGGAATGCGTCAAATCTGAACGAATCCCATCCTTTACGGCAATCTGAATTTTGCTGTATCAGGCAATTGGCTCTCGGATCCCGATGATAACATCGTGTTTTATGTGTTAGTACGGGCCGCAGACCTGTTCTACGAAAGAATGCAACGATATCCAGGTATGTTGTCCTCCCATTTAAAGGTTAACTTGCTAGCAATATAACTCAATGTTTTCAGGCGCAGGAATCGAGAATGTGGACGAGGACATAAGTCCAATGAGGCAGTGTGTAAGCGAGCTTCTAGCGCAATGGGATAGACCAGATGCAGCTGTATCCGACGATCTTATTTTGGAGATGTAAGTCACTACCAACGAAGACCAATTTCCTCTTTAAGATGTCCTAACATGTGCTCATCCACGTTATCCCCAGTGTTCGCGCAGGTGCTTCGGAATTGCACACTATCGCAGCATTGCAAGGGGGAATCGTATCGCAAGAGATCATCAAATTGCTCACCCGTCAGTACGTGCCGTTGAATAATACTGTCGTATTTAACGGAATAAAATCTGGGGCCTCGGTGTATGCGCTCTGATAGAAAAGACAGAAACTGACACCCAAACTGTTGCATCGGAGAGTTACTTTCATTGAAATCTACTCTGAAAACTATACAAATATAATACCACAAAAACAAAAACTTCGGAAATTGAACACGTAGCAGTTCCAATGAATACAATCCGTGGATTATGCCCCCTGATCTGCTCCTTCCCTAGACCCATTTTCCCCTTCTTCCTTCCTCCACCATCCCAAGACTGCGCTCAAGCCCGCCTCCGACAATTTGCGCCGCAAAGTTCCTCCCGCCACAATACTGCTTCTTCGCTCTGTTATCGATTCCCTCTTTCCATGACCTGCGGACTCACTAATTGCCGGGGACGGGGTCCTACTCAGAGGTGCTGGAACATCCATTGTACCCAAGAATCCACGTACATCCGATGGCAGTCGTAACAAGGGCGGCGATTGGCATCCTACCTCCGTGTCAGTACCCTCATGATCCGAAGTAGACGTTAAATCATCGGACGACTTTTCATGCTTTAACGGAGACTGGAACGCTGCAAACGGATCCCCTGAGCGCAAGGGGGATGATTGAGGCATTGGTGTGCCCACAAAATCAGTGGGTGCCGGGTTCACGCTTCCTGCCAGAAGCTTTGCCTGTTTGGCATGAGTGCCTTGTATGACGTCCATCAACGCGTCGGATGACGGCGATCGACTCGCGGAACCCGTAAAAGCCTTTCCGCTACCTTTGCTTATACTACCCGTAATGCTCTTTTGCCGCTCGCGATCGCGATCGGAAGGTTCAAGGATTTTAGAAAGGGTCATGAGTTGCTCTTCGGTAAGGCAGGGAGGATGTGTGCAGTAACTGTGCAGGGTGATGGGGAGTTGCGACGGAGATGTTGATGGAATAAGGACGTCCTCATCTTGGTTGAAAGAGAACTTGTACCGTTGGTACTCTCGAATGGCATTGATGACATTGTATATCATCCGTTGCTTTTCGAAATTGATGAGTCCATTTGACAAGACTTTCTGGTTTCCATCATTTAAGAATGTCAGATCTTTGATGATGAGTCCAAAGAATGGGAGGAGAGGTGGTTTGGACATGTGCTCCAGTTCGCGGTACGTTTTGTAGTTGCCACGGTAAGACAGTCGGGACTCTAGGTCCTGATATGCGGATGTCGTTCGTGACGATAAGCCCGCAAATGTCTTCTTTAGGCGTGAGACGGGCCCCGTATTCAATCCTGATAGAATGGCCATGGCAGTGTTGTAATTTTGTAGCTCCATACACCTATTTGCGATCTTAATGAACGTCTCTAACGCTTCGGACCGCTTTCGGTGTTCTGGAAAGGAAAGAACGACAGTTCCAACCCAGTAGCCTACGCGGTTGAATCGGTCGATGTACGCCTGTAGTCGCTGGGCGCGCCAGTCTTTCGCACCACCACCCCATAAGAGAACGGCAAACTCCTCCGGTCGGATGGCTCGGAACATTTTCGAATCGACCAAAGTGAGCTGCTGGGCAATCTTTTTGCTGGACTGGGAGAGAAGGTCAAAGTCGCGAAGTAGAACTTTGAGATCGTCAGGTTTCTGCCCATCGCCCGCTGAATCAGGTGACGAACTTTCCTGCTGTTTCGAGTCGAGATTTTCGAGCTCGTGCTGGACCAGAGATTGGATTTGTTTGGCGTACGAGCTGTGTTCGCTTGCTTTCACGAGTTCCAGGAATTTATTCAAAGCTGCCATTGTTTCCGGTTCCACGAAATCGTAGCAGTATTCGCCCACCTGTGCGAAGTGTTAGGGGACCTCCCGGAAAGTGGCAGGAATACCGGACACTTACCCATCGCTTGACCAAACTGACGATCCGATTCATAATGTTTGACGGAACCTGTGAGTTCTCCATTGACTGTATTCTATCCATTTGCTTTTGATAATGCTCAGTCAGTTTTATTACGAATTGATCAGCCGATATAAAATGTCGAAACGTCAGCAGGAACGTATTTAAGTAGGATAAATCTGTCGACATAGTGGGTCAGAACTTTGTGTCAAACGCCCACCGTGGACGCCCACATCTGGTCTTTACCTGGCTCTGGTTGATCTATCAGTGCCTCCACCAGGGCATCCACAGTTCCTGCCGTGATTTCGTAGCCGTGCTGCCTCAAATTCTTGATCAAGACTTCTTTTCCTGATGTGTCCAAGCTTTTCACAACAGCTGGTAGCGACTCTGTGCGTAATGGAGAAGAGTTAAATTGCATCTAAACTGAGATCTGCTGTCATGACTTATGTACCATTTAGGCTTTCGTGGCTGGTTGTACCACTATCTTTGACTGCAGGGGAGACGGCGGATTGCTGCTTCTTTTTCTTTACGCTGACCTTGGAGGCCATTTTCCTGCGAAGCAGAAACTCTGGGTTGGACTCTGTTCTTGCAGGATTGGAACATATTCAATACCTACTTCAACGTAAATCCAGTGAGAGATCCATATTTCTCTGGCTTCCCGTTCGCTTCTACCGGAATGTCATTGACACTCGGTCTATGATTTGAATCCCCATACGTCTCGCCCACCGGTTCTGTCTCCGCTCTTTGCCGCCCACCACTCGTGTCAACCTTGCTACCAAAAAGTGCCATGACAGACGATCGCCCTTGTTTTTTTGTTGCCAAGGAAAGGAGCGGTTCAGATGAGGTTTTGGAATGTGATGCCAAAGACTGAAGACTGCGAATGCTGGCGACGGAATCTCGGACGACAATGTCAGGCTTCTGCGACGCTACTGACGCACGTCGACTACTAGGTTCATCATCTAACAAAGAAGGATCTGACTTCGCTTTTGTTCGGGATATCGAGGCGTAATCATACCGCACTTGATTCTTCCATTTGCGCTGTTCAGCCGCCGGCTCGGTTGGTGCGGCATCCGCCGCCCCACTTTCGCCGCGCGAATGGTACCGAGACTCGATATATAGTTTGGCAAGTACGGCTTTTTGAGCCACACTAGCTTCTCCTCCGCTATCTTGGTCTGAGTCTTGGTTTGTCAGCTGATCCAGACTTTTGCTCGTCCGGCGACTGCCGCGTCCAATCGTAGTATCTATGCCGGGTCTATGAGACAACCTTCTCCGGCCTGCCCAAGTCTCGTACTGCCCCTTTGCAGCATCCTCATTCGTTCCCTCGTCAGCTTCGAGTAGTGAAGACAACGATGCCTCCTGCTTCTCAGCCCCGCGATTGGGATCCTTATGCTCGTTGAGTCGCTTGTTCTTGATTTTGATGATGATCGCAATTGCTCGTCCCATCGCCTCGAATATCTCAAAATACTAGCAAGATTCCCGTATTATCAGCAAGAAGCTTAAACAGTCAGCTTGCGGCCGGCAATGTTATACTCAAATACGTACCAACCTTTTCGGAGCGGAACTTGAACTCCCGCAAGAGCCCATCAGCATCCATGTGCGAGAAGCAGAAGGTTTGTTTACCTCGATTGTGGGAGTATTTGATAATTTCCTCGATGGGAAATTCTACAATCAATGAACCCTTGCTTTCGTTCTCACTAATGTGAACGCCGAGAAGATCAACTTTGACAAACACCTCCTCATGGCCATTAAGAATAGGAACTACGCTGGAGGCTGGCTGGATAAAAAGGTTAATCCTCGAACGATCCGTGCAGTTGTCAACGATTCCAATGAGCATACCTGAGCAAAATACCCCACACCTTTCTGCAGTTCGAGAAATTCCGTTAGCACATCGGCTTCTTGCGGCCCTGCCGCAAACATAAGGGATGGCTTCTATAGGTGGAGAAGCATAAGATGGGAGGTTCGCAGAGAGTTGCATTCGGAGAAAAATTCACCTCAGAAGCTTGGGGCCCCCCAGATTTATCTGGTCCACCTTTCTTGCCTGAGAACGCCCTCTTAACAAAGCTTTGTGCGGCACTCTCTCGTCCCATGATGCTACTGATCCACAGTTTACAAATTTGACATTCGCCGGATAGTTAAAGTGGAAGCGGGGCACGGAGTGGAAAGTGGGAGATTTATGGAGTAAGATGAGCGTATGCCGTCTTTGATCTGTACAGTGCACAAGAGGACATGTGAAATTAGCACTTGTGCTGAGTCAACTGGTAGACGAAAAGAGATGCAAAAAGGAGGCCATCTCCCGCTCTAGTCGCAGAGGAGGAAGACAGCTTAGCAGGTCGGACCCTCATGCCAGGTTCGACATTACCCACGACGTAATCCTCTCTCCTTCATTTGCCACTCGACTAGCTTATTCTGCCTACCTCTTCTGCAAAACGATGAAAGCAAGTTGACCCAAGTTGTCACACGAGTCTCCAACTATACTAGGGCACAAGGAGCGATAGAGGGTTCAGGTATACCATCCCATTTTACCATAACAACAAGATCAACATAACACTGCACGCCACACAACTGCCCTCCACCATTGTTGTTGCACATAAATAGGCACAATAATAGACTATCAATTGCGATTTAGATGAAGAGCTTTATTGCTTTTGACATTGCATAGGCATCACATTGGAGGGCATTTTATGTTTTTTGAATAAGCAGGGAGCAAAACAGCATATATCGTTGTTGCCTTCCAATCATTAACAGAATGAATGAGCTAGACTAATAAGTCCGGCCAGCAATGGAACCAAAACGGGTATAACATGTCGTGGTTTTGAACAGATCTGCCAGCTCGTAACCTGCGACGTCTGTAATCCCTTCGACATGTGGGTAGGGACGATCCGACACCACCCGAGTCGTCTCCTTTCTCCAAGGGGCAGCGCACACGGAAAAGGAGAGCGGACGACGGACAGCATGATTATGTCATCATTGTAATCTATCCATATATGGAAAGTCTGAATTGTTTTTGTCGGCGCGACTTTTGGAAAGTCCAGCAGTTTCCCATCCATCCATCCATCCATCCGTCCATCCGTCCATCTATCCATCCATCCTTCGCACGTTCGACGGGTTTCCATCTTGCACCTTTCATCCATCGATTGACGGTATCGTCATGTTGGTGCTTTTCGAAACACCTGCGGGGTACGCCCTGTTCAAGCTCTTGGACGATGGAAAGCTCAAGAAGCCGGACGATCTCTACAAAGATTTTGAGACTGCGGACCAGGCGAACAAAACTGTGAAGTTGAAGGCATTTGGAAAGTTTGAAAACACAACAGATGCCCTCTCTGCTGTAACAGCGTTGGTGGAAGGCAAAGTCTCCAAAAACTTGAAAAAGTTTTTGGGTGACGAGTTGAATGCAAAGGATTTGAAAGACCAACTGGCGGTCGGGGACGCGAAACTTGGTGCGTGTGTGAATCGCATGTGGTTTCTGTGGGCGTAACGTGAATGTGGAATGCTGATGGATTGACCCATTTACAGGAAGTGCCATTGCCAAGAAACTCGGGATCAAGGTGGTTTCTGACGCTGCTGTCAATGAATTGATGCGCGGAATTCGTTACCAGCTCTCTTCCCTCATTTCTGGATTGCCGGAACAAGACATGAACGCTATGGTTCTTGGTCTGTCACATTCACTTTCCCGATACAAGCTCAAGTTCAGCCCGGATAAGGTGGACACGATGATTATTCAGGCAATTGCCCTTCTTGACGACTTGGACAAAGAACTCAACACTTACGCCATGAGAGTCAAGGAATGGTACGGATGGCACTTCCCCGAAATGGGCAAGATTGTGGTGGATAACTTGGCATATGCTCGTACCGTGAAGGTTATGGGATTCCGGAGTAAGGCTGAAGAGACGGATTTGTCGGAGGTCCTTCCTGAGGAGTTGGAGAAGGAATTGAAAGAGGCGGCAAAGGTCTCGATGGGTACTGAGATTAGTGACGAGGATATTGAGAACATCACCTATCTGTGTGATCAGATTATTTCGATTTCCGAATACCGTACGCAATTGTACGACTACCTGAAGAACCGCATGATGGCCATCGCACCTAATTTGACGTGTCTGGTGGGAGAATTGGTCGGTGCACGATTGATTGCGCATGCTGGATCTCTTTTGAACCTCGCTAAGCAACCCGCATCCACCGTCCAAATCCTTGGTGCTGAAAAGGCGCTTTTCCGTGCCCTCAAGTCGAAACACGACACACCCAAATACGGACTTATATACCATGCATCATTGGTGGGTCAAGCAGGACCGAAGATCAAAGGAAAGATTGCACGTACTGTTGCCACAAAGGCGGCTCTGTCTATTCGTTGCGATGCATTGGGTGACACAGAAACACCCAACATTGGTATTGAGCAGCGGGCAAAGGTCGAGGCACGATTGAGGCAGTTGGAGGGTAAGGCGGTTCGCGCCGCCATTGGTTCGGCAGCAAAGGGCAAGCCATCACAAAAGAAGTACGAGTTCAATGGTGCACCATCCTATAATGCGGCATCCGATGCTGTGGTGCCTACCACTCCAGCATCAGAGAAGAGCAAGAAGCGCAAGGCGGAGGATTCAGATGAAGAGGAGGACGCTACACCAGCGACTCCTACACCAGAAGTGAAGAAGGAGAAAAAGTCAAAGAAGTCGAAGAAGACTGAGGAGGCAGACGGCGCGTCAGGTATTTACCTCTGAAGGATGAGATTCGTCTTTTGTGACAGTGTTAACTTTATACCATGTTTTCAGACACTCCAGATAAGAAAAAGAAGAAGCGAAAGGTTTCAGAGGAAGCAGAGGTGAATGGGGTAAACGGCGAGGTGAATGGCGAAGAGAAGACAAAGAAGAACAAGAAGAAGTCGAAGAAGGATTGAATACTGTGAATATTGGGGCTGGGGGAACGTATAATCATAAACGCAACCGGAAGGACGATCCGAGTGGTCACGCAGGTGGTTAGTGTGCGGGTGGGACTAGGGTTGCAGTTGCGTTGCATTTTTTATTCTTGCTTGTATCTATTTTTTTCAATTTTAAGATTCCTAGAGAGGCATTTATCATTCATTTGTCGATATGCGAAAAACTAATGCTGTATGTATGTTTCTTCCATCTCCATTCTATCCAAAAAAGCTCAAATGTAGGCAGGCATCCGCAAACAGTTTCTTACGACGCTACCAGTTGTGCAATGCCCGCATCCCGTTCCCAGGATCAAAGCGACACTGACATATTTCCAAGTCGCGCACAGCTTTAATCGGTTTGCTTTATGTATGAGACTAGTCTGGCCGTGCCCGTTCTCCAATAACCAGCACCCTATAGGAAACCAGTTGCATCCCAAAATTCGTTGTCACATCGATATCCTAGGCTTTTCCATTGAGCGATATACATTTATACATTTCCCATTCCTAGGGGGCTCCACTGGTCGTTATCAGTAAATCCAACGATTCAAAGAGGAAAAAAATTCCAACGGTCGTACACAATGACATTGCAGATGGTATAGTGACAAAGGTGTAAAGTAATTCTTTATCAAAAAGCCCAACCCCACACCCTGTATACTTGTAAACTCTGGAGAAGGGCCTTGGATATCTTCACCCGTTGTGATTGCGAGCGTCGCATAATGCATTTTTAACACATGTGCCCCTCCATGAACCTCTCTCGTCAGTCTTCAGTACATGCGATCCTTCCACATGCCGTATCCCTTTCTAAAAAGCCAGCTTCGGTTCATCAGTAAGCTGCTTGTCAAAACACAATGAATGTCTGGCAGGCTAATTCCTGAATCACTGCGGGGGTCGACTTCCCCAAAACGCGCATCGGGTAATGGTACGTGTCACGCGCTCGCGCGAAGCCCAGCGTCCCCTTCCACCTATCCATCCATCCGCCGTCCCCATCTTTACGCATCCATCCATCCATCACTTTGAGCTACTTTGATATTTGGACACCACCACTGCATTCTCTGCATTCGATATGGTATGTGTGCAAAGTTTGGTGCGATGTGCGTTTCTGGGGGAGATGCTATGGACATTGGAAACAATCCGGTCCGATGAAGGAGATGAGACAAATGGACAAGTACAAGCGGCTGGCTTACCACTGTACTTGTAACAGCCAGTAAAGGAGTAGTTAGGCTTGTTGTTTTTGGACCAAGATTAACGCCATCATTCTTGCGATCAACTTCCGTAGGCTGATAAGGGAGATAACTCTGGGCAAGGTGAAAAGCCAAAGGTGAAGCAGGCTCCACTCTCACGGGCGGCCAGGGTGAGTATCTCTCTGTTCAATTCTTCTGGTTCTGAATTTTCTGGCAACAGTTTTTCGGGTGGGTAATTGTGGACTGTCTGCTGATCGCACACCTCGGTTTTGCCAGGCTGGTCTCCAATTCCCGGTTGGCCGTATCCACCGATACCTCAAACAGCGAACGCAAAACAATGTCCGTGTTGGCGCAAAGGCTGCCGTATACTGCGCTGCAATTTTGGAGTACCTTACCGCTGAAGTTCTCGAGTTGGCGGGAAACGCATCAAAAGATCTCAAGGTGAAGCGAATTACTCCTCGCCATTTGCAGTTGGCGATCCGTGGAGATGAGGAATTGGATTCTTTGATCAAGGCGACGATTGCAGGCGGAGGAGTCATCCCTCACATTCACGTAAGTGCTTCCTTGGGCCTTTTCAGCTGATGCGCACAGGCATCTGATCGACGTACCTTGTCAATGTGTAGAAATCCCTTATCAACAAGACCACCAAGGCAAAGAAAGGCCAAAAGGAGGTTGCTTAATTTATTATTTCTACTGCGTATGCATATAATGGGAGACGTGGTGGAGATTTGGCGGTTAGTAATGAGAGAAATGGGGAAGCAAAACGGCCGATCTCGCCGTCGTAGCTGGAGCTACGCTCCCTTCATGTGTTTTTGATTCGATTGCTTTTGTACATGTTCGTGAGATGATTTAGTCCCTGGTTGAGGCTTGTGTTTTTCCTGTCGATAGTTGGAAGAGATGAAAATAAAAAAGTACGATATACCCAGATTGCCTTAACCGTCATCATTGGTCCTGCCATTTTTTGAACATCGCCGCCTGTCCAACTATTTCACCAGACTCGTCTCTAACATTCCACACGTATCCATCCCACATCTTGAGTGGGCTGCCATCCTTCTTTACTCTGATGCAGTCATAATCCTTTACGCATCCCTTCACTGCCACCTCTCTCATAAAATCCTCTCTGCGAGTCCGTTCATCAGGCCCTGCCGAGAGTCGAGAGGGAAATTGAAGAAGCTCGGCGGGTGTGCGCCCAAACACTGACAGGGCTTTCTCATTGCCTATTTAGAGTTTCATATAAGAAAACATCCGAGTGATACGGCCGCTTTTCTTCTTGACATGCCAAAAACCATCAAACTCACCGAAATTGTATATTGGATCATGTCCACCCGTTGGCGTTCCCGTGTGCGTTAAGAATATAAAAGGTAAGGCATATACCGTGTCGGCAACTTTAAGCAGCTCGTTCTTGGAGGGGCGAGCTGTGAATGGGACTAGGGTTTGGTTAAAGTAATGATGAAACGATACTATAGCGCGGTGGACATTTCCTAGCGTTGTCGGCGTGTGGTACCACATTGTTGATGAAAGAGACAACGAATGGCGATGGAAGACAACTTGAGATCAAGATTAACAGCCGAGTCCGTGGCTTGGGACGTGGCGCTCGCTTACGCGCTTTGTCACATCTGCTGTGAGATTTGGGATTTGAAAGCACCGCAAGTGAATAAAAGACAGTCGAGCACATTACAAGGTCGGGGGTTAATTGATAAATGTCGCCATGCTTGCTTGTAACTGTGCCTGGGCAGGATGTACAGAAGCAAGTGCGATGTCTTAGGTTAAAACACCGACCACAATATCCAATGCAGTAATGCAGTCTCGCTGTGAATATATTACAATGTAAATGTAGATTACAGTTATCTCTTCACCATGGTTCCGAATCACCGTCGCCATGCCTGTTGGTAAAGCTTTGATTCCATTTCAACGTTTGATTGATATCCCTCACCCAATCCTTTCCGTGCCTTGTTCGGCTCACGCATGGGATCGGAAACTGTGACATGCGCACCTGAATTTGAGTGCAAGTGTAAGCTTCAGAAAACCAAGTACGCGTGCGAGCAGTATCTTCACCTCTACATATTCTTCCTTCCCCAACAGATAAACATCTCTGCCATCGACCGAGACCTGCGCGGTTCCTCTACTGTTTTTTGACAGCTGATGGTGTCGAATAGGTTATTTAGTGCGTGCGAACAATAACAATGCGGTGCGTGGCCACTTACACGTAATCGAACGGTCAAATATGGAGGTAGCAATGCCGGTCGGAAAGATAGTGATCGCGGGCAAATAGGCGTTAAAAGAAGAGATTGTACAGCTGGGTGTACAATAGGTCCACCTACATGAATGCAAGTAGATGAGAAACAGACCTCACGTAACGTGAAGAAAAAATGCTGACCTGCAGACAGCGAATAAGCTGTCGATCCAGTGGGTGTGGAGACGATGAGACCGTCAGCCTTCGAGACGTTAAAAGGCCAATCATTAATAACTATTCTGTCGAATACGTCTTGTATCAATCTACTCACGACAGCGTCCGTCAAAAATTCTCCTCCAACTGAACAATCAATAACTGTCAAATGCGGATTATGTCCACGGTGCAACGTTATATCGTTCATAGCCTGCAAATCTACACTGCCGACAAAATGTAGGTGGGCGTTTCATACCTCGACACCGAATTAAGAATTATAACGTACCTTGGTCAAGGCCATCATACATCACCCTCCGTCCATCATTACGAAAGATGGCACAGGTTAAACGCATACGTAACAGGAGCGGTACGGATCCTTCGATCACTTTAATTAGAGCTGTTTGATAGTCTTGGAATCCAAACGGCAGAAGGAAGCCCAATGTTCCCAGAGAAAAGGATATGATCGGCGGAACCGCTCGCGGGAAAAGAGAGGAAGCATGTAATATGGTACCATCGCCACCTAACGTTATTGCAAAGTCGATTGTCCGGCTGTATTCTACCATATTATCTGAAGCTTTTTGATAAACAACCATGTGCAGTCCACACTGAAATTGACTTGTGAGACCAACCCTTGGAGATAACATGGAGTCCAGACACTTCCTCGCCTAGTTCTTCCGCGACTGCTGGTTCGACGACGATATTCATGTAAGGGTATTCCGAACGAAGCCAGCTGAAAGCATGCATCAATTCAGCCCCAAAGGACATTAGAAGGTCTTACAGAAGGACAAGCAACAAACCGAACAATCTCTAGAAATGCCGCTCGAGTCCGTTCATCATTCGGCTTTTTCACAATCAGGACAGTGCGAGGTGGTTGCGACCATCGCAGCAGGTGTTCTGCACTAGTAGAAGCGGGAATGAGAGTTTGGCACATGCCGCCTATGCATGCCGCTCTGTTAAGAAAATACGCCTCACACCTATATTCATCACCAATTTTCTGTCGAACCTCTGCTGGCGGTCTGTTCGTGTCGAGATCGTTCCCTGGATAAATAACCTCCATGGTCACCCTGTTGCGGCATGTAGCACGGGTCTCACACGGCAGAGAACCGGAAGAGAAGAAATACGCACCAACCACATCCTTTGGTACAGCTTCATCTAGACCAATATGTACTTTATCTGGTAAGGAAAGGGAGGTCTTCATGGGAGGTGCCGAGAAACGGCGAGCCGCATTGGCCCGTTTGAGTGAATAAGCAAGTCGGGTCCCCACGCATTGCGGAGAATGCTGCAATATCCTCAGTGAAGGCGTGCCCAAGTGAGTGAACGAGCGGATTGCTGGGCGCAAGCAGCGGAGGGTCATGACCGAAATGTTCTAAGTAATGCCGAAGGTCAAGAAACTCGGATCTGCAACCAAACTGATCGGTGAGTCATGTCGCCCATATGGGTCGCGTAAGCAAGACTGTGTTTCTTTTTGTTTGTTTATCACCGACAGCCAGAGATCGCAGAACGGAAATGGACGAGGGGACGATTCCACAGTGGGGGGATTTGTTCACGCAAGATGACATTAACTCTGCCATCAAGATATTCTCAATATATGCGGAGCATGACGAATACATGAAGCATGCCATGACGAACCCCGACCTTGCCAAGTTGTTCGAGCTAGCACGAAAGACTCTGATTCCGTCCGAAAAGGAATTGAAGGAGCGGAGAAGGAGGCGAAAGCAGGATAAGAGGGATAAAGATAAAGAGATTTTAGCTGTGGCGGGGATTCGACAAATGCGGAAAGTGAAGATGGTGGGCTACACTGGTGGCAGTAAGTAGGGTCGGGGAACTCATTCCTCGTTTTCATACATGGTGCTGATTTGATATAGGTGTGGATATTCCTATGCCACCAAGAATAGGCACCCAAGAAGCCAACGAAGCATTTGCCGCTGAGGATGAGCAGCGATTGATAACAGAGACTGCAGCAGAAACCTCAGCGGTCGTTGAGGGAGAGGACCGTAGCGCAACCAAAGTAGCTGATGGACAAGCAGTTACAGCTGACACCGATCCAGTACTCCCTCCCCTTCGGAAGCTTACTTACAATCGTGCATGTCACGTATGCGGCAAACCATTCCGAGAATTGCACCATTTCTACGATCAGCTATGTCCCACCTGTGCAGATTTCAATTTCATGAAGCGGTTTTCGGAAGCGGATATGCGTGGTCGAGTGTGTATCGTTACTGGAGCTCGCGTCAAGGTTGGTTGGAAACTTTTCCTACAACAAGTCAAGACTGTCGTCTCATCTTCAGGTTTCGTTTCTTTTTAGATCGGCTACTGCATAGCATTAAAACTTTTGCGTATGGGAGCCATCGTGATTGTTACAACTCGCTTTCCCCATGACGCTGCATCGCGCTACGCAAAGGTTCGCCTTCCTTTCCCTTGCATCACAAACTATGGCGTCCACTGCATATTGATTCACTCTTGAACTTACAGGAACCCGACTTTCTCTCTTTCAAAGGGCGGCTGGCCGTGTACGGAGTAGATTTCCGGGACATTCCACTCATGCATCATTTCTGCCGAGAAATCACTGAACGATTCCAACGATTAGACGTCATCATCAACAACGCTGCACAGACTGTGCGTAAACCACCTGCATATTATGAACATTTGATAGAAGGCGAGGCAATAGATATTCCGTCAGATGTACGAGACGTTATCGACGTTGTAGATGTTTACCGTGCTCGGAATGGTGGATTCATCTTTGGACATGGAGGAAAAAATGCCCTTCCTGCTTCAGCCGTTGCACGACTGGAGGAAGTGATTGAAGACGAGGACGGTGTTCGATCTCTTGGGGTCGCTCTGCCAGCTAAACAGGCAATCGCTCATCTACCTGAGGTCAACATGTCTGCGGCGATGTCACAACTTGCCCTTATTGACAGTGATATCAAACCTACCGCCAAGGTGTTCCCTCCCGGCTTATACGATCGTGACGATCAGCAAGTGGATTTGCGGGGTGAGAATTCCTGGACACAAGAACTTGGGCAGATTAGCACGGTGGAAATGATGGAATGTCATGTAGGTAGCGAGGATTGTCATTGCCATGGCACATCTTCCCTCACCTAGTCTTTGTTTCAAGGTCATCAATACTTTTGCACCCTGGATTCTGATATCTGAATTGAAACCGCTTATGGAGCGAAGCGCCAAAGTGGATGGAACAGACGGTATATGCGATAAGGTAAGGCAGATTATCTTAAATGTCTTCTGGTACCCCAATCTGACCGTAAACGATCGCAGTTTATTGTCAACGTTTCAGCGATGGAAGGTCAATTTTATCGAAACAAAACAATGTAAGTCCTTTCGAAGCATGCTTTTACAAGGCCAACGCATTGTGTTGAAATGCTTTGTCTGTAGTTATCATCCTCACACAAATATGGCGAAAGCTGCCCTCAACATGATGACCCGCACAGCATCGGCCGGTTTTGCAGCGGTGAATATCTTCATGACCGCAGTCGACACTGGATGGATTACAGACGAAAATCCTGTAGACCAGTGGCACAAGCGTGAACACGCACCACCACCACTAGACGAATGGGATGCGGCCATGCGTGTCCTGGATCCCGTTTTAATGGGTGTTCGTGGAGAAGAGAAACTCTGGGGGGCCTTTTTGAAAAACTACAGACCAACGCGGTGGTAGGAAGTGTATAATTTATTGAAACCGATATATGGGTGAAACGGTCCATCTCTTGTGAGCCAACAGACTCAGGGTGACAACCGCAGAGGGCAAATGCAAATTAGAATCCTTGTCATTGTCCGTGCATGAACCATCATGATATTTATCCGATTCTCAGTTGGCCTGTTGATGAACAGGAAGATTGTCCATGGTTCTCGTTGTACTGCTCGCACGGCAACTCTGATCACATGTTGAATAAGATGGCATATGGATGCATATGTCAATCTCGCCGAAAAAGCACCTCATTGGGTCAGGGGACATTACGCCGATTTTGGCTTGCTCAGCTTGATCCTCTGCTTTTGCTCAAGCTCTTGTACCAGAGCCGGTCCTCTTCGTACCGTCACTTTGATGCAGCTCTTTGGGGATTTGTCCGGTGCTTGGAAGGTTGTGGTGTCGAGTTCTATTCTTGAACCGTAAATAGTGATATACTAAGAGGTAAAAAAAACCTGGGAAGTATACCATGTCGAGTCGCAATGCCCGAATTTTCAAGGATAAGGATGACGGAAACACAGTTTGCAAGTGCTGGATGGGGTCAATGTCAGGCAAGTTACGCTGTCGGCGTCCTGCAAAAGGATGCATTGATGAGCCTACCAGGATCGACGCTGAGGTTTTCACAAGAGTCAGTTCTCGCCATAATATGCACTAACGAACAGGTTCCTTTACCCCACGATCTCCACCTCGTCAAACTCTCTCAGAGACGACGCTATCCATTCCGTATATCTGCGGGCCAGAATAGTGGTTGAGTCCCAATCATGAGTCCACCTTCCAGTCAGCCGCCATACCCACTGAGTTCCGGATCGTCTGGGCCTACGGAGGCTACAATGATTTGACGCTCTGGATCTGGGACGCCATTGAGCGGAAGAGGCTTCGCAACGGGAACCGGAGGCAGAGACGAAGGGCCTGGCATGTGAAATGTGTCCGTTGTGTCCGTTGTGCACGAGCACTGTGAGGGTATCGATAATTGGCGTCAGCGTCGGTTCATCATGGCCGAAAGCCAGCCGTCGCAATTTGTGTGAAGTTTGGAAATTGGGTTTCGCGTCAACGCTTTGGCCTCCCGTGGGTGACTTTTAAAGTTACGTTCGCGTTCTAAGCAACTTCAACCACTTTGAAAATGTATCTTCCGCTCACTCCATCCAGCTATGACGGTTGGGTGATACTTCGCACATTATCGATATGCTCAAACGTCGTGCCTCTTCTCCTCGAGTTTTTTGCATCCTCCGCTCACCTTACAGCACGACGCTTACGCTTTTTGAAGATCGAGGTAGATCGGGCTCTGGTAGCCTGTGAACTTGCCGAGACCCTATTAGAATGTAAACGAGAGAATGGAACTATCATACAGGCGCGGCAGAGACTTCAAAGGTGTCTGTCAAAACTGGAAGAGATTGCTGGATCGAACATGGCTGCGGCAGAGGCGTTAGGTGCGCATGCCATAATGTGCAGGCGCCAAAGCGTTCAATCTCACCTTCACACCTCATTTCTCAAGGACCATGTAGGGAATCGGAGTCATCTTCTGACTTCCTTCCTACCGAGATATTTTGGCTGGTCTCCTCCTTCGTCAGCTCCCCTCAAGATATCCTCAACCTCTGCCTAGTCAACCGAGCCTTTTACCGCATTTTTACAAAAAGACTCTACACTTCAATATCACTCCTCCGCACGGACTATAAAGACATTCGCATGTCTTTATTTAACTTGACGATTACCCTCAGATCCAATCGAGATCTGGCGGCCTTGGTCAAAGACTTTACAGCTGGAATGCAAGGACTTGATGAGGAGAGTCTTGATGAGGAGAGCCCGGTGCCAACAGCGATGGAGGAGGAAGATCCTGCGGATATGGTATATGAAGTTGTATCAGATCCATTTGCGAACACAGAACAGTTTGAATGGAGCGTCGAACCACGAGGGAAGATGAGGAGTCATTCGCATGACACGCTAATGCGGAGTCTGCTTTTGGAAAGTATGATAAATCTAGACGCTGTTCATTTACACTTCAATGCCTGTCTACGACTGAGTGGTTGGCTAAATCGAGCCCAAAGTATGCGGATCAAACATCTTGACTTGAGCTTCTCGTCGATCAAGAAGTTTCCCGTGCTATCTCACGAAATACGGTCTCTCCAGGAGCTCCTGCTTCGCGATTGTGGAGATCTCCGCACCACCGAATTCACTGATCTCGTCCATAAATGTCCCAATCTTCGCGCAATCGGCATAAATGGCTGCGAAAACCTATCCGACTCATCCATTTTCGAGTTGCTGTCCTGTTGTCCCAAACTTGAGGCTATTGCCTTTGGATATCGTCAACAATTCAAATCGATTGATGCAGTCATTGGCAACATTACCCACCACATGCCCCGTCTAAACGCATTTTTCCTTGATGGCCGTGACCGGGTACCAGAGTACCCTTTGTATGAGCTCATCACCACACGAGGACATCAGATCAAAACGCTGAGTCTCAGCTTTTGCCTCATAACAGACAAGTTGGTAGATCTGGTGGCGGAACGGTGTGTTAACTTGGAGGCATTAGCATTGAACGGATGCAAAGGAGCGGTGACGGACGAGTCAGTCACACGGGTCATGGAGAAATGTCAGAACCTCACGGTATTCTCGTTGCTGGAGAATGAAGGTGTGAGCTGCAAAGTTGATCAAGAGGTAATCAATCGATTTGGTTGGGATGTGCCGACGATCGTTGAAGAGTTTAGGTATTGGAAGAAATGGAAGGCTTGATGATAGATAATAAATTAAGACCAAACAGCTTGCATGGCCACACACTAAGAACCCCCAATAAGACTGCCACCGCTCATATCCCGGCCTTCTTTGACTGTAATCTCTCCTTCAAAACTGCCTCCTCCTCTCTCAGTTTTCTTCGTTCCTCAAGCAGTGCAATCACTCGTTGTTCCTAAAATCGCGGGTTAGTTCGTGTCAACATCAAAATTGCAAGATATCCTGAAAGGCATCAACGAACGGACCTTATCATGAGTTACAGCAACATTAGCCATATAGGTAGCCAACACTACGCTTCCAAGAATAAAGCTTGCAACCCGGAGAACGGACCAGCCGTAAGATCTCTTTCGCGGGAGTGGGGCAAGTCGGTCGATGCGGTCGCGTGAGAGTTGAGATGCATATGTCCCTATTGTTTCTGGTACGGCAGGTCGTCGTCCTTCAATGGAAGTGGGGGATGGCGTGGGAAGAGTCGCTGGGAAATGCAAAGGTCGTGATGCAAAAGGCATGATCTCGGTTGTTGGGGTGGTTTTGAACAGTTGGTGGTCGCAGGAACGATCAAGCCCTCATTTGCACGTGAGCAAGTGGCTTTTGATGGTTTCGTAATCAAGTTGGGACGAATTCTCCGACGAGAGGGATGAAGGGATACCCGCGGATATCAATCCTCGTGCGTAAAGATCTTCCAAAAAGGGTCACTCCCCCTTATAAGATGGCGCATCGCTTTGAATTATTGGACGAAAGAGTGGTCTCCAGCATCCTGCGGTACTTAACCTATTGTTACCTGCACAGACCCCTTCTTGCCATGGATCTCGACATGGTTCGCGTCGTTAGCGGCGCCGATCTATGTCTTTGAATCATGCCATTCGGAAGACGTATCACAGAATATCAAATTGGACATATTCTCTAGGAAAGAATAGTTATCGGATATCTCACCGTCAACCTCCATGTCGCTACTTCCTATTCCTGGCATCCGTGGAGGGGAAGCAATTCCCTTCTCCAAGGCTGCACCCAAAGACCAAAAGCACGAGCTACGCAAATACTATGGGGCGGCCGAAGCTGTACTCCATCGAGCAAAGGCTGATACAGTTGAACTGCAGACAAAGACTGATCGGGTCAACGTACTGAAAGATCGGGCATCGTATAGGTCGGAAAGGGAAATGAACTTGGCGCATTTCGCCGAGTTAATGAGTATCTTTAAGGTTTTGTGGCTGTTTAAGATATTTGGGTATTAAATGTCTTTGTTGTTAACATTGATTCCTATCAGCAAGCATCAAAATCTGGTAGCGGTAAACTGACCATGCCAGAGTTCAAATCCGCCTTCTCGGTTGTCCTAGGCCACGGTCTAACCGACGATCAAATGTCCATCCTTTTTATGAAAGTTGACGCCAATATGGATGAAGCCGTTGACTGGGACGAGTTCAGCACCTTCATGCTTCTTCGTGCCGAAGGTCAAAGTGTCATGCAGGAACAAGCTGAAACCCAGCTCTTTGATACTGAATCCATGACCACTCATTTTCCTATTTTGACGCCTCACAAGGATATGATTATTCGCATTCTTTGGTTGGGAAAGAGTCAGCGCTATGTCACTTGCAGTCGGGATGGGATGGTGTGCTGTTGGAGCGATCGGTTGAAGTTGCAGAGAAGTTTTGCAAATATTGGGTAAGCGATCGTGCAGTATTTGACACGTCCTTTTGACGAAGGATTGCTGCCTGCTTACAGATTTTGAGTTTTGATTGTTTTACCTTTTGGACCAAAAAGAATTTCCTCAAAGCCTGAACCTGGCCTCAATAGCAAGACAAAACCACCTTGGATTCATGACTGTATCTATCTTCCCAATCTCAACAAGTTGGCGATGTCGTCCGACGACCACGAAATTACCTTCTATGGTAGGCCCCATTGAATTGTTCCGCACCATGCAGACGTCGTGATAACTATTTCACAGATAGTACAACGATGGAAACGCAACTCCGCCTTGACCTCCATGACAGCGTCGCTTTCACAATGAATTACCACTATGACACTGAAAACCCCGACAGCGACCAAAGTACCCTCTTATACGGAACCGACCAAGGCTGCGTAACTCTCATCCGCTTCTCCCACGCGGCTCTCTTTGGTACTGCCATCAGCAAAAAGGACCAGGCGCCCGTCATATTAGTGGACAGTTTATCCAAAACACCTGGGGTGCAGGTCTGGAAGCGAAAAGCACACAATGACTGGGTGCTCCAGGTGGAGTATTACCATGATTTGAGGTCGGTTGTTTCGTGCTCTCCTGATGAGAAAGAGAGCTTGGTCATGGCGATGCAAACGGGAACAAAGAAGTGGACGGTCGTTTCGGCGAGCGTGAGGAAGGGGGTAAATACCATTGCTTATAGCAAATTCCCCTTGGCGTTGGTTAGTGGGGGAACAGGTATGTTTTTGCCCAATTGTTTCATTGGCATAAATGTCAATTTAGTCTTGCCTGTTTAGATCGGCAACTCCGCATCTGGAACCCACACCGGCTACAGCGACCCACAGCATCTCTCTCTGGACACTTGTCACCTATCATATCGGTAACGGTCAACCCTTTAAATGGCCAAGCTATATCACTCTCCACGGACAAAGCTATCAAGATATGGGACATTCGCAAACAACAATGTCTTCAAACGTTACCTAGCTCCATCGAGCATCGTCCTGAAAACAGTCTATCATCCATATTCTTCAGTACTCACCGTGGGGGGAAATTGATTGTTGCCTCGACTGTTATGGTTACGTATGGGTTGGTGGACCGGTCGCAGCAAAATCGAGTGCGAAGTCACGATGCTCCAATTAGGGCTGCATTGTGGAATGGTGCGTTTAAGCAAGTTGTTAGTGGGTGTGATGCCGGTGTCGTAAATGTCTGGGTGAGTTTGTTTTGGTCAGCCTATCGCGGGAGGAGTGCTCAGTTACGGATAATGACGTTAAATCTTCGCTCGTACCCAAGGATGCAAGCACGGGTCAAAAGACGTTCCGTTTTGCGAATGTCCACGAGAAAGCAGAGATTACTGCAATGGCATTTGATGCGGCATGTCGGAAATTGATTACTGGGGGTCGAGGTAACGGCTTGCAGAGTTTACGCCAGTCAACAGCTTTCGTTACCAATTTTTTGTTTCATCACACCAGATGGGAGTATTCGAGTATGGAACTTTAACAACGGCCAACTGCTCCAAGAGCTGGTCAAGGGTGACCGTTCTGAAGTTACTGGCATTACTGTGGGTATCTTTGCGTAAGTCAGGATTGAACCCTCAACTCAAACACAAATGACTTGCAGTATATAACTCTCAAATCAACACCGTATATCGTCACAACGGGCTGGAACCGTCTCATCCATTTCTTCCCAGCAACATCTTCAGCTCCCACCGTTCACCCAACGCAAACGCTGTCAGCGTCACACAACGATGATATTCTGACAATGGCGTTTGCCGAACCGGATGTGTTGGCTACAGGGAGTTATGATGGTGAAATAGTTGTTCGGTCTTTGGGGAGTGGGTGTGTTATCGGACGCTTGCGAGTAGGCGAGGAGGGCGAAAGGGGACGAAGCGTCGATAAAGGTTTGGTGCTTTTCTTAGACCCATCAAAATTTAATGTACTGACATTAGTTGACTTGTCACCGTAGTGCTCTTTCTTCATTCTCGTCTCAACCTCCAACACACTGCCCACCTCCTCTCCTCAGGAAGCGATGGCCAAATCCGTTGGTGGAACACTCATGATATGTATCTGATGCTCTCGTATGACGGAACCCATGGAAGAAACGAAGGCATCTTTTCCATGGCCACTAACCCGCATAACACAGTTCTGGTGACTGGGGATACAGCAGGATACATTACAGTCTGGGATATCGGTAGCACTTGCGTCGGCGTGTGCCACCGAGCTGGAGAGGGCATGGCGTGTAGGAATGTATTCAGAGCTCATTTGAGGAGCGTTGTGAGTTTGGATCTGGTAGTGGATGGGGAACAAGAGGCGGTCGTGAGCGCCAGCACGGACTGTACGGTCAGAATGTTTACGGTAGGTGTTTGTCCGCTTTTATCTGGTCAATCTGCGTTGACTTGCATTTGTTTTTTGTTCCCGTTTAATTCTGTTACTCAACCTGAATGGACAGCTCACCGGACAATACATTGGGACATTCGGCCAAACAATGCCATGGGATCTGTATAATCCATCTACATATGCATATCCATCGAGGCCCCCAGAAATCACGCTCGATGAAGTCGACGAGCGTAGCGATGAACCCACATGCAACAACCACGGAGAGCAGGAGTCCGCCGTGATCTCATCTCTGATGAGCCCTCCGGCGCCAAAGCCGGAAACCTCCCAGAGAGCCATGACTGCAACAAGAACACCTAAACCATTGAGCCCCTCAACACAAACGCCCACTTACAAAACATGGTACGCAAAATCCAAATTCGCGCAAAAGTTTATTGCACATCCATCAAGACGTCCACGGATTCTTCCCCCACTAACGCACGTCAAACCTGGGTGTGGAGGTGTGGCGGGGACATTTCATCGACTGGAACCATATGAGTTGGCCGAAGTAGGAAGAGCGGGTAGAGAGAAGAAGTAGCTTATTTTGTAGGAGAGAATCCCAGCATACTAGCCTAGGTGAATTAGTTTTGTAGGACAGAGTCCGCATGTAGATATAGCAAAGAGGTCCTAGGGAACTGAATGGTTACATTCATTACATACAATCACTCTATCGGACCGTCAATTTTCAAACTCTTTGGCAATTTCTGCCACTTTGAGGAATCCCCTGCGAAGATCTTCCTTTAGATCCTCAACATCTTCCAATCCAATACTCAATCTAACAAGTCGGGGGGTAATCTTGTCGTCAACGACAGCCCGCCATTCGAGGGCGGATTCGCAGCCGCCGAGAGATGTTGCATTTACAACGAGCCGGAGATGCGAGCCAATCAGGCGGGCATGATGAAGGGATTTGAACTGAATACCGTGGAAAATAAGCCCAAGTTCCTGTCCGTTCAGAGAGAAATCTCTTACCTCAATGGATAAGACACCTGACCAGCCTTCTCCTTGCTTCTTGCCCGCATCATGTCCGGGTTGTTTGGGTAATGATCCATGCCACACTTTGTCGACGATCTGCGTAGCGGGCTCATCGCGGGCGTCCAACCATCTGGCAATTTCTGTAGCCGATCGTGATTGTTGGGTAACTCGGACGGTCAATGATCTAACAGTCCTCATTTTAGCTTCACACCGCTCTCAAAAGTTTTCTACCCGGGTCCTCACCTCAAACTACGGAGTAGCAGCCATGCTTCGAAATTGCCCATCACGCTGCCCAGGTAAGTTCGGTCATCGCGTAACTATGTAAATAGACAGGACAAGAAAGCTGCCGTTAGGACCTGCCCGTCTCCATTACAATCACCAGAAATGAAATCCACCTTCTCAGCCGTTTGCTCGTCTTTGACGATCAAGACACCGCCCAGCATGTCCGAATGTCCGCCGAGAAACTTTGTGCTGCTGTGCATCACAATGTCAGCGCCTGTTTGCCCGCCATTCTGTATGTCAGTTCTTTCATGCCATGTAGTATATCAGTCAACCATATCCAGAATACCTGCAGCGAGCGTCTTCTGGAGTGGCGCTGGAGCAAATGTTGCGTCGACCGCGAGTGTCGCACCGCTGGGCGACGAGATGCATAATCGGCAATGTCTTTAAAGATTTGCGCGAAGATAAGGTAAACTGACTATCTGATATAGAACAGTTGAAGTTGACACATACCGGCAATCTCACCCCGAGGGTTCTGGGGTGATTCTAACCAAATCAAATCTCCCTTTTGGAAGGTCTGAATGCCGTCCTCGATAAATACTAGACCCTGTGGTGTAAGGAAGCCAGTTGAGAACTACAATTCGTCATGAGAAGGAGCGTTTGTCCCGGAGACACTTGCCACTTTATCTTCGCGTCCTCTCCTGTAGATTCTAATAACACCATGAGTCCCATGATATCCTTCCCGGGAGGTGACAATTCGTGAAGGTTGCACATGATTAATGGCAGCCGTGATTGCAGCAAGGCCAGTAGTGTATGTTACCGCATGGCCTGTAAATGGTAAGTGGTAAGTATCAGTATCTGTACCACTGAGATGTCGTGGTCCAAACACCATTTTTACCTCCTTCTAATGCCCCCAAAACCGTCTCCAATCTGTCCCTCGTTTCGGTACCCTCTCGCGAGTACACATGCTCACCGTTTGGAGTCAGGGCAGTTTCTTTTGCAGAAGAAGTGGATTTAGGTATCCAGCCTTTCTCAGCAGCATAGCGGTCGTTCCAATCGTTAGCAAACCCTGACCACACGATGTCATTATTATCACATTGAACATGCTGGTGAGAATGTTTTCTTTTTGAAAAGAAGTGGAGACATACGGTAATTTGTCGAGACGTGCATAGGAGGGGCAACGTCGGGTGTGCTGCCCGTATCGGCATGGATGGAAAGCGTAGATAGGCGATAGGAGAGCGTCTCTTTGCCAGTCATTATGATTGCTGTACTTTGCAGTGAAATTTGTACAAGTGAAGAGCACTGGAAACAAGGTCAAAATGGCAACGACAACAGCAGGATGGGGGGGAAGCCATCTGCTCGCGTCACTTGTGGCGTGGCTTATCTGACGCGATCGGTCATCAACCAGCGAACGTCGCCGTTAAACGCACTTGTTCAAAACTTTAGACGAGCAACCCGTTTGAGAAAAGAGCATCCGGGAATGTATTGCGCAAGATGCACAAATATCATCAGAGTGGATTCTTTGAAATTGCGGGATCTCTTTCGATGCGGAACTTGGAACTGACAACGACAATGCATAAAAATGATTTGCTGTGTATTGTGGGTATTGGGAAAACATTAAATATCAAGATGCCTGCTACTTTCATCGTCAAAGCATCACATCAAACAGTTGACATGGCCAACGTAAAGCCGTCGATCACACTCGGCAATCCCGAAAGCAACTCGCCGTTTGACATTGGCTTAGATAATCCATAAGCCACTTCTGACTTGATGATTCATGTGACTGTGGTGACTCACTTACCCCACAACAAAGTTTCCCACGCACGAGTCCCACGGTTGGAGGGTTTTGGAAGGAATCGTTCGTTTTGTTGTTGTTGGGTTTCTTTCTTATTTTAAAGCGTTTTCCATCCCCACGGCCACCTCACCATTCGATAGGGGATTAGAAGACCATGTTGGTAAAACGCCTGACCTCCACCTTCCTTCAACGGCCTTTGACAGCCTCAGCAACAAGATGGTCGTCAACCTCAACACAAGCACCGCTCGCAGTGTCTCGTATCGTCAAGTCCATTACACAATCCCCAAAAGAGCAGCTACCAAACAACCAGCTTGTCTTTGGTCGAACGTTTACCGATCACATGTTGACTGTGGAGTGGGACGCTACAGTCGGCTGGAAGGAACCAAACATTAAGCCATACGGAAAGATATGTCTGGACCCTTCTGCTGTCGTATTCCACTATGCGCTGGAATGTTTCGAGGGATTGAAGGCGTACGTAGTGGTATCTTCTCCCCGCAAATGTTGCTCTTGTTCACAATAGTTCCCTATGACAGATATAAGGACAAGAAGGGCAATATCCGACTGTTTAGACCGGACCTTAACATGAAGCGTCTCATCAGTTCATGTGAACGTCTCACTCTTCCCACATTTGACTCTGCTCAACTCCTCGAATGTATCAAGGAGCTTCTCAGGGTTGACCAAAAATGGATCCCAAGCGAGCGCGGGTATTCCTTGTATCTTCGTCCAACATGTATCGCAACCCAAGAGTCTCTTGGCGTCGGTCCATCTAATCGTGCCCTCCTCTTTGTCATTGCATCCCCTGTCGGTCCTTACTACAAAACCGGCTTTAACGCCGTATCTCTGTATGCTACGCAGCAGTACACACGGGCATGGCCTGGGGGAACAGGGGATGCAAAGATTGGTGCAAATTATGCACCAGGTATCAAGCCTCAGATCGAAGTGGCAAAAGAGGGATATCAACAAAACCTGTGGCTATTTGGTGAAAAACAGCACATTACCGAGGGTACGATAGGGCTGATTTTCCTTGTTATTTTCATCATTCATCTGACATGATCATAAATTAGTTGGCACCATGAACTTTTTCATGTACTGGACGAACGAGCAAGGGGTAAGAGAACTCGTCACGCCACCGCTTGACGGCACTATCCTCCCCGGAGTTACAAGAGACTCTATCATGGGCCTAGCCCGCTCTTGGAACGAGTTCAAGGTGACGGAGCAGCCCATATCAATGTTTGATGTCAGAAAAGCGGTTCAAGAAGGTCGTGTTCACGAAATGTTTGGGTCCGGTACAGCAGCCATTGTTTCCCCTATCAAAAAGATCAGATTCGAGGGCGAAGACTTGGACATCCCATTGGACCCAAGCGATAAGACTAGCCAGGCTGGACCCTTGACAAAGAGGATCGCGGACACTATTATGGGTATACAATACGGGGAAATCGAGCACCCGTGGTCCGTCGTTGTGTAGGCGGCTTTTTGGAGATGAATTATTAGCGGACGCTGCTAGTAGAGCTCTATATAAAATATGAGAAATCTCGTCTACACTTGTCTAGTCTGCATCTGCCGTATCATTAATCTCGTAATGTCATTACGTTAAATCTATAACCTCGCACCAGCTTCTTACTCTTTTGATACTAGGTAGTGTCGTGTCGCACTCATCCTCGATGACAATTACACTGGTCACTGTCCTTCGAATCCCCTCCGCTCTCCGCCTTTTGCGAACCGGTATCCAACAAACGGACGAGTTTGTGCAAGATTGACTCTCGGATGAATCGCTATGTCGTTTTGGGGGGGACGAGATGATGATGGGTGATGGGGGTTTGGAGTGAGACAATAAATTCAAGGGTGTTGTGGCATTTCGTGGCGGTGTTGATGGGAGTACCACGATGGGATTCAGTGAATGCTCTTGGGAGGTGTGCAAAGTCGTGTCGACGGGTGGAGTGTTGATGTTGATTACATTGTCAAGAGTTGGTGGAGAAGCGGGTATGGGAGATTTCGGAGATTCTGCCGTTTGTTCTAACGTGTGAGTTGTGCCCAGCGAGGACCTATCGGACCTTATAAGCGGCTTTGAAAGCTGAATTTGATAATTCAGCTCTATTCTTTCACTCACTCAAACTGCAAATCATGCCAGAAGGCCTTGATGGCCGCGATTCCGACTCCTCCAGCTTTATGTGCCCTATCCAGATCTTTGATGCTCACACCTCCCAAAGCATATACTGGCAAACTACTCGTCTCTGCTTCGGTGATTATCTGAGCAAATCTGTCCCAGCCCAAAGTCCTTGAGGACGGACAAGTCGACGATGGCAGAACTGGAGAAAGAACCACAAAGCGCAAACCAAGTTGGGCTGCGCGTTTGAGATCGGCCGTGTCATGGCAGGATGCACCAATGACTAGGTTTGTGAAAGGCAGACCATCCAATGACTGACATATCTTCAGTACGGTGCCAGACAAATGCAGACCACCTGCTCCCGTTTCCTTGCATAAGTGCGCCGATTCCGGCAAGACCTCCGGATCGGACACGTTGATTAACAATCGTGCACGGTCCTCGGATGGTACTTTCGTAACCACTTGGGAGTAGAAGCTTAATGTATCATCTCCTTTCGAGCGCAACTGAACGAAAGGTGGAACTTGCAGGCCGGAGCTTGCAGCCAGCACCGTGCACAGCTGGGCGACGAAATCGGAAATTAGGTCGACCGAGCTAACCGAGAGAGATCGCTTCGGATCGTCGGAAATAATATAAAGTGGGGGCACCACGGCAGATACGCCGCGGCCAGCTCGACCGCAAAGCGTTTTCGTCATTTGCATCATGGGCGAACCACCTTCGGTCATCTCTTCTTCCCCACAGCTCACAATCTCTGTTTCCTGCGAATCTGTCTGCAGCAACCTATTCCAATTGCCAGTTACGTACGATCCACCTTCGTCCTCATTTGACACTAGATGCTTGAAGAAATCTTTAGCTGTTTTGCATGCCGCATGTTCTTTGGTCAGCACACAGGGGAATATCTTGCGGGGGCGAAGGATGGATATAAGCGATTGGAGTTCGCTAAGAGATGAGTGAGTTGCGTACAGGACATTCTATTACGGGAAGATTAGCCCACAACCAGGATGTTCCTGTCAGAGATAAAGTAAACGTACCCAGAACCTCTCTCCACCCTTGACTACAACCTCGGTCGTCCTACCTTTAAACCACATCGCTGAAGGGCGAATGAATACAATGGTTTTTTCCGCCTTCCACTTTACACACTGAGGACAATTGTCGCATGCATGGAAACGCGTTGAAAGCGGATCATCCGTAATGTATTCTGGCAATGACGGGAGGCCAGCATAAATGGCATATCGAGTGGGTGAGATATAAACTTTCGTTTGGAAAACTTGGAACAGGGCTGCCCAGATGTTTTCGGCCCTATGGTTATCAACTTTACTTTGGGTGCTCTGACAGAGAAGAACCCTCCCGCATCACTCACCCCAAAATGTTGAGACCAATCTTAAAGTTCGTAGTAGCCGGATACATTCTGATAATGTCAGCAATAGCCTCCACCGACTCCTGCTTGCTTGGAAAGGTTTCGTATCCAGTGTCGCAGAATGTAGTATCCAGGTATACAGACTCTAGTCGTGGAATCTTTCCCTGTTGCCTGTATTCTTTGATGCCCTCTAGAAACCACGTCTCCGCGCGCAGATCACCAGTGTATAAGACATTGCCATTGGGTCCTTCGATCAGAAACCTGTAGAGACATTAGAAGCCAAGTTTCGGACGGACAGGATGAACCCCTTACATTGTTGAGCCCGGGCAATGGTTGGCGGGAAAGAGTGTAAGAGTGATAGTCTGGTTGTGGCCAATATAGACTGTGCTCCATTAAACTTTGACCAGCAGTCTAAACTTCATTAATGCCCAGGCACGTACTCTGAGTCGTCTCCTCCATTGGTAGCGGCCTCTGGCGGCAGCCCACTATGAAAAACTTGGCTCCAGCTACAAAGATATTTAAGAGAAAAACCTACCAGCCATCTTTTCAAATGCTCATATTTCCCCTGGCCCAGGTTTCCCAAAATCGCGGCCGTCTCTTCAGAGCAATAGAGAGGGACATTGAACGCCAAGTTGTCAAACCCAACCAAATGATCTGGAAAGGTAAACATTGGCACATGGATATGGAACCTGCTACAAGCAATAATTTATAAAGTACCAGTGTGGCAGTGTGATAGTAGGACTATCCGAATATCGCCTTGGTTGGACCGGTACTTGTCTATCAAAATAGTAGGATACTTGGAAAGGGTTTGTCAGAGTTCAAGTTAGGTTGGCAAATGGCGTGTGCTTACCTCACGGACTCGTCCGTCAAAGGTGCTCATGGCAAATGATTGGTCTCATCCACATTTAGAGACGGAAGTACCTGCCCGTTAAAACTCACCCAGACTAGTGAAAGCCAACGGTAAATGGTGTGAAAAGATCTGCTTGCCTTGAGCGGAGGATCGCCAGTTCCAGGATATAATGCACTTATTCTGATTCCATTCTGGTTCCAGATTTGGTCATCAACTTGCCCGACGACTTTTAACTTCATCCATTCCAACATGCCGACAAAGCCCAGAGAATTGTGTTGAAAGAAATCTCAAAAATGTGTATGTATTCCAGATAATCTGCAAAATATGTACTTTCTGGTTATGAAATATACAACAGATATGCGAAAGGCCAAATAATCCCTGCTCAAAGGGCAAACGAGATACCGCCCGTTGCATGCAAGTTTTGTCCGGTGAACCACGTAGACTGAGGACTGGCAAGGAAAACGACCGCGGCTGCCACATCTTCCGGTTTCCCTAACCGCTTGAGCGGGGTTTGTTGCTAACAAAAGTAACCGAGCTCGTAAGATTCACAGTCATTAAGAATACACCAGCAAGGATACCAACCTCCCATTGCTTCAATTGTTCCTCCGGATTCGTCCGTAGCATATCCGTGTCCGTGGTTCCAGGAGAAACCACGTTGACTCGGATACCTTTTGGTGCAAGTTCGACAGCCAGTGCCCGAGTGAGAGCTTCAACACCGCCTTTGGACGTAATGTAAGAGGCGACATTTGCAACAGGGGTCTTGGTCAAGCATGTCGAAATGTTGATAACGGATGAATCAGGACCGAGGTGGGGAACAGCTGCTTGTGTTAAAAAGAATGGGCCCTGGAAAATATAATCAACCTTTAGTATCCTTTGCCATTTTTTCTTTATTATCTCGGATTACCTTCAAATTGACATCTAGGACCCGATTGTACTCTTCCAAGGTAACTTTTTCAAAATCCTTGCCATCGTAAATTCCAGCACTATGTCGACCAGCGTTAGGATAAAGGATGCCATATCAGGTCCTGGCTCGGCTGCCAACGCACTTGTTGACCACAATGTCCAGACGGCCCAGCTGCTGAACGGTCTCTTCCACAATCCGCTTGGCATCGTCGGGATTACCGACATTGCCCTGGACAGTAATGGCTTTACGCCCCCCCTTGCAGTCACGCAAAATCAGTAAACTGCTCGGTTGGCGTGCGATGTATATCATATTCTAACCTTTATGATACTCTCAGCGACCTTGAGAGCATTGGGCTTGCTTCCGATATAATTGACGGCAACCGAAGCACCGCAGGCGGCTAGCTCTTGGCAAATAGCTGCTCCAATTCCCCTTGATCCACCTAATGACATGCAACTTGTGAGTCTGAAAATATAATTGACAGCAGGTCTGCCTATATGTACCGGTGACTAGGGCAACCTTTCCAGACAGATTGATAGACGGCTGGGCGATGGAAACGGGCATGTTGGTGGTGGTTAACTACAAGTGTAGAACGTCTTTCAGATACAGGAAGGGCAAGACAAGCTGCTTGGGTCTTTATGCGGATGTGGGATGACAAATAATGCAGATTAATTGACGTACAAAAAACCCTTATTTTCCTTTGATCTCCACAACCATCTGCAGATTAAACATGTGCTTTAGACTCCAGCAGAGTAGGAAGTCATACAACGAGAGTCAGAAACTTTTGAATAGTCCTGACTAATGACGGATATGCCAGCCGCGGCTTCCCGGTCCTTTTGAAATCAGACCGGATGCATTTGAAATTGAGGGCTTTTTTTACCCTTCAAAACGTGCATCTCAAAAAGCCTTTTTACACTGCCCGTTTGTTTGGAGGAATCGAACAGCCCATTCGTTGTATTCATTGTGACGTGGTTTTTATTGTAGGGGATTGTGTTTAGCGCCATAGCCATAGCGTATTTTAGATCGCCATATCGCGTGGCTTTGAAGCAGCTGCAAACCCCTGGTAGCCATAGGGCGGACTCACAGGTCCCTTTGATATCCGCAACATCTGTCAAGCGGTACTGGTTCCGCCCTGGATCAGCGGCATGTCCTTACTTGGAAGGATGATTTCGTGAGTGCAATGATACCTGGCGTGTCGGCGACCGTTGGCATTAACGACGTGATAACGTCTGAACAGGAGAAATTTAACTGGGGATGGCTTGCTTCCACCCGTCAGAATCAGATGAGGACACTGTAATTGCAGAACTGTTGTCCTCATCAATCAAGCCCATTGTTACTTGCAATGACCATCCATTTGTTAGGCAGAATATGTCAGACAGAATACAAAGGACAGATTGTTAAATTCCAGCAGGGCGCATTATGACTTCTCATGGCGAGAGAGAGATAGTCTCCTTGTATGGAGATCGCCCGCAAAGGAACCCAAGACCGCATACTGATTACTCTCACCCGTTCCCCCTCAGCCGAAACGAGCTATGCTCCTCCAAGCAGGCAACATTGCACCAAAAGATCATATCTCGCAATGAGACAAACCCCAATAAAGCGTCCCGAGTTTTCCAACCTTTGCGCAGCTAGTGTTCACAGAAGGATGGATGGAGGCCAGGAAACTTTTTGGGTGAAAACAAGTAGGCTTATAGGCTGGACGTCCACCCATCTTGAAAACACTTCGACCGACCAACATATAAATTCTTATTACTAGCGAACCGAGGTTTAATATCTACCCAAGTTTTCGTGTATGGTTTACTTTACGATACATTAATCATCCTAACCAGAAGCATCATCAGTGACAATCTCAATGTTTCGCGTAAAAACCTATACTTGACTTACCCACTCATCATCGTCCACTCCCTCCATCTCATCCTGGGGTAGCTTTTCTTCTTCAGCATCCACCCGAGCTCGCTCAAACATTTGTTGCATGCTCTGTGAGCGGGGAATTCAGTTGACATAAATGCAGCAAAATAGGGAATGACACTGGACATACAGCGGCCGCCCTCTCGGATTCAGATTGCTCCTGCTCCAACACCTGTGCGCGTCGCTCGACTTTGACTTCAACGGGCGCCTGGGATACTGTGGAAACGAGAATTGGTAGAGTTTCTCTCACATGTTACCCCAAAGAAACCATACATGAAATCATGTCGGATGGAGCCAGATTAATAAAGTCAGCAATTGCTTTTTCTCCCTTGAGCCATTCATCAATGTCCAGAAGTGGTTTCTCCACATCCCGAGTTGGAACGTAAATGTCGTCTTGGAAATACTCTTTCTGTAACCGCATTTTACATCAATACGTACAGCGAAAGTCGTCCGGTTTACTCTTACCTTGAGCCGCGGTACCGTGAACGATATTGTTTCAATAGCGGACTGCGTGATGCGATATCCGTTTGCAACTGTTCGGTACTGCGTCAACCTTCCACTCAGCATTTACACACAACAATACTTCGCACCTTCGATCTCACGCACGTCACACGATCGCTTCGGCAGGAAGGACAAGCCTTGCTGCGTGCCGGGCGAATCAAATCTCGTCAAAAATATTGGACCATTGTCTGTTATCTCATAAATAAGCGTGTACGATTCTCCCTGTGAGTGAATCTTCAGCTTAGAGGCTTGCGTAAAATAGACCCATGTTAAGACACAGCAACACGCACCCGTCCCGTTAAATAAAGCACTGAGATGTCTTCATCATATATGGGAAGGAGGAGCGAGGGTGAGGTATCAATGGTAATGGAATGGAGTGGAAATGACAAGTTCTGTTCATCGTATATGTTGATTTCGCGTTGGCTGGCTCTATGAGTGCCCATGATGAGTCATTGCATAGTCTTACTCACGGATGCAGACCCAAAGAAACACGGACTTGCCGAATCCAACGGTCAACAGTCTACCAGTAGAACCCAACCAAAGCACTCTACACCCTTTGACTCCCTCGTGACTGGGTCCACTCTGAAAACATATCACGACTCAAAAACAATGTCAAACACATTAATACAACGATCACAGACCTGCAGCTCCTTCCCAGTCCGGGCATCAAATACACGTATAAACTTATCACGACACACAGTAGCCACTCTCTCTCCATCTAGTGTGAAAGCACAACCAAGAACCACATCCGGATGCGGTATTGTTGCAATCTCCTTTTGAGTTTTCAAGTTCCAAAGTTTCACGGATGGTGATCCTTGTTCTGGAGAGGCAGTCAACAAGAGATTCGAGACAGTGGGGTGAAAAAGGAGGAGACTGGTTCTATTTGTGTGGGCTTTGCAATCTCCATCAGTAATTATGGCAGATATAAAAGACGATTCCCACCAGTATACCTGTAAAGTAGAGCGACGGTTCCACAGCATCATCTGCGATTCCATCTTCAGCCACGGTCCAAATGCGCACTTTCCCGTCATCAGTAGCTTATTGCAAGTTGTAAGCAACTTATTTCGACTACGCGTTAGCATGCCAAACTCCAACCTGTCGCAAGACATTTTTTATCAAACGGATTCCACTTGAAATCCAGTAAGTCAGCTCCACATATTATGGCGGGAATCTTGTACGGTAGCCGGCCAGTTTTATTCGTAGGCCAAATGCCAACCCTCCCACCAGGACCCGCCATTGGAAATGCTAAAAGTCTTTCGTGTGCCTTTATCACGTATCTCAGAAAAATGAATTTCGCTAAACGACTCCGTTCACATGTACCTCCAATGCCGAGCTTTCCCCAGTCAAATTGGTGCTTAATCCCCTCAAATCTTCGTATTTAGGCTGACATTTCCCGCTCAGGAAGCGGTAGGCTGACTGTTTTGGAACAACGAACTTGGGCTGAGGTCTAGGAGTCGCATTGCTTTGAGACGGAGTCGGCGTGGCCTAATTTAAGATTAGTGTGCGGTTGGCAACTGGTTTTGTTACTTTGATACATACTGATTGCAAATCCTTGGCAGAAGATTCCCCAATGACCATTTTAGGCGTTGAAACGGAGGGCGTCGCGAGTGGGATAGATGCAACGACTGGGATCTTGTCAACGGACGGAAGTTTCTTTGGGTCCAAACTAACAAGGTCCGGAAGTTTCGTTTTACCACTCAGCCATTCGGAAGCCGTCAGAGGGGGAGAAGTGGATTTGGTATCTGGGAAGATATCCGAATGGAATTCAATATGCGATTTCCTTGGCACTGTCACAGAAATAGGAATAATAGCACTGCCGTCTGAAGCAAGGGTCAAAATACGATTCACTTCACATTCCATGACGTTTAGAGCTCGCTTGGGCACAAGAGTCGCGGCGGTATACACTGCGTTTGAGTTGTACGGAAGGGCACCGGGAGACACCGGGGACGATAGATCGTCTGTTTTGATTTCCCACCAGCGTATACTGGTATCCCCCTTGCCCGCAAGGAATAGCATACCGGTATCGCCATCATACAGGGGAGTAAGGATACCCGGCGACGTGTCAATTTTGTGCAAAGATAATGAAGACGACAGGTTGCGTGCATCCCATATGGCAAATTCTAATGGTGTGTACACGTTGATATGAGTAATTAATACAATCAAAAAACAATGATCCAGAACAACCTCGATCTCTTCGTTGGGAAAATCCAGTGCTCAAAATCAAATCAGAGCTGCCCAACCAGATCACTTTTGTTGGCTTTACGCCGGTATGGGCTTGACCTGACATTATAGCCGTTTCTGCACTACGCGGATCAAACACACGCAGTATATTATCTTTACTCGCGCTCGCAAGGAGGGAACCATCGTCTTTCCAGCTAATCGATTGAACAAAATCTCCTGCAATTATGGTGTAAGATGCCTCTTCCGCTCTTACGTCCCAGATTTTGATCTCTCCGAGCCCAGACGTTGTAAACAGCCCTTCGGATGTGGGGTGGAAGAGCATATTCTCAACGCGTCGCTCATGGCAGCGTCGCATAAATGTTGGACTCGACAAACTGTCGGTCAATCCGGTTTTCGGAACATCCCAGAATTTAACAGTACCATCATCTCCCGCCGTTGCTAGGACATCAGTATCTTTCCGCGTGTCCCATGGACTAAATTGGACTTCAGATATCATCCCAGAGCCTGCTTGCACAGTGGGTGCACCCGCCGCAATCTTGCCGGCATGTTTCAACGAAAGAACACCGACTGCGGTGCCAGAGGGTCCCGAGCGAAATGCAACGAGATCAGCGCTGGCATGGACCGGGGTGGAGTCGCCTGAGGTGTTTACATAGCCGCTGGGTAACGACCACCACTCCTATAGAACGGTGTGTTCGGGACAAACTATCAAAAAGCTTTCTCAAGCTTATACGAGCAACATTAATACACAGAAAACAAACCTCACGCTTTGCTGCAGACAAGACTGAATTCCTATATTTGCTTAGGTTCTGAAAGCGCTTGGACATGGCGGCGATTGCAGGCCAACTTTAGATGGCGTTGAAACAAGATGGTGCCAAGGGTTGTCGCTGGCCTAATGGCCAGTCGCGGTTATGGCACAGCCATCCATGCTTGTTGCTAGGCAGCACATGGCACAGCTCCGTGGGTCAGTTGGCGCTTTGGACCAACGTCCGCATTGCCCAATTGCCGATTTCTGTTTCTGCCATCGTTCCATAAGTCGCCCCAGGTGATTTCCGTTTTCATTTCCTTGCAAAGTAGTTGAAGGAAAGGCACAGTTGTTTGACGCATCTGGAATCTTTGCTGAATCCCCTCCAAGTGGTGAGTTGACGTACTGCAATGTCAGTCTTTAGTTTCTTGCAGTTGGAAGCAAGCAAGCAAGTTGACCAGTTGCGAACATGCACTCAACTTTGATTTCTGCTAGTTTCCATAGTCTTTGTAGTTGAACCGCACAAGGCAACAAATATTCAGTTATCGCTCGAGGGTCTTCGTGTCACCTACAGGAAGATACAGTTTTGCCCTGATGCACCCTCTGCATCCTTACACTGCTAGCTGAGCAACGTCAGTTATTCCCCGGTATCGAAGCGCCGAGAACAGGCGTAGGGCATGAACGGTGGATATCTCGCACATGGGGGGTTGGACCCGGCAGATGCAGACGCAGGACGAGGACAGTACCTCTATCGGACCGAAACTCAATCATCTGGCCGCAGCCGCAACAGCTTGGATGGGTCGGAGGGAGCGCCTTCACCAATAGGAACGGCGTTTATAGGGAGAGGGGCGTCCCAGAATTCATACTCGCGGGGATCTTTTCAAGACAGTTCTCACCGTGGCTCGATATCATCAGAAAGCTCAGGAAGGCAACGTTCACCACCCTTGCCCAATAGCACACCACAAAGCATGCCCGCTACAAAGCCAAGAGACGATGTTATCCCCTCCCTTCCTCCACCGACCTTAAGAAGCCCCCTCTATTCAGCTGATGCGATGGTATTGCTATTTCCGCACCTTATTGACGCCATCGCGGGTAGCTTACCAGCTGTATGTTCTCAAGTGGCATGCATTTGCTACCAGCAATGATTTTCTCATGCAGATTCCATATAGGATGCGTGGGAGTGGGCATCGACAGAAATTGCCGCACCTGTTATTTCCGTGAAAGAGGATGTCAAGGAAGAGAAGAAGGTATAATCCTTCAGCGGCATTGTAGTCGGGGATAATAGTAGTTTTCTGACTCACTTACATTGTTAGGCCCCCGAAACTGTGGAGTCAGTATTACAAAAGGATGGGAGAGGTGAGTGCTAATATATTCGGTACAGTGGGATATTTCAGAAATTTATACCAAATCCAGGGCATGTGGTGTGGAATATGGTGGAAACGGAACGAAATTACGTGTCACAGCTCGGAATACTGCAAAATGTGAGCCAAACTTGTAGTTGGATCTCCATAGGGTCCTCTCGTTGAAAGATCTATTGTTTGACAGATTTTTCGTCAACGATTATTGGATCAAGGGATATTATCTGAGACAGCGGTCAACCTTATTTTTGCGGGCATAGGTACGCGAGAGCTCGCAACGCCATCTGCGGCATCAATCTGAATATATCTGTTTTTTTCAGATGATCTGCATGTATTCCATTTGAAGTTCAGTGCCGAACTGGAGAAGCTTGTTGCAGTTGGGTCATGGTCTACCAAGGAGACACGAATTGGGGAGTTGTTTATTCGCTACGTACGTAGAGGGTTTGCGACCGCGACTGCAAGTGATCCTAACATTTCTTGGATTTTGCAGAAAGACGATCTGGTGCGGATATACACGAAATTCATTGACAGTTACGCTATGTCGCAGAAGCTTATGAAAAGGGAGGAGAAGGAGAATGCTGAGTATCAAGCATTCATGAAGGTATACGACGTGTTTCGGGTTGGTCGGATGCAGATCGGACGTCTTACTCCTGAGACATGTGTAGGATGCGGTGAAATTGAAGGAAACTGGTCGTCAGCAGCTGAAGGTGCGCTCTTGACCTTTCACTCTACACAGCTCGCTGCCTTGCTGATGCCTTTCATAGGATTTCTTCATTTTGCCTGTCCAGCGGACGGCGAGATACCATCTTTTGCTGAAAGGTATGCGCATATAGATGAATAAAATTCCAGTTTTGTATCTAAATAACCGCTGGCCTTTCAAAGATCTGAAAAAGCGAACAGACGAATCGCATCCCGATTACCAAGATCTACAAACTGCATGGGAGGCCATGAATGAACTCGCTGCATCCGTGAACGAAAAGAAACGCAAAGAAGAAGAGGCAACCGGTCTTTTCGAAGCATTCGAACAAACGAAAAATTGTCCTCCAACCCTCATCAAACACACACGTAAACTAGTCCTCAACGCGGACGTTGTGGACCACCGCACTGCAAAAGTTATGCATTTGTTTTTATGCTCGGATCTGCTCATGGTCACACATCCGATTGGAAAAGGAGTCCTTCCGTTCGGACGGGATAAGGCGGAACATCTGTACAAGTTTGTACGATGGCTGGATTTATTGGAGATTGAGGCGGAGTATATGGGCGGTCAAGGAGAAGGTGGGTCGTCTGCTGTGGGCATGTTTTCGAACACGAATTAAGCTCATTCACTATTTCTAGCATATCGAGACGTGGTAAAAGTCACCCATGATCCGAGCAAACGCGACCCGAGTGATTCCAGCACTCAGCCCCTCGAGCCTGGCGGATTCTCAATGCTCGTGAGATTCGAAGGAATGGACGCTACCAAAAATCGAAAAGATTTCTTAATGGCGATCCAGTCGGAGATCAAAAAGAATCAAGAGACGAGGAGAAAAGATGGGACATGAAGTCTTCTGTAGGGGATGTAGGGGATGAGGCCTCCTGCCGAGAAAATCCGCCGCATTATTTTGGCTGGTGCTTTACGCCTTTGGAAGGGTTTTATGGTTGCTGGTGGTTGAAAGGCGACCTTGGTGTTTACAGGACCTTAATCTTCGTATAGGGCTAGTCTTAGTCAGGTTCTTATGTAGTAGAAACATGCTCCAATTGACATTATAATTTTTGGAGCCCTCCTGACGGGATCCGCTGGGTTTTCCGATGTGAACAGAATGGGGAAGTCTTTCAACATGCGTAAATACTTAGTGTAGAGGTGACAGAAACTGGCACTAGCTACTACACCAGGGAATAAACCAGCGACAACTGGTTCGGAAAAGCTAACTCAGCTACTACTAGGCAATTATACACGCAATACGTAATGGTTGGTTCTAACCGGATAATTGCCCACCACCACACACGGTCCCTACTAGGCCTTGATCCAGAACTCTTGATGGCATTGAAGCCAGAGTCTTCGCAACATTGGGGAGGCTCACAAGCTGGAGGATGTTCAGTGACAAGGCTTGGAGACTAGAGAAAAAAACTGCATGTCAGAAGATGACCCGATGACAAGAAATGCAAGAAATGCCATCAATACATACCAACCAAGCTCAACTAATGTGGCAGCATAATAGTAGGTTTTGTTATCGGATCCGATTGGTTGCCGCTGGTTCTGATCACGGTTGCTGTCGGGCGGTCGAGGTCCTCGACACCACCACATCGGCGTTCTCATGGTTGACCGAGTCGCGATGAGGTTGCAATGTGGGCCGCTATGAGGTTGCAATGTGGGTCGCAATGAGCGTTTGTGCAGATGCTTCGAGTCGAGGATGGGTAAAGAGGAAAGAGGGAAAAGGCCCCCCTTTTATAGACCTTTGGCATGCGCCTCACCGCAGTTTAAAAAAAAAAAACATTACATGCATGCCACACCAATCTGAGCGATAGAGGGGGGTTCTGATTATGCGATATGATTAACCGGATTAATCCGGATAATAATGGGTCCTAGTGCCATTTTCAATCACCTCCACACTATGTATTCCAGGTTTTCCTGTTGTAAGTACTTATTCTGTAAAGAGCACAGCTCTGCCTCTGCTATATACCCTTTTCACAATATCTAGTCGAGGGAGTAAATTCTGAAAGTAGAGAGAAACTGTTCAACCTTATATAACCGACGTTTGCTGTGAGGTTCTAGCAGTACCTCAAACACCACCGCCAACTGATCCTCTCCTTTCGCCACAACCGCTAAGTAATATCTCACAGTCAATAGTGTGATGGCTTCGTTGATGATCAGGTCCGCGATATTGGAGAGAGGAATGAAGCGCGCAGTGGTCTGACCAAGTCTATTGCGGGTCTCAATTTGTATACCCAGAGTGCGAATGATGAGAAGTGATTCTATAAGCTTGACTTTATGAGTAGCATGTGGGCATTGGCAGGGCGATAGTAGATTACCTCGGTGGACACTCAACAGTCTGGTCAACACCCAAACTACGAGTATCAGAGCAAATGGTAGGGAAAACTGCCAGCGGCTGAGGGAGCCCCCAAGCAGGTACTGTTTGAAAGGTTAAGCAAAAAAGAATGGCGATCTATCCAGCACCATGGAACCTACCACGATAATTAAAATACCTGAGCATGTGGCTAAAAGGACCACGTCCAGGACACTCCAACCCGGATTTGCCTTCTTCACAACAAACTCAATTGCCCCTTCCCCCAATAATCGTTCTTCTAGGAGAAAGCCTCCATGAGAGTACGTGATGGTGTGCGGTCTTGGTTGTGATAGATCTGCACTGGTCGCTGAAGATGCGGGTTCTTCCGACGTGATGAGATCCGTACCCGAAGTGCTTAGAACAGGCTCGTTGAAAACCTGTCGAACATTCCCTTTCGCAAAAATCGGTTCAAATGCATGCGCCTTGATCATGCACGCCAATATTCCGGCATTAACAAGATAGAATATAGCACTAGCTGCCCAGAGCTCCCGAAACGTATTGTGCCCGAGGTGCTCCAGGCGAAATGCTTGGGATAGCCAGAGAGCCTGTAAAACGTGTATGAGCAATCAGCTCTTGCGTTGAGTCGACTGCACCCATATGCCGACCTGACCCGCAACCCAAAGAGACAAGAGTCCAATACCGAGTTTCCATTGATCTGCCACAAGGCGGCTGCTAGGCAAAATAATGGGTAGAAAACAGAGGTACCACATAAAATACTACATAGGAAAATGATCAGCACACGGAGTAGGATCCACAAGAACAGTCGATCCACCATCACACCTGAGAGGTACAAACTTTGTTCAACATAACAAAAGCAAATGTCTGCGCAAAGGTTGCGAATACGACATCTTTCGCGAGGACGGCCCCGACTACCGTTACTAGGCCAAGCTGTGGGGCAAACGAGAGGATTGAAATGATTCTTGAGATTAAGGGGCCGTTCAACACAGCAGATGCCGGTTCATGGGAAGAGAGGTACATGTGGTAGAAATACGGCGAAAAGTTGTGGCGGTGGTCTTTACGTGTGACGTGGTAGAGGTATGTTCCCTCAAGAAACTCATGACCATAACTACGGCGGGTGAGCTGAAATCCTCGTTCGGTTACAGAAGTGCAATACTACTCACATATAGTACATCAAGGCGGTCAGTGCAAAAAAAACACCTCCGCTGATGAAGCCGAACTCTAAGCGCTTCCAAGTGAAAAATGCCCTGACTCGCCGACCCACAGATGCGTTCCGGTACCTGTCCTGCGTCGCTGCTCTCCTCACATTATCAGTTGCTTTTGTCCTTTTTCCTTCCTCCCCCTCGAAATCGGAATCCAAAAATAACCAAAAAGGGACAGCATAAATAATAGGATAAATCTTAAAGTGTACGCCAATTCCAAACACGACGGCGCCTATTCGTCGCCATTTCTTTACAATCAACGCCCATAATACTGCCAACACTAACGCAGCAACTATACTCTCCGCATTTCCCCGCGTCGATATTGCGATAACGAACGGGTTGAGCATCCACACCGCTGCATACTTGCTTGCACGATGATCTCCCATACCGCGAGCAGTCAAGATCTCATGAATGAACCATCCTGCGACAAGATCACATATGCAAAAGAGAATTTTTCCCCATAACGGGTGAAGAGTTATATTTGGAAGTACCAGATAAGCGAGCAGCGGTGTGTAGCGGTAGGTCGCTCGAAGATAAGGTGACAACCCTTGAGAAATATATCGGGCTCCATCGGTGAAAACGAGGTAGTCAATATCCGTGAATTTGACAACGGGATGTCTGTCTTGGTAAGCGCCATAGATGAGGAACCCAGCGTGAAGTAGAATTGAAGCGAGGGTCAAAGTCTTGAAAGTTAATCCCATGGCCAGTCAAGTCCAGCGATCGGGCAGAGAGTTGCTGCCCTGCACTCTCGGCAAAACATCGGAGCCTCAAGTAAGCAGCGTCAAAGCCAACAGACGCGTCTCTGCTGTCTGGTGGAAGGCGAAGAGATCATGGGCGACGAGACAGGAAAGTTTCGACATAGCGCGCTCAAAAGCAGATGGTCTGCCTAATAACAGCTGTCTATCGAATTCCATTCCTCAAACCGTACCATGTTGGCCATCAAGAAACACGAGCAGTCTGGGACCGCGTCACTCTCTTGGCAACGAGTCTCCGCCGCACCTCCCAGACCACCGCTTCTACGAACAAGAACATTTCTTTCCCGGGAACTGGGTTCTTCGAATGCCCTAGATTTGAGTTACGGAAAAGGCGAACGGCCACTGGCTACGGTCTTGCGGGAAGCTGCAAATAGAGAGAGGTGGGTGTACGACGAAAAGGCGGTGGAACCTGCAGGTGGGTAATGGACGTAGGCTGTTTGCTCAGGTCTGTCAACGTCATGCCGCTAGATGGGTTTTGCTCTGTTGTGGCACTTATGTGTATCGCACGGTGGAGAGACTTAGCTCACTCGGTTCTAGTCCTATATTTTTCTTGTACTTGCAGAACGCCAATTTGAAGGAACTGCCGGAAGAGATTCAACTGCTAGTCTCGTTGACACATTTGGATGTATCTTTCAACATTGTGGAATGCATTTCTGAGGCCATTTTTGAGCGTCTCGCAGATTTGCAGTATTTCAACGCACAAAGCAATCAGCTCAAAGCTCTTCCGCATACCTTGGCGAAATGCACAAGACTTGAACAACTGCGGCTTTTCAAAAATTATCTGGAGGAGCTTCCTGATTATATTTTTACATCACTAAGACACCTGAGGATTTTGGATGTCTCCGTAAATCGGCTCCAACGGTTACCGGACGCGATATTTGATGCTTGCGGTAATCTGGAAGAGCTAGCGTTACGACGAAATCGAGTCTCAATACTGCAGGCCAGTATTGGAAAGCTAAAATGGCTGAGGCGACTCATCCTTGCAGGAAATGTTCTCCAGACAATTCCAGAAACCATTAACAATCTCGCAAACCTGGTGAACCTCGACCTGTCCGACAACCGGCTCACGCGCATACCCTATCGGGCTTTTGCGGGCATGCTTGCCCTGACTGATTTGAATCTAAGCAGTAACCAATTGAGAGAGTTGCCTTATATGGGCGACTTGAAGAGTTTGCGTGTATTGAATATCGAGCGGAATCCTATTTCCGTGTTGCCCCCTATACTTGCGACACTTCCAGAGCTCGAAATTCTTGAGATTGATCTAAGCACCACGTCAGCAATCAACTCACCACCGTTGGAGCTATGTCGAGAAGGACTGGAGCGTATTAAAACATTCCTACTCGCGTCCTTGAAACGATCGCCAAATCCGTCTTCACTGTGTGAGGCACGAGCCACTGCCTTAAATACCCCGGCACCCGTAGCAGCCGAGCCCAGCGTTGATGTATGCGATGGAAGTACGTCTGCTGCAGACCTGAAACCCAGACAGTTTTTGAAGGTCACCGCCGAGGAATTGAAGGAAGGAGGTCTTCTGGTAGATCACCAATCTCTTCCGCTTGACGTTCTGGCTCTATGCGCGATCCGCTTGCATCAGGAAGAAGATAAGCATGCTGTGAGAAACCTTGTGCGCAAGATTGTCACCGCATTGCGGCGACGGCTTGGTGATCAGAAGGACGTAGCATCTCTGTCTCTGTGGTTATCCAATGTAGTGTACTTTTCAAGCGCACTGAAAAGCCATCGGACTGAGCTGAAAGAAAACGATACATTACTTCAACAATTGGTTCAAGATGTCTACGCGCGTCTCATTGATAGCGTGCGGTCCGATCTTTCGCCTATGATTGTCGAAGCGTTTTCGGATGACTCTAATGTCAGTCCCCAAGGATCCATCCCATTTACACCGTCAACCGTCAGCTCATTCAACAACAGAAGTAGTCTACGTGAAGGTCGCATGACTGTTCGAATCCTTTTAGATCACCTCAGCGATACTATCAAAGTTCTCAACCAAAACAATCTACCTGGCACAATAGTTCAGCACCTAATTCATGAACTCTTTCGAACTATGGACGCCCAGCTCGTCAATGGCCTGGTTTTGCGTTGTACACGCAAGATGAAGTCTATAATCCGTCGAAATATCGATGTAGTCGACTTGTGGTGTATGGTGAACGATATTCACTTGGTGGAATGCTTTGTTTTTTCGAGAAGTCTGCTGGAAATTGTCAGTCCTGAAGTGGATCCCTCCAGAAATAGTCCTGAATAAAATTACAAGTTACTATTGATCTTCTATTTATCCACGAAGTGCATGGAGCTGATTGTTGACCCCATCAAAGTCCACTATATACATATCCGCACCACATATGACTCATGCACATAAACTTCACGAAGAAACCTTGTCAAAAGGCAACAAGCTTCCAAAAGGTAAATGCTGAACTACAGGGAACTTGTGAAGCACTTCCGCAATGTACATTTTTAGCATTCCGGTATTGACTTTGGCCCAGTATGGTACGCCACAAATATCGTAGAGCATCGGTGAGTGCTCATAAAAAGGACCTTTCTTGACCTAGGGTGGCTATTAGTGATCACAAAGCGTGCGTAAGACATTACGCGCGTTGCGTACTTCATGGATGTAAGCAATGCAGGACAAGTACAGGTATTCTTTGCGGAAATGCGAGACAAGCTCGTCTTGTAGTACTGATTTGGGTTTCAACCGTGGGTGATCTTTGTGTGCGGACACATGAATACAAACTCTAAAGCTTTAATCCTTGAACGAAACGAGCTTACCTAACAGCTGTGCACTTCCCCAATAATAGGGAAGAAACTGATGATCATCTAGTCCCCATACACCATGGCTTCCAGCAGGCTCGAGAAGATATATGCGCTGCAATCGTCGTACAATCGACAAGTAGCTATGACAAGAATATGGACATGAATAAACCACATTTACCTACGTCGCAGACCTATACACACCTTGCAAAGACTCTAGTTACAAGAGCTTGATAATCATCTGGTACAACAACTTCCAACAGATCCAAACAACACAGCCATGCAACAAACGATAGCTCATGCCCGCTTCCATAGTCGATCCGTGTGCCGTGCCCAAAAGCAGAGGTGAGGTATGGTAATAATTCCGGAGTAGCTGGCTGCCGAGCGTCAGGAATAATGCCGTTTATGAGGGATTCGGCGTTCTATTGACTGATTTAAGCATGTACTTTCAAAATTTAGACTCTTCCGAGGGTGAAACGTACAGCTTCCAGACGTTGAATCCATGTTCTAAAAGCTTTATTTCCAAATCGCTGGGGAGACTCCAGCGGTGGAATATCGTCTATCCACTTGTCCAGTGTGTTTAGCATGTCCAGGATTTTTTGTACTGTCTGACCATAATATCGGGATTGGATAGAGTAGAGGTATGTAATAAAAAACGACGCTCATTAGTGTCCGTTCCCTCCGTTCCTTTTATGAGATTCATATATCCCGTTCAATCACCTCAGATACTGTGCAAGGATCGCTGTTTTTCTTGTTTTTTACCGCCTCATTTAATACTTGTATAAACTCCAATAGTCGAACATAGGCGTCCGAACGTTGCCATTGGTGCATAGTTGCTTCGTCGTTGATGCGTTTGATAGGCACGGTGAATGTGTGATCTTGTGCAATCTGGATATGGGCGCGCTGATGTGTGAATTTCGGAACTATGACGGGCGTACCCGCTTGTCCAGGCGGACGGATAGGTGTCCCAGGCGGCGGCATGCTGGGAAGCAGTGAGTTTGGATTGAACATTTTGCAAATTGCGAGCCAACCGTAGAATCTGTCGACGATCCAGCAGAACTTATAGCCGATCGTTCGGTGACTGTGCGTGGCACAGCTCATGACGCAATGGCTGACAATATCATGGCGGACTCGACCTTTCAACCCATGGTGGACGGACTATCCCTCATGGCACCAGCATACCACGCACCTTCACAACAGAGTTGGATGGATCCAAACGACAAGTCCTTCAATTCAACCACCGTATTCAATTCAACGGGCATGGCAACCCAGAACCTACCTTCACCGACTCCAACGACCCTCCTTTTGCTCTCAAAGCTTCTTGGAACGGTCATCTTGGTCCTTGGGTCCACGCTAAAACTCCCCTCGCTCCTCCCTATCCTCAAAGTGCAATCAACTCACGGTATTCCAATAGCACCGATAGCTCTCGAGACGTTCGGGTTCACCATTGGGCTGGCCTTTAACATTCGAGCAGGAAACCCCTTTACTACTTGGGGAGAAGTACCATGCCTTCTTGCGGCTAATTTATTGATACTTGCCGTACACTGGAAACGGCGACCATTGAGTGTGGTGGTTCCATTCTTGGCTCTTTATGCGCAGGTATTGAGACTGTTGATGAACTCCAGCAAGGTGTCCGATTCGATGTTACAGACTCTTCTGGGATTGACGGTGCCGGCATTTATGACCGGCTCCGTGGTGCAAATCTTTGAGAATTGGCGGGTAAAACACATTGGTGCGATATCACCTGCGACGCTATCTATGGGATTACTATGTGGGCTGGGACGGATGTTTACGACGTTGGTGGAGGTGGATGATCCTGTCGCAAGGGTTTCCGCTGTTCTGGGTGCGTCCTTGGGAGTCGTCATGTTTTGGCAGATGCTAGCATATAGAGAGAATACAAAGAGATTCTTGGAGGCGGGGAAAATGAAGTAAAGGGTCTCGCCAGAGATATCTTAGCCCGTCTTATACAATCATTTTTCAACAGATCTGTACTACAATCATGATGACCTCTTCATAACCTTTTCCAGTCGTGTTAGTTCATCTTAGGTTGGTTCCCATGTCACAGTCCCATTGTATTAACAAGAATCATGACTTTCGTCATGAGAAGCATGTGCACCCCCACCCCCATTAAAGAGCAACCAACGGGTTGGAAATCTCCGTGCGGAATTACTTCCTAAATAACAGTTTTAAAATCGCTTAAAAGACCTCTCCTCCCGCATTCTCAGGACCACCCATATTCCGTAACAGACCACTGCAAAGATTGTTAGCGACAGAAGGATAGTGAAATAGTGCCAGGCCCCCCCTGAAGACTTGTTGACTAAGTTTTGTTGACTGTGCTCGGGACGGGAATGTGATGGCTGTTTTGCACATGGTTACAGTTAGTGCATATCATATGGGGCAGTTGGAACTGTGGAAGACTCACGTTGGTAATGCCTTTTGTGGTAATAGTGATGATGTCGTGGTTATCTGGCGCATAAATACAATCATCAATAATTAACGTAGGGCGCTGCGAAAGGAAAAAGGGTTCATTACATACCAGAGACATCCCCGGTAAACGCCGAGAAACCTAGGTACCCGTGAGTTGGCAGCGACACATTGTACTTTGTAAAGCATTGTTCCCACGTATCATCGCCCTTGTAATTGAGTGACACTTCCACCATATCATCTTTATAATATTTGATTCGAGCTTTTGTCGCCACATCCTTCTGCCTGAAGTCGACCGAGCATCCACCGATTTGATTTGTCACGCCATCGTTCGCATGGTCATACTTTGTTTTACCGTCCCCAATCATGGCATTGACATAGGGGAAGGAAAATTTGTGTCTTCCATTGGCATAAGTATCGAAAAATACTCCGAGCCCAGTGAATTGGTCCTTGCTGCCGTAAACCGGACCCCCCTGTTCTTTGTCGGTGGTGTACCAGAACGCAAAACCATCCCCATGAAGACCTGAGCTTGCCCCGTGGACCTTGAAGTCGAATTCCACGAGCCAGGAGCTACTGGTGAACGGCTGATGATTGGTGTTTGTGCATAAGAGATTGATGGAAAGGATATATAGATATGAACAACATAGATATTACCTGTTTACTCCATAGCCAACCTGACTTTGAGGGTAGCTCAGGAGTCAGGCGAACGAATCGGTTCACCTCCATCAGTGCATCTAAACAAGAGATTCATCAGCCATCTTGATGTGTTGTAATGCGATATTTGCGGTCAATACCTCCACCAAAGTTCCACCATCTGTTCTGCAGGTTCTCCTCTAAATGCAACTCATAGTTTAGTACAAATTCCAAGAGAAACTTGCATCATAAAAGACACGTTACCAATGTATGGCGGTGCAAGGCACCAACTGAACAACGTAAAGTACTGCTCTGAGGACGACTCTTGAGAGCTCACACCGCAAACGAGTATGGATAATACTCCCAATATTAGAGCTTTCATTGTCAATTGCGGGTTTATAAGAAAATATGATGCAGAACCAAGGGCGAAAAGCGGCGCGCCAGAGTTCTACCAGCTATGAGGCTCCTTTGCGCGTCCTGAATTGTCCAAATCAACTGTCGTTAGATGTCTGAATAAATCAAACCGCTTTACGTCGTCTCCCTTACCTACGATGGGCACCTGCTCTTCGTTTAACCTTCGTCGTGCTGCGGCGATCGCCCCGAAACTTGTGTGTTCCAACACTTTCGATGCGCAGCAGCACTTGCAGCCACGTGACACACATTCGGACCAATCACAGAATGCCAACATTTGTGTAATCAAACCATAAAAGGAAAGCGTCTATTGAGGCCTGTGGGAATAAAGGGCGGGGTCCCCTTGGCCTTCCCATCGCCGTCTTGCAGCCCATCATCTTCCCCAATCCTTCCACTGCGCTTCTTGTTGCTCAGTCTGAAATCGCGATGAAGCTCCGTTACATTGTGCCCGCGTGCCTAGCGCTCGCGTCTGTTGCGGTCGCTGATTCCCAAGATGGCGTCTCTGTTGCGTTTGTGGTACGTGTGCACTTGTGTTGGTTGGCAATTGCTCGACTGTGATGCTCACACTCGGCCCATGGACTATGATTATATTGTAGCCAACATCGCTTAATGCCCCTTTTCTGGAGCAATTCGCATCTGGATGGGAACGTCGCTGGACACCGTCCGAGACTAAAAAGTCTGTCGACGGAGTGGAGGACGAGGAGCTCCTCCGATACCGCGGCCAATGGGGTGTTGAGGAACCTCAAAACTCTGTCATTTCAGGAGACGAGGGACTGGTCGTCAAAACTGCCGCAGCACATCATGTAGGAGATCTCACGATTGTTCGGTAGAGGTTAAGGATGATAGATCATTGACACATGCATACCTCTGTAGGCAATTGCCGCAAAGTTTGACAAGCCTGTGGACCCGACTGGAAAATCTCTGGTTGTGCAGTAAGTCACTCATTATGGGAATCTCCAACGGTCTGAATTTTGTGATGCTGACCAGGTTGATATTACAGGTATGAGGTCAAGCTTCAGAACGGATTAGAGTGTGGGGGAGCGTACATGAAGCTTCTCTCCCAAGATAACTCGTTTGATCCCAAAAAATTCGACGACAAGACTCCCTACACCATCAGTAAGTTCAAGGCTTTATCAGCGCATCTCTCTACCGGCCGATTGTTGACTTTCGATCCTAGTGTTCGGTCCCGACAAGTGTGGATTGACCAACAAGGTCCACTTCATTTTCCGCCACAAGGTTTGTGCAGAACCTACGTATTCTTGATACCCGGTATCTTACTAACCGTATTTGTCATTTGTCATCCAGAACCCCAAAACTGGGGAGTTTGAAGAAAAGCATGTCAATGCCCCACCAGCGGCCAAAGCGGACAAGAACACTCACCTCTACACGTTGATTGTGAATCCCGACCAATCGTTCAAGATTCTCATTGACAATGAAGAAGTCAAGAAGGGCTCTCTTCTTGAGGATTTCACTCCTTCTGTCAACCCCCCAAAGGAAATCGATGATCCTAATGACAAAAAGCCATCTGACTGGGTTGAGGAAGCTCAGATTCCTGATCCAAAAGCCACAAAGCCTGATGACTGGGATGAGGAGGCACCCCTTGAGATTGTGGATGAAGATGCCAAGAAACCTAGCGATTGGCTTGATGACGAGCCCTTGACCATTCCCGATCCTGAAGCTCAGAAGCCTGAAGATTGGGACGATGAGGAAGATGGTGACTGGGTCGCCCCGACTATCCCTAACCCCAAATGTGAAAAGGCGTCTGGATGCGGCGAGTGGAAAAAGCCCACGAAAAGGAATCCCAACTACAAGGGCAAGTGGAAGGCCCCATTGATTGACAACCCCAAGTACAAGGGCCCTTGGGCGCCGCGCAAGATCCCCAACCCCAACTACTTTGAGGACAAGACACCTTCCAACTTTAACAAGATTGTAGGGATCAATCAGATTGAAAGTTTTGGTCGTGTGTATGTTGTAACACTTTTTTCTGCTTAGGGTGCAATTGGATTCGAACTCTGGACCATGCAAGATAAGATTCTCTTTGACAACATCTATGTTGGACACAGCGCAGAGGATGCCAAGAAATTGGCGGAAGAGAGCTTTGCGATTAAGGCTAAATTGGAGAAGAAGGACGAACCCAAGCCAGAAAAGGAGAAGGTGGGCATGAAGCTTCATTCCGTTATTCTTAGTATGGCGCAATGCTTATCACATGGCGGTCCAGGGCGAGACCAAGGACTTGCCTCTTCTTGAGAGAGTCAATGTAATCAAAGACCAAGTCCTCGACTTTGTTCAACGTGTTCAGAAAGACCCTGTCGAAGCTATCCAGGAGCTTCCACAGATCGCCGCCGGCGTCATTGGTACCGCCATTGTCGTTCCTATGTTATTGGTGGGGGCCATTATCAGCATGGGATCCAAAAAGGTGAAGCGCATCTTGATGTACCAGTAGCTGACGAATTGGTTGCTGACATGATTTCTATTCTGCACCACAGCCCGCTGCAAAGAAGGTTAAGAAGGTAGACGTCGCCGCCAAAAAGAAGGACGCACAGCCTGATGAGGACGAGGAAGAAGAGGAGGAGGAAGTTGTTGTTGTGAAAAAGAAGGATGAGAAGAAGGACGGGGCCCAAAAGAGAAAGACTGCGGGGAAAAAGGACAAGGACGAAGAGGACGAGGAGGATGAATAGATGTGGTGTGGTTTTTGGAGGCATTTACTTTTTTTTCTGTAGTTTTTTTTTGCCATACCTTTTAACGTTTTGGGTTTACATGGTGGTGTTGTGCAATGATTGTGGACAATCAAAACAATAAGAAACCTCATTTGGCCAAAGAGTGTCCAACCGCTGTTTTACAAATAACCTACTGGTGGCAGTAGGATGAAGAGGAGCATTATGCACTTTAAGAGTTATTTTTCTTTATTTCTTAATGCTCATTATTTAACGAGCGCAAAAAAGGAATATACAATATCCATCCAACCGAAAAAAATAATAATCTGTACAGATAAAGAATAAAGAATAATGGAAAAATGACTAGGTTCAACATCTCAAAGCACCCCCAACTGCCACGACAACGGCCGGTGCCTCAAGAAAGCCCACGTCCCTTTTTGTTTTTCCAGCCAACACCAACTTCCAGTATAGCCGCTTAATTCTCTCAGTATTTCTGGCGCCAACCAAGGTCAAGGCCAAAACGCAGAGGCACATGTATCGGAGTTTGGTTGACGACAAGAAAGAGTAGAGGGTTGCGGGGGTTTTAAGGAGAGTAGATTTTATCAGCGTTCTGCGGCGGCGTCTGGGCGGCTGTTGTGAAGCTGCGAGCGGTATCGCATGGTCGGGACGGTTGAATGGGCGCATGACGAGTCCACCACCTGCGTTTGAGGAGCGAAGGGATGTGTAGCCGGATCCGGAGACGGCAGCCTGTGCCGCCAGGGTTTTGAGACTTTTTGTGCTTCCGACGCGATTCATACCATGCAGGTTGCGGCCACTCGAGACGCGTAGCAGGTTTTGCAAATCTGCTGCGGAGCGACAGGGTGTCATGGGAGCTTCGACGGCATCGTACCAAATGTCCTCATCTTCGTGGTAACCTTCGTCTTCAGCGTCCATCAAGGATATTTGGTGGGATATGCGCGGAGATGTAGAGTGATAGTTTGGATGGCAAAAGTTGGTGTATACTGGGCATGTGGTAAGCGAATAGGGTGTAGCCTCATAGCCTCCAAGGCAAGTGGGGAGGTTTTCGGGGGAGATATGGGCAGTCAGTTCCCCAGTGGTGAGGAACATGAGTTTTTTGGTTGCGTCCGCTGGCAGAGCCGTTTTGAGCACAGACCAGATACCAGAGTGGATCCAGCCATAGTTGAGAACGTAGACCGTGCCGACAGTTTGGGGATAGTGATGAGAGAAGAGGTCGTGGAAAAGGGGTATCATGTCATATTTAACATTGTTTAATCCGACGCCTTCCAAGTCGACAATGATAGATATCTGGGCAATGATGCGGTCGCTGGCCTCATCTAATATGCCCAACTCTCTCCGTTTCCTCACTTCCTCGTTGATGGATTGAACGACCCTGCGTGCAACTTCCATGGCCAGTATAAAGAACCATCTGAGATCCTCGAAATCACCATGCCCGTGTTTCGAAAAGTGACGGAGATTAAGCACAGCCACCGGACGGCCTAACTTGTCTGTTCGTAAAAAATAAAAGAGGCCCTTTTGGAGGTATTGGAGGGCAGAGGGAGGGAGGGAAGATAAAGAAAGGTTTGGAAGGTCATTTTGTAGTCGCCAGTCGATATGGCTGAGAAGAGCTGCATGCGTTGCGGCGTGGTCATATTTGTGCTTTTTGTAAAAGCGAAACAAGAGTGCTATATTTCCCGGTGAGCTTTGACATGTATAGCAAAACCGAAACGCTGCTGCCCGATTCTCACCTTCGTCGACCAACAGTTCCGCAATGTGATGCAGTTCTCTCCGCGACAAATCCATATCCTTTCTCGACGCAGCAATCGTCTTTGCCAAGGCGTCTCTCACTGCCGCAATGCCTTGGGCATGCTGTCTGACGAGCATAGTCAAGTCCATCTCTTGTTTCAACACACACACAAGGCCCTTTGTTATAATAATCTGTGCAATGTTCCGTAACGATGATGAACGATGATGGGCAGCGTCGTCGTCGTCGTCGTTGTGGGGGAGTCAAAACCTTGGCTCACCCAAAGCAGCAGCGTGGGAACTATTTTGCGCGGTGATACATTTTAACCCTCGTGATGGGGAATTTGATGTTACACAGATCAATTTTCGATGACCATGTGATGATGACATGGATTTCCTTTTTAGGAAGTGTCACATGAAAGGAGGCCGAAATTCTCACGTTGGATCCGCCCCTTTCACGTGGCGTCCACGGAGGGCTAACGCCAAGGTAAGGGTTCGACCCACGCTGCAACAAGGGATATTTGTGTTTTTCTCACCACGCGCGCAAAGAACGCGCAGATGGCACAGCGCGTGGCACATGGTGGCACAGCACACACAGACGATTCGGACAGTTTCGGACAAGGGCCACAAGGTGGAATCGCGCGCAGAAAGTACTTGAGCATATAGCCCAAATGGAATTCTTGTATATTTTATTTGATCAAGTGACTTTCTACTGTACCATTACCATGTTATCAGACACTTTTCTAATGTTGTTGTTGCATTTCTGGCTGCGGCGCACCCACATTTTTAGCGGGCTTTTTGAGCAAAAAGTACCAAATACCCGCCGCGACAATGACCACACCGACAACACTGCCCACTGTCGCTCCTGCAATGACACCCTTTGAGACACTGCTACCAGAGTCAGGTGTGTCGCCGGGAGACTGGCCGTCAGGAGTCGAGGCAGCCTTGATCACGATCGAATAGGATCCTAGTGAGGTGCAGTCACAGGTGGTGCTGGAACCTCCTGTAGAGGTGTCAAGGGTGCTACAAGCAGTTGTGTTCCAAGCCGAGGTACTCGATTCCCATTTGGCGCAGTGGGCAGTGTACGTGGTAGTCGACCGTTTGGTCAAGGCATGCACGTATCGCCTGTGGAGACTCGCGGTGGACGTGTAGCTCGTTGGAATGGTAATGCGAATGGGCTTTTCGAGCGTATCGTTGAACGGAACACCATCCACATTGACTTTGAGAGTGAGCATTCCGGCCGTCAACCTAAGCATAAATGTTAATAAAAGTCTGAAGATGCCAACCATACTGTCTTACAAGCAACTTACGTAGATGATCCCGCGTTTGTGTCATTAGCTGTTACTGGGTAAGGGCTGTTGCCAACACAAGTGGACTTGATGACCACAACCTGCGTGTCTCCGACCGTGTCGTTCAACGTCTGCTGAAGAGACTCGCCGACCTGCGCAGAACACGACGTAGCGGCGGCCCTCCTGCTCAACCGTCTTGCTGGGTTGGATGGTTTCTCGCCAATGTTATCCGGAATAGATTCAATCGTCGCAGACACGACATCCAATCTCGTTCCTTGAACACTAATGGTTGCATTTTCACCGGGTGATAGAGTGTTCGACAAGGCATCTCCGACGTATCCCATGGTTTCCGTAAATGTGTCGCCAGAGCTTGAGTCGGAATCGGAACTGACAACGGATCCGAGAGCTGCAGACGCAAGGTTTTCAAGGGTGGATTGATCTGCACCGGTTGTGGCCAACACCTGAGCCAGTACCGCAACACCCTTTCCAACGTTGGCCTTTGAGCTGTCATCAACAGCACCAGTGTCCAGCAACTTGGCGAGAGCTTCAGTTTTTGACGATGCAGATTCAGCCGTCTCAGTGCTTGCATCAATGGTTCCTGTAAGGGCTTGGATCACTTGGCCAGTTGCATTCTTTGCTGCCTCGGACGTAGTATTGGAAGCCAGCAATTTGCTCGTGAAGGATTCCATCGCGGCCACCGTCAAACTGCTGGATCCACTGGAGAACAGGTTCACGTACGTGTCACTCAAGTTGTCGTCCGTGATCGTTTGTGCTGTGACGTTCACGTACAACGTGTACGGATCAGAGATGTAGAGCGTTCCAGGAATGTACGAGCGAACGCGGACTTCCACCCTGTATCCATCTGATTCAAAGCCACTGGGCAGGAGGAAGGATTGGGTTGAGGAACCTGGATATGCAATGCCGGTTTCCACACCCTTAATGCGGTAACTGTAATAATAGCTTCCAACTGAAATATCACTGCAAGAAACGGTAAAGAGCGTGGTCAGCTCCTGACCATTAGATGGTGAAATGCTGCAGGAACTGATTGGCGGAAGAGTTTTGGTAACGCTGAAGGTAGTGGCAGCAGTAGCAGTTGTGTTGTGAGAGTCGGTCAAAGTGAGATAGACAGTGTACTGGCCGTCATCAAGTTGGGAAGAGTCAATTCTGGATTATGCAAAATGGTTAGTCCAAGAAACTGCAAAAAATAGATCTGGTTGACATACTTTAGACCACCCTTTCCGACGGGCTTGGTAACCTTGGCAAGCGACACTTCGCCTCCATTACCGGCGATCAAAGCCCAGTTGTAAACCAAATCAGGAGAGTTGGTCACTACATTGGATGTGATATAGGCCGAGGAGCCACCGACAAAAGTGCTTCCAACTCCGTTAATGGTCAGGGCGACTTTTGCGTAGTATTTTGTTGTCTCGATCATCAGATTGACAGGTGGAGACTTTGGAGGACTCTCTTGCTCGCTGCGGAAGGTGAAAACCCTGAATATGTAATCACCTGGCCTCAAGGACGAAACTGGGATCGTAAAGTAGGGAGTGTCGGTACCAATATACAAGAAACCTTCCTCGTCATCACGGCGTACTTCGAACGCCCTAAATGTAGTGTTTGTCACGTCACGTCCTGACAGTATCTGGTCAACAGTTGTGGTCGAGGTCAGGTTGAAAGGGCAGGGAGTTTTCTCGATTCGGTTTTGACATGAGAACACGACCACAACGGGTTGAGCGACACTAGAGCCACTACCCGGGTTGAGCGACAAACATTTCTTCCATGCTGCGTATCCCTTGAACATGACAAAGTAGCACGGATCGATACCGTCGACAGTGTCAGATGCATCGAGAACGAGGGGCACAGCTCCGGATACGGTACCATTCAAGTTGCTCAATAGGGGCCTGGACAAAGGTTTCTTAATGCTGAAAGACGCCACGGTCGTAACGTTTGCCACGAGTCGTCCATTGTAGGCGACAAACATTGCCTGTGCTGTTACAGTGTGTTCGCTGGCCGACAAGGTTTGGAGAGGCAATGGGTACATGAGCGAGTAAGATGGCTTTCCTGCTCCTTCTGTGGTATTGGGGCCTGTACTACTCCTTACGAGGTCAACGTTCCAGTAGATGAGAGTGTAGGCGTATTGGCATTGGAATGGCTCCACCGCAAGGTTGGCCTGACCAGATCCCGAGGGTTTGAAGACTCGGGAGGCAGGGTCAACGAGAGCTGAACCAGAGAAGACGATGGATGCCTTTCGGGGCGGCACAGGACAAGGGTCTATAGCAAAGACAAAAGATTAGAACAAACGCTAATTCATCTTTTACCGTTCCATATTTACCTATAACCGGGACGACTGGAGATGGTGACGGACTTGGGGATGGAACAACGCCCGAAGGCTTGTCACCACCGCTTCCGGGAAACCCAGGGATACCGGGGATGGTAACGTTGGGTTTCGGGCCCTGGGGTGTTCCAGGTGTACCGGTCTCATTCTTCTTGGGGTCCCACGGGAAGCCAGGGAATCCAGGAATGCCGGGAATCTCTGGGAACGACCCATTCCCGTTGGGGTCCCAGGGGAAGTGTGGGAAGGAAGGCAGCGATGCATTATTTTTTGGGTCCCAAGGCACGTTGGGGAATGGTGGCTGCGTTCCATTGACCTTGTCCCAGGGGAAGCCGATTTCGGGAGGCTGAGGGTCCTCTGGCCAGAACACTGGAATGGAGAAGGGCACGGGCCATGTCCTGTTGCCGTTTGGAAGCGGGAAGAACGGGAACTCTGGCCAGGGCTTTTCAGTAGAGCTCTCCACGTCCGACATGTTCGGGAACTCTGGCCAGAAAGGCCCACGGAAGGTGACGTTCCATTCAGGATGGTCCGGGAAACGGGGGAAGGGGAAAGGTGGTCCAGCGTTCCCACTGCCATTCTTCTTGTCCCATGGCCAAAAGACGCCGTCGAGCGGGCTGGTACCATTGAAGATTGTCTTTGGAGAGATTTCATCGTCAAAGTGTGGTGGTTCAATGCCAAAGTGGCGGAACCACTCGACCGGGAACGGCAGCGAGTGTTGGCTAGCTTCCGTGGCCGGAAGAGGAGTAGGGTAACCCCAACCGCTTGCGTTGTAGCCTGGCGGTGTAGGAGAGCAAACCTCGTAAGGGAAAGCTGTCTTGTTGGACCCAGTAGGGCTGGAAGCGTTGAATTGGTTTTCCATCACCTGTCTGCGGACTCTGCGTCTGGCAGGAGGAGACGGGGTTGCCGACGGCCAAGGACTGCTGTTGCTACTGTCCGGGGCGGATGATGGGCTGAAGGAGCTGGGAGCAGGCGAAGGACTGCCCGATGGAGCTGACGAGGGGCCGCTCCAGCTAGACTGGTCGAACGAGCTGGGAGCAGGAGAAGGGCTTCCTGAGGGTACTGACGAGGGAACGTTCCAGCTGGACGGAGCTCCAGAAGGCGCGGGGCCGACCGAGCTAGGAACGGACGAAGGACCATTCCAGCTAGACTGGTCGAACGAGCTGGGAGCAGGAGAAGGGCTTCCTGAGGGTACTGACGAGGGAACGTTCCAGCTGGACGGAGATCCAGAAGGCGCGGGGCCGACCGAGCTAGGCACGGACGAAGGACCATTCCAGCTAGACTGGTCGAAGGAGCTGGGAGCAGGAGAAGGGCTTCCTGAGGGTACTGACGAGGGACCGTTCCAGCTGGATGGAGATCCAGAAGGCGCGGGGCCGACCGAGCTGGGAGCAAACGAAGGACCACTCCAGCTGGACGGAGCTCCAGAAGGAGACGCAGGGCCAACCGAGCTGGGAGCAAACGAAGGACCATTCCAGCTGGACGGAGCTCCAGAAGGCGCAGGGCCGACCGAACTAGGGGCAAATGACGGACCATTCCAGCTTGACACGGGTCCAGCACCAGATGAGGGTCCGAACGAACTGTATCCCGGCGAGGGCAATCCCGAATTGAAAGGAGGAGGCGATGCAGTCCAGGTTCCAGACATGGGAGGTACAGCCGTTTGACTAGGGTAGTTCCCAGACATTGATGGAGGACTTCCAGAGAGCGGTGGCTTTGTCTCAGAGTACATGGGTGGATAAGAACTCTGTGGGTACTTTGGCGGATACGAGGACGTTGGTGCATAACCTTCAGTCCTGTTCCCGCTGGACGGGCAAGGGAACGGGTAAGGTAGTGGATACCATGTTCTGTTCTTGGACCCATCGGCAATAGACCAAATGGGATATGGATATGGCGGAGCGTATGTTCCCGGTTGAGCGGGTGGGTACACGGACACCCATGTCACATCGTAGGACATTCCGTTGTATTCGACGTTGTAAACTGGGTACAAGGGGTAACCGAAGGGGCCAGTAAAGCCGGGACCTGGCGGCAAGTAAGACCAGTTACCGTTCATGGGTGGATTCGGACCATCGCCGTTCATGGGGGGGTAATAGGTCCAGTTGCCGGGATAGTAGGTTCCATTGCCATTATAAGGTGGTGGGTAAGTTCCGTTCCCTGAAGGATAGCACATTCCGTTTCCTAGCGGACAGGACGTTCCATTGCCATTATAAGGTGGTGGGTAGGTTCCATTTCCTGGAGGATAGCACGTTCCGTTTCCAGGAGAACAGTACGTTCCATTGCCGTCCATTGGTGGCGGGTAAGTTCCATTTCCTGGAGGATAGCATTTTTCGTTTCCTGGCGGACAGTACGTTCCATTGCCGTCCATTGGTGGTGGGTAAGTTCCATTTCCTGGAGGATAGCACGTTCCGTTTCCAGGAGAACAGTACGTTCCATTGCCGTCCATTGGTGGTGGGTAAGTTCCATTTCCTGGAGGATAGCACGTTCCGTTTCCAGGAGAACAGTACGTTCCGTTGCCATTATAAGGAGGTGGGTAAGTTCCGTTCCCTGGAGGATAGCATGTTTCGTTTCCGGGAGCACAGTACGTTCCGTTCCCGTACATGTATGTTCCATTGTTTTGCGGATACGTTCCATTCCCGTTCATCGGTGGTGGGTATGTTCCATTACCTGACGGATATGTTTCGTTTCCGTCCATTGGTGGTGGATAAGTTCCATTTCCTGGCGGATACGTTCCATTTCCGTTCATCGGTGGTGGATACGTTCCATTACCTGGCGGATAGGTTCCGTTTCCGCCCATTAATGGTGGGTAAGTTCCATTTCCAAAAGGAGACGTTGCGTTCCCATCTGGAGGAGGAACCCAAGTTCCATTTCCGTTTGTTCCGTTCACAAACGCTTGGGTATCGTTGCTGGAGGCGGGGACAGTGCTATTCCCACCCGCCTGACCAAAAACAGCCGTTACATAGACGGCAAACACTACCGCAAGCAGCAGGTGGAAGGATGTATTGCCCTTCATCCCAAGCTGAATGTGGTAGATGGGTATGTATAGAATTTATTGGGTATGTAGCCTTCTGTGTTAAAAGATGAGATGCAAACGAAAAAGTCAAAGCTGCTGGGTTCCATCCTTTTTATTCACTTTATCAAAGCCTAACATCCTCGCCATGTCCAAACAAGTCTTCAAGCACATACTCAGCACGACGCCCATGTATTGTTATTTCTGTGTTCGCTAGATGTTCACCACATCAAAATAGCCAAACAAACGCCGCGTTCCACGGGGTTTGTTTGCACGTTCACAGCAAGGTGTATACTCCAATTAGTGAGCTCATTTCCCGAACAATAGAACAAGGGCTTATGGCTCCCAGAATTCTAGATGCAGAATTTGGGGATCTGCCAAGATATGCACCAACCTTCCTTCAGGGCGGAAACGGAGCTCTCCGATAGCTTACATAAGCTGTTTGGTTCGGACGTGTTTTGCAACAAAGCTGAATCAACCGCCACAACTGCAAAAACAAGGACGATGGAAAGCAGTGATTTTCAGTCTCGTTAGTTGTTTTATTTTCATCCATTGTAATGGAATGCCAAGTCTAAATCGCCATGACGATACTCAAAATAAAGGCAGACTTTGTCTTGGCAGTACGAATTTCAAAACAAATATGCTCTATATCAATGTTTGGAGGACATTGATGAGTGTTACTTCTTTGAACATAGACGATGGGGCTTAGTCCCTTCTGTGGCTGTTATGGCTCGCTATTATCAATTCCCGTGACAAGCAATGCGATCATAAGCGGGAATTACTTCAACAAGGACGACGTAACGATTGATCAAAGTGGCCAACATACCAATTCACCCTTGCAAAAGCTCCCTCTACATGGCCTCCTAGCCTCCATATTCTAAATGGCAAGATGCTGCGTACACAACACATAGATAGCGGGAGAAACACACACCAGGGGAAAAAAGAATTGATGCTACAAGATTCTAGGGGCTCAGCCGAGAATCGAACTCGGGACCACCCGCACCCTAAGCGGGTATTATACCACTAAACCACTGAGCCGGACGAAAATGGGAGCCACTTAGGGCTCTATCACTCATATGCATATTTATATGCCCCAGCTGGTTTAGCACAGGTAAGATCCGTCTGGCGACGGGAGGAGAAAGGTTCCTTCCAGATATTCTGGATAATCATTATCATTTATTTTTGTTCCAGAAATATGACCTGATCGTCCAAGCGATATAATGAAGTTTGGACATATTCGTCGTCATGGGCAGATGAAGATGTGGAACCATTGGTCGTTGCTTCCCTTTATATCCCCTTATATCCTTTATCTTTTAAAGCGGAATATGGAAATTCTCACGCCCACCGTTTCAAGACTTCAGCAGGAACCGCCATTCCGCTCATCCTAGGAGCGAACCAAATGCGCCCTTGTACCACCGCCCGATAACATGTCCGCTACCAATCTTCTTGGAGAAGCAACCCACATGATGAACTATTATCCCCAAGCCGTCAAGCTTTTACTGTTGCTTCGCTGTCGGCGACTCTCCCTTACTCCCTGCAGGTTTCAGCATGTATCAGAAATTTCAGCATTTGGACATGGCCATATTAAAATGTTAGAAGGGTAAGCGGACCGACACGATTTATCTTAGTAGACGAGAGTTTTCTTATTACTGATTGAGGAAGACGTACACATGTACGGAAGTGACAAAAGGCCAGCGGAAACATATCTTACAGTACAAAACATCATATAAATTGTTTGCTGCCAAGAGTTCAAGTAACGGCATGACCCACTGTAATGATCCAGCAGCTGAATTCCCGCTTAGACTGAAGCTATAGTACTGGAAAATGAATACTATAGCACATTCCAATTTTTCAAATTTCTTTGTAACTCTCGAATCGTATATCAGAGGACTCATGGTTACTTTGTCTATCACCAGAATTTTTGGTATGGTGCACGGGTGTCCGTCATTGCGCGCGGAGCCGAGATGGAGTATGTCACTAGATCTTGCTATAGAGACTGCTAATAGCAGAACCCCTTTGGAGACTTTTACAAAAAGATATTCAGTTGATCGCAATCTCCCAAGGTCTGGTCCTCTTACTGATACTATTAGTGATTTAAGCCCTCTGTATCCTGTTGCTGCAGGATCATTCACGCCTGTCGAAATGCAAGCTGTGTAACGTATTTCACAAATTGCTTCACTATTAGATTCCACCTCTGTGCAGCCAAAACAGATCAGCTTACCAATATACCTCAATTCGCTTCTGTTCAATTGCACCCCTTCAGGATTGAGTACGTCCAGCATCCGCAATGTACTCACGCAAGTATTCATTTGCGCCTGTGCAATAATCTCATACGAACGTTAAAGCTTACACTGCCTTAGGGCAGCTTCAATTAATGTCGTATCAGCCGAGATATTCAAAGGCTGGAGCGGTAACTATTTCATCAAATTGGATATTCAACCAACTCGGCCCCTGGTACCCAATGGGATCTGGAATGACGTTAGCCCAGCCACTGTTGTAATTACCCAAGCAAGCAATCTAGTGTCTTGAGCGGGTAACACTTACAATAAATGCTTACATGCGATGTTACTGCACTCCTCCGAGTCGGCGTCATCGCCTTAAGGTTCTCCAACGCCGTTTCGGGTCCTTAATGATTGGCCAGGAGATTCCGAGGCGCAACAGCCAAAAACTTGAAAGCGCTAAAAAAGAGGTTATGGAATCCATAGCGAAGCGAGCTGTCAAGACCGGGAAGAAAGCGTCGAAGTTACGAAAAACACAGTGTTCAGTGTGATTATGCAACATCGATCAGTCACGTGAATCATCAACCAGATCAAGAATCTGCTTCTCGAGGGAGTGCCATAAGTCTTCGACTGTTAAAAGGATGAAATGCAATTCCTCTCGTTGTTACGGATATCAAAAGCGAGGCCCATAGCGCAGCAGACAATCAGCGATCACAATGTAGGCTTCTTAACGAAATAGCGCCATCAGCATTATAGCTTTCACTAGCGACAGTACGATGGTAGATATCCATTCCCATGCAAAATACACACTATCCATTCTGCGCATATGGATGTCACGCTTGATCTTTACCCGAAAGTCCTCCATAAACGGACTCACCTCCACTTCCAAAGCTTCAGGATAGTTGCCGCCTACAATATCTGGCCTTTTTTTTTCTTCATTAGATGCAAGCCTATGACAAGAGATAGACCTGATCACATACGAGGCAAGAGATCTCTGAAGACTTTTTTCTACTCACCATCCCGAGGGGGTCAGACGATTGAAGCATGGCTAAAACATCAAAGATTCAATATGCTTCAAATGTGGTGCGAAAGAACATATGGCCAACCGGTTCCATACGGCAATGCACCCTGCCGAGCTCTACCTTCAGTCACAAGAAACAAATATGAAGGAGCACCCAAAGCTCTCGAACGAGAGACCCCACTAAGACGGAACCTTCTGACCATAATAAATCTATTGAAGTCAATCAATAGGACTGCCCTCTAACCCGGGTGACATTGGCTTATCCTGCTCCAGCACTTCCTACCACACCAACCGTGTATAAGCACCCTAATGAACAACCAGCTTTTCCGGAACGAACTCAAGAAAACATCTGTGGGCCAATCAAGCCCCTTCTGGACCCTCCCGCTTTGTTTATGGACCTACGAGATTGTTTCTTTCAATGATCCTCTGTTGGCCTCCTATCTTCCCGCATTTCTCCTTTCCCCGACTCCTGGCACAGCTTGTCCGCTTACATCCACAGTTCCCTGACTCTTCCATGGACATCATCCGAATGGACCAAGCTGGTGTGATTTCCTTCAGCCTATAGCGACTATTCTACTGCTGTCGGCATCACCAATGAGACTCCCTGCCTCACCTATACACTGAATGAATTAGCCGAATCGTACATCTTGACCATAGATCGCTCCATGTTGACGAGATCAATCTTACCAGCTTACGGCCATGAGAGACGCTGTCCGCATGCAAGTAAACTTCCTGTGAACGTCTCGATCTACGCACAAGTCAGGCGAAACAAGAGATTAGACGAGCTTACACCTGAAAGTAATAGCCGACAAGCTTCGAGATGCCGTTCAGTAAGGCAGGCAGAGCTCCTACAGCGATTGCACCAGCAATACGTGGCAATCAAGAGCTTGAAATGCCTATACGTACTGCTGTCGAACCCTCAAGTAAAAGTGGACGACCATCAGATCCAACTTTCGGCGAGTACCAACAAGAGAGAAATAGTATGACTTTACACTCTACAGAATGAGAAAGTTGTTATGGGATACTGCTCATCTGATTAGAACTGGGATGCGACTGCAGTGGATGATATATACCATGCCGCATCTGTCGTGGATGGCCACGATTACCCTCCCCCCAAATCTATTGATGAAGCTCAGACAGTACCAGATCTGTCAAGGTGGAAAAAGGGCCCTTGAACCAGAGCTTGTCTCTATTCGAAAACGTGGAGTTTTTGGACCTATATGGGGTTGACTTCGTGGGATACAGCATGTCACTGAGGAAACGGAATGAAATGGGTGAACGTAGCAGATATTAACCGCGGTAATTGAATGGTCTCAAATTCCGCTACCTGGTTGGAGTTGCTGTGAAAGAGAAGTTGCGCATGAGACTTATGGATGTTGTAGTTGCCTATCTGTACGTTCTTAGACAAAGAATTCTGTATGCGGTGACCCGTGAAAGTCGAACGTCTATTTGGTGTCCTGTTTCCACTGAGGAACCTGGCAAGCCCTTTGAGAGAAAGCCGTCAGAAGGAGCATCTGCACAGAGGCTGAAAGTCCTAGAGAGTGACCTGAATGAATCGGCGCCAGATCAGGCTCCAACTGATGAGCTGCTAAGAAGGCACAAGTTCTCTGGACTGGGTTAGGATGCTAAGAAAGCCCGCTCACCAGGTGGCTGTATGTATTCAAGAGTACATACCTCTGCTCAAGACTGGCGAAACTAGTACAAAGCCGCGGCTAGTCCGTTATAAGCGATAATACTTGCACCAATGCTGCTGCGACACGAGA